GGTGTTGGTCTTTTGTTTACAACTTTTGGCGCGTTTTGCGGCAGTCAATGACGTAACACTGAACTGGGTCTTCAGAAGTTTCTTGAAAATTGACAAGGAAGCCCCTGTTCTGGTAGTGCTTGGTAGGTCATTCCACATCTGTCGAACGACACGCGAAAAGAGTCTGGATTGTCCTGAGTGTAGTGTAGGCACTACTGGCCAACAAACCTTTGATGAATGGCGCAGCCAAGCCGTGACCGTTTATAAGAGGATCTGGGTAGATGGGAGCCGTACCATCCAGGACTTTGCATGCTGGTGTTAGAGATTTGAATTTGATGCGTGCAGCTAATGGTAGCCACTGGAGCTCAGTGAACAGAGGGGGGATGTGTGCATTTTTAGGCTAATTGAAGATCAGACAAGCCGCTGCATTCTGGACCATTTGAAGAGGTCTCACAGTACAGGCCGGAAGACCAGACAGAAGGGCTTTGTAGGAGGTGACAGTAGGTTGCACAAGGAGCTGGGTGGCATATTGTGTTGGTTACTGTCTGATCTTTCGTATGTTACAGCGTGAAATGGCATGAACGGGCGACTGAGGCAACGTGATTTTCAAAGGTCAGTTGGTCATCAATCACAACACCCAAATTTTGAACTGCCTTTGAAGGAGCCAGAGACAGGGAGTCATTTTGGATTAAGATATTATGCTGTATAGATGGCTGGGATGACAAGTCATTCGGTTTTTGAGAGGTTGAGTTGGAGATCTTGATAAGTCAGAGACAGTCCAAGATTCGTGCGGAGACCGTGGTCGTCCAGCAAAAACAACAGCTAGAGCTAGGTGTCGTCGGCTTTTAAGAGTCTAAAGAGTGTAGGCTATTGAACAAATGTAATTACTAAAGCAAGCTTTAGAGCTCATGTTAGAGAAAGCGCGAGCCCTTCATACAAAAGATCACACCATGGCACTCAAAAGCCTTTTCGTAACAACAGACTTGTGATATATTCATAATAACCAAACACACGAAAATATTTGTACTGCAGCCTGCTACATGCGTGTCAGGTTTTGCTCCAGCAAACAGTCATGATAGGCTACTTAGACCTTAAATAACAGCACACTATGACCAGGAAGTTGTTAAAAAGATAAATGGTAAATCCTAATGGCCACTGTTTGATGCTAGACTTCTGTACTGGAACCAGAATAAAGAAGCACATTTGATGATGGTATCATTCAATCCATTATCCAAAATTATACAACAGTTAGTTTCGACCTGCGGCCTCGTGCCTACGACCGAATCACACCAGTGCTGATATTCAGCAACAACGCACTTCCTCTCGTGTGATATTGCTTAAATATTGAATGACTTTTTAGGAAAAGGCCAACTCACCTGTGATTGATTAGACGCACGTGATAGAAGCTAAATGCAAACTTTGCTGTTGAAGGTACTGTTAAACATTTCTGATGAAGTCATTTGAAATCTCTGATAAGGAGCAAAGAGTAAATCTGATGTATCACTAGTCCTTATGTGTGTGTTAAAGATTCATGGGTGACCGTGACTTAATGATGCTTTAGGTCCTCACAGTTGAAAGGCCCAGGAATCTGAACCTTGGCCATAATAGGACTCTGTTCTCTACCAAACATTGACTTATTGTCTTGTTGTGAGGGAGGTGGCATAATTTGTAAACAATGTCAGCCTTGATCCTGGGGGGGGGGGGGTCTGCTAGCCTTTGTCTTTTTACTAAACTCTATGTCCTTCCTATCGTCCTCTCTTATCTTCCTCAGGGGGTGTTCTTGTGTTTTTCTCTGTAAAACCTCTATTTCTACTGCAGCTCCAGTGTCACGTTTGTAATAATTTCATGAAACGTGAGCAGATCAATACAAGCTTGCTTATTTTATGTCCTTTACTCATGCCTAGAATGCATCCCAGTTTAATGATGGGTTCCTTTCCAAAGATTGAGCTGTGATCACTGTTTCACACTGGTAGACATAAACAAAGTGCTGCCATTGTGTTTGGATCTGATCATATGCCTCTTCATAAATAAACATGTGCAAATGTGCAGTCTCAGCTCTGGAGTGGGCTTTTGAGAGGTTTCTCCTGCTCTCTGCCAGCCGCTGTTCTAGAGGCTTTCCATTTTGGGCTGTGTGCTATTTGCAGACAGAGCTAAATATTCAGCGGCAGATTTTAAGTTTGATTTTTGTTTTGTACTTCAATGTCTTCAACATGTATAATCTTGAGTCTCCCCCGTTTCTTTCATACACCTACATTTCCTCCCCCAATTAGTTTTGTTTGTTTCCAGAAAGGGAGAATATCCTCCATCAGGACAGGAATAGAATGTGATATAAATAAAACCAGGGGGAGGCAATAGATAGAAGAGGGCAGACCCATCCAAAGCAATGTTGGTGGGAGGGACAAAGCGAGACGGGCAAGGACGGAAGGGAGGTGTGGAGGGAGGTGGGACGGTGGTTGTTTCATGCCGCGCAAGAGCTGTGCAACTTCTTGGCAGCATTTCAGAAATGAGCCTCAGAAGCTCGGCGAGCCAAGCAGACATATTGAGACAAGGATGGTCGCTGCGTTGCACAAAACCTAGCTCTTTACAGAATGGTTGGGAGGCACCTCTCCACAGGTATTTTATTACTGTGTTGCACATCTCTCCCTCTCCTCTCCTCTCCTCTCTGTCTCTGTTCTTCTCTTTTGCTCATCTCTTCTGTGTTGCTTTGGCTGCTGGTGTTTACATTTGGTGTGGATGAGTACTTTTCAGCATTTAAGCTGCAGTCCCTGTGCATTGTGAGGTTCCAGTCTTGAGATCCTACACTTTGCATTTATCACTGTGCATGAGCCCGCATGTCATCGAAGCAATTGTGGAGATACAAACAGTCGGCGAGAAGCTTTTTGGCTCTTATTCAACACTGAGAAAATGGCGGTCCTGCACTTTACAGCAGAGAGACGCTACAGACGACAGCGCTGTGTGTCAGAAACACAGTGCCCTGTTTTTTTTTTTTCTCTCCCACTGCTTCTCTGCTCATCCACTGTAGGCTCTCTCTGGTAGCAACCATTGTGGTGAAAATGAAAACATGGAGTGGCGCACAAATGCTGTCAGATCCTTAATGTAGTTGTGACACAGTGAGCGTATTTGCATACAAACTGTGTGCATGTGTGGGGGCATGTAAACAACAACCACTGCAGCATGAGGGAGAGCTGAAACAAGGCAGTGAAGTGGAGCAGTTTTCTGTCATTGGTCTTTCTCTTGAGCTTCAGCATAATTAGTCTGAAGCTATTTCATAGCAGATGCCAAATAGATTGGCATTCCATGTCTGATTTGAGGCTAGACAATATTTATTCTTCATTTTAAGGAAAGGTCATAGCTGTTGCAGTTACAAGGTAATAAGCTAAAGAAGAGCCAGCTGCCTGGATCTCCTCACTGATTACATCTAATTTGGTACTCAAACATAAGAGCGTTTAATGATTGGCGTGCTGACCCTGATAGATACAGCCTTTAGCATCTCTAACTACAAGGTTATTTAAGTGATAGTCATACAATATTTCTTTTGTTTCAGCTTATTTGTCTTCACCGTAGAATTGCAACAAAGGGCAACATAGCAATAGTAGTATTCCTACATCCCCGTTTTGTTCTGTAATAATGACCAAAATGTGAAAATTTAATGTCCCACAGTAACAAAAGGGTAAAAGCTTTTGCAAATAAATGTAGTTTTCTGTTGTTTCAGTGATTTGTGTTTTTCAAATGGTAGTATCTCTCCTTTAATGTCAATACAGGAAAAATTCCATACGTCATTCCTCAGTTTAAGAGTTTATGCTTCCAAAGGACCTGACTTTGTTGTAATTCTTCGAGTTGGCATGACAACAAATAGTTCTTTATGTGGTCTGAAGGTCTCTTAATGGCCATTTTTCAATATGCATACTTGTCCGAACTTGTGTACTCACTTCCTGGTGAAACGTCATCGGCGATGGCCCAAGGACTGATCCAATCCTAAGTATACATAACGGCAAGTTCGCTCAAAGTTCCTGGATAGGTTCTTGCTCTGCCCATTGTATCAAGGATGCATCAATGCATACTTCTGTGGACTTGGGACAGCAAAGTTTCCCACAATGCATTGCGTTGCAAACTGTTAAACTTCGAATGTCAGAGGAGAAAGAAAATAACTGTAATGTTTTATATTAGAAATATAAATAACCACAAAGTGTGTTCCAACTACAGAGGGATCGCACTTCTGACCCTCCCTGGTAAAGTCTATTCAGGGGAGGCGGGTTTCTCGAACCTCGGATTCAGGAGGAACAATGTGGTTTTCTTCCTGGCTGTGGAACACTGGACCAGCTCTGTACCCTTCGGGGGGTCCTGGAGGGTGTGTGGGAGTTCGCCCAAGCAATCCACATGTGTTTTGTAGATTTGGAGAAGACGTTTGACCGCTTCCCCCAGGGGGCCCTGTGGAGGGAAATTTGAGAATACGGGGTACCAAACCCTCTGATATGGGCTGTTAGGTCCCTGTATGACCGGTGTCAGAGCTTGGTCCGCGTTGCCGGCATTAAGTCAAGCTTGTTTCCAGTAAGAGTTGGACTCCACCAAGGCTGCCCTTTATCACCGATTCGGTTCATAACTTTATGGATAGGATTTCTAGGCACAACCAAGGTGTTGAAGGGATCTTTTTTGGTGGCCTAAGGATCAGGTCTCTGCTTATTGCAGATGATGTGGTCCTGTTGGCATCATCGGACAGTGATCTCCAGCTGGAAACCTTGTTCTGTTGTTGCAGCTACAACCTCCACCCACTAGATGTTGCTTTGGTGTTTGTGCTCCATAATCAACCTTTCAACCTGACTAGTAACTAGCCCGTTATTGCTTTTCGCATCAGAAATATGTTAAATTTAAGGCTTTAACCAACTTTGTGTTAAAACATCACAATTGCTGCTTTGGTATTTCAACCTTATTAAAAATTTCATGAGTGTAATCATGTAAGTATGTTTTGACTCATTGTTCTTAGTCTCTTGATCACATTTATTGGCTTTTGTCTTCTTCTACAGAACTGCCCCCACAGAGTGGCCAAGGAGCCCAGTATGATAATCCCCCCTGGGGACACCTGCCAGCCAACAGAAGTGCCACAAGTGCTGCATCTTCCAACAATCTCAGTGGCTGGGATCAACTGATCATTGACCAGAAGGACACAGAGGCTTGGCCTTCTATTACCCTCAGCCAAAGCCAGGCCGCTTCAAGAGGATGCCCTTTGGACACTGATCCTGGTCACTCGACCAGCAGCAGCAGTAGTACAAGCAGTAGTTGTAGTGCAGTGAGTATGGCCACAGGTGCCAATAGTCAGACAGGCCACTTCCCAGCAAACCACCTTAGCAGCAAAGCCAACAGTGGGCCCAGCCCTGCCAATCATACTGGAACCAGCATGCTTTCTAGCCAGGTTGCAACCAATCGAGGTTGGGGCTCTGGGCCTGGACCTTCTCATTGCCCCCCTCAGTCCTCAGTGGGCAATGAAGGGAAATGCGACAGCCCAGTTGGAGGAGGTGGTAACAGAGGATGGGGTTCCTCTTCATCATCCTCCACCAACAATTTTAACTTGAATTTAAACCCCAATGCCAACCCATCTGCCTGGCCTATGTTGGGACATGATGGGGGAGGCACTGGGGGAGGCAGCTCAGGGGGAGCCAACACAATGTCATCTCCTCAACCTGTACCCAACCTCTGTAATCCTCCTGGCCCCCCACCAACCCAGACTGGTACCTGTTCTGGAGCCAACACTAACACCAAGTCCTCTAGTATTGGCAGTGCATGGGGTACAATAATGGCTCCTGATGCATCAGAGTCACATCCCACCCCATCCACGAATGTGTCTTTCAGTTCAGAACCTCAGAACCTTAAAACTGATGGACCAAATCAGACTCAAAAGCAGGAACCTCCCAGCCCAATTCGAAACTTGCCTGGCTGGGGCAGTGCACCTGCAGGCTTGGGTCCAATGGGACAGCAACAACCAGGAGGTGTGCAGGTCAATGGAGAAGATGATAACTCCTTATGGGGTAACAGTGGCAACTCTAAGCCTATTCCATCCAAGGAGGGACCTGGATGGAATACAGCCTGGGGCCGTGGAGGGAACGGATCTGGGAACTCTGGAGGTTGGGGTGAACAATCTGGTGGAGAGTGGGGGAAGCAGCACAGTGAAGAGGCCCAGGGAGGCTGGGATGCCCCCAGTTCTCCTCCGCAGGATTCACAACCTAATCATTGGAGCAGAGCTGTGAGCACAGCTGGTGCCAGTGAAGGGAGCAGCGATAGCACGGACGGGTATTCCCGACAGAAGGACCACTCATCCAGAGAAAAACCGGTCCCTATTCTGCCTGCCCAGGATCTGGACCCCAGGGTTCTGTGCAACACTGGTTGGGGGCAAACCCCTGTACGCCAACACACCACCTGGCATATGGATGATACTAAACGAAAGAATGATGTTGGCACTGAATCATGGGGCTCTGGCCCATCCACTTCAAGTGAAGTGCAGGGACCCATAAACACTAATACCGGGCCTGCTTCGAGGACTGACAATGGGAGTAAAAATGATGTGCCTGGTTCTCAGGGAGCTTCTGGTTGGGGTGGGAGCATGGCTGCTACACACATGCCCAGTTCAGGTTGGGGAGAGCCAACCAACAATATTAAACACCCTGTTGGACCTGATGGATGGGGAAACCCTCCATCAGGCGTTCCAACCAACAACATACCCAAGAATGGTAATCAGTCCTGGGGAGAGGAAAAATCTGCTGGTTGGGAAGCTTCTCAAGGCAAGCCAGCATCCCAGGGCTGGGGAGACCAACCCAAATCATCCCACACCTGGGGCAATAGTGGTGGAATCAATAACACAGGAGACTGGGAGGAACCAGAAGAGACCAAAAAGAGTTCTGCAAACCCTGATTGGGAAGGAGAATCTGGAAACTGGAAGGAAAATAAACAAGACTGGGGAATGTCTGCTTCAGGACCAGGGATATCTGGAGCTGGAGGAAATGGGGGCTGGGGTGAGTCCGCACCCCAACGTCCTTGTGGTCCCCCCCAAGGTTGGATGAACAAGCCTCAAGATGGACCCAGTAGTAATTGTGGAGGAGGAGCCGTGGGCTCGTGGGGTGGTTCCGGCTCAGTGAAGCAGAGTGGAGGCTCGAGTGGCAGCAAGCAGGAACCCCCAAATGAGCCCACAGGCTGGGAAGAGCCTTCTCCACCTTCAATCCGACGTAAAATGGAGATAGATGATGGGACCTCTGCTTGGGGTGACCCTGGTGCCTACAATAAGGCCGTTAATCTGTGGGATAGAAACAATTCAGGGATGTCCCAGGCGAAAATTACCACTGGGGGCAATAGCCCTCCAGGTTCCAGCAACAACCACCCCCACACTCACAATCACCCTTATCACGGGCTGCCTGCACTTTTACCGAACCATAGCCAAAACACTCCAAACCCATGCCCTGCCACTGGGCCTAGGGATCCTCCAGTGCAACATCAGTCTGGGCAATCTCACATCAGAAGTCCCCTTATAGCTCAAGGTAGGATCATTTAATGATCACATTGTACAGTGCTTGAGTATTAATCAGAGTTCACAGTTTTAAAGGTACATTTCACTGTCATTCAAACTTTAAAGGTGACTTAGATTGTTACTTAAGTTCTTGTTGCTTGTTTCTTCTTTATTGTCCAAAGTGAAGGTGCCAAACGTGGAAGCTGGTTAGGTAGTTAGTACAGCGCACTGTTAAGCTCCAAGCTGTTGATCTACTTAAGTTAAAATCTTGACCTAGTTGCTCTCTTGAGATTTACGTCTAATCAACTCTCTAGATCAGCGACGCAGTGCCAGCTCTTTTCTTTCAAGAGGCTCTCACACGTTTCACAACACTGAATACAACCGTGTGAGGGGGTAACCCTGGCAACCTGACACGGGTACCCAAAAGAAGCACAAAAATGCTGTTTACTGCGTGCCTCGTGAAAATACTGATTTGCCACAAAACAGTTGAGACAGATCGGAAGTGTGTGATTATATGGGAGCCACCATCTGTCAGTAGTTTAGGGGAGAAGGTGGAGCATGTTCCCAGACAGCCAAAGAGAGCAGATGCCCCCTGCTGTTCTTCATTAGACTCTGCAGTTGCTGCCTGTGATGGACTTGGATGAAACCTCATTAGATGTTTTAGTGAACAAAAATGAAGAATTTCTTACTAATGTGAAAATAGCATCTGCTTGTCCTGCTAAGGTTTCTTGAGATGGTTGTAGGTTTCTGGTCTCCCATACCAGAAGGTTGACTGTAACTTTAATTTTGGATCAGCCTTTTGGACTTGACCTTTCCCCGGTGGGAGAGCTAAGCTGAGTCTGGCATTGCTGCAGGCGTAACGGCAGCACCGTGCTTCTCATGCCAAAATAGACTTGCATGTGCCAGAGCTTAAACGGGGACCTCCTCCCTCTACCGACAGTCTGGCTCAGCCAAGCCCAGTTTTCTACCTCCCTGCATGGCTGGTGCTTCACTCTCAACCTCGTCGCATTTAACCTTCAGCTCCTATAAATAAGTTTGAAACAAAAAAATCAAGCCAAGGTGAATGAATGGTATTTAAATCATACACACAATAATTAGTTATGACGCTTGGTGTGAGAACGTCTCATAAAAAGGTTAAAACTTCTGCATCAGCTGGACTGACTTAATAAAACCAATTTGCTGTCCTCACTGCTAAAGTTCCCAATCAAGCTGGATTGAAATTAGTTATTTTAGATCGTTTTGCAACATCATAAGTAATTTGCTAAATGCTTCTTTTTCTGGTTTTTGTTTAAAATTTCTGAATAATATTATTACTGCTGCTGTTAAAAATAATAGTAATGATGCAGTTTTGTCACGTAATTTAGCATTCTGCAGTAAGATCATTTTAAAATGTGAGGAGAGTTTATCAGAGCGGCTGCAACACGTGATTATTATAGAACATTACTAATCTTAACAGGATGAGCCAAAAGGCCTTTACTATAAATATTTTGACATAATTCTAAAAATCTTGAAAGCCCTTAGGTAGGGGTAGGGTGATGTATCGGTCCGCCGATATTTACCGTATTATTTATATTTTTTATATAAATTGGTATCTGCCGATATTAGTCCTAAATAAAGCCGATTTAAATTCAGGCGCATCCTCGAGCAACCCGGTTCTGTTACAGAATTCAATTCACAAAAACATCTGCACAATAAATACTTTAAATTAATTCTATTTGTCTGATTTTAACACTGAGCGGTGCAAAAAGTTAAGATTTAACGAGTGGTTAAATTTAGAGTTCAAAAAACTGATCCAGCTTCAGAAACTTTGTTATTAGTGAGATTTTAGCATGAAAATAAGAAGGATATCGGCCATGAAAATCGGCAGTACATATCTGCCATCAGCTTACCGTGTCTCCTACATATCAGTATCGGCAATAGATCGGTCGACCTCTATCATTAAGTTTGCTATACCTGGTTAGAAAAACCAAATATGGGGGGAAAGAGACCATGGATACCGTTAACCTATCGTGTTTCCTAGACACTCGTCCTGATCTCGTGGGACGTTTTTGTTTTTCACACTGCTGTCCTTGCGTGTCCTCCAGGTTGGGGCGAGCTACCCAGCTCCCACACTAAATCAGAAAGCTCTTGGGGCGACCCTGCACCCTCTCCAGGCAGCATGGATAATGGCACGTCTGCCTGGGGCAAACCGAGCGGGAGCTCTGGAGGCTGGGGAGACGGCAACCCAGACAGCTACAGCAGGAGCAACCAGACAATGACCACTGCTTCCTGTAAACCCAGTAAGTAAATCCTGGGTTTGCAACGGTGTTAACATGTGAATACTGATGGCATGCTCTAGCTCCGCCGCTGAAGCAAACAGTGTTTTTCTCCTGCTGAGTCAAATCAAGGACAATGTGACAGAAAAACCCATTTTTTTAGCCATAGGTCCACACTGCCCCCTAGTGGCTGCAGCGTTTAATTTAATGTCTGTGCAGCATGTTGGTTTTACTCTGTCCTCGTTGCATATATTTGTCTCAATACTTTTATCATTATATTACATTTATTTCTTTAAAAATTACATAAAATGTTAGCCTGTAAAACACTTGTTTATTTGTTAGCTTCTGTGGAAAGCATAAATACATTCACTTAAACTGATGCTCAACTTTGATTTCTCTCTGAGGTTTTGTAAACATTTATTTTTATTTTTTATTTTTTGTTTGTTTTTTCAGCCTCCAAACCTATGCAAGATGGATGGGGAGGAGGAGGAGGGGGCGGCGGAGGAGGAGGAGGAGGTGGGGAAGAGCTCAGCCTGTCAGGTGGTCAGTGGGACACTGAGGAGGGAGACATGTGGAACAGCACTGCATCCCAGGAGAGCAACTCTTCCTGCAACTCCTGGGGCAACACGTCCAAAAAAGTCCAGCAGAAGGTAGAAAGCTGTTCATGTGGAATGAGGAGATGACAAATATCCTCCTTTAGTCAGTTCTGGGAAAGCTTGTAAAACCTAAACTATTGCTGCTTAGCTGCTAGTAAACTGGTAGCACGTTGAGTTGGGAATCGGCCCGTTTTTACTGCTGGGTGTTTTTTCTTGTTCTGAGGAAACTGTTGAATGTGTAAATGCAGGTAGCAATGAAATATCTGGACCTGCAGATCACATTCTCAGACTTATTTTAAATGTTGTTTCAGTCAACTTGAAACTTGCTGAACAATTTAGGGTTGGGCATCGAGCATCGATTGGAACCTGTTCCAACTGTTAGTTTTTCCCGTAATTGTTCAACGGTACTTTTTTCGATTCCTAGAATGCCGACGGAAGAGGAATCCGCAGCCGATGTCCATGAAAAATAAACGTGATTTGCAAATTGTGATCATCACCTTTCAGAGCTGATCACACCAGCTGTATGCAGCAGCGAGTGTCTCCCCCCTCCCCCCCCTTGCAGCGACCAGATATAACGCGTCTGCCGAACTTTTACTCCGTAACATAAACTTTAACTTCTGCAGCGAAAAATGCGTAGAGGAAACGTCAACACGGTGGATTTAATAGAAGCTTTAAAGAACAAACTGGACGGTGTGAGGTGAGTTTGTCTCACTGCAGAAATAAAAACACACACGGAGCGTCAGCAGTCAGACGCAGCCGCTCACCAACACTCTGTGTGTGTGTGTGTGTGTGTGTGTGTGTGTGTGTGTGTGTGTGTGTGTGTGTGTGTGTGTGTGTGTGTGTGAGCGTCAGAAGGCTGAACAATAACCTGTAGAATAATTAAAGTCATCATGCTAGAGAAGCTTCTCTGTGGGTGGACCACAGCAGCTTCTGCCACAATAATAATAATAATAATAATAATAATAATAATAATAAATAACATTTTTTATTTCCTTTCTGAACTATTTCATTTGAGAGTTTTAATGTTTAAAATCTGTTAGATTGTTACTGACAGCAGCTACATTTAAGTTTCACTTTCTGTTCTGACTGAATGCTGCTGCAGCATGGAGGTGTAGTTCTCAGTCATCCTGGACATGATCATCCTGAGAGTTTTAGCTGAAAACAGCTGGATGTTTCTGGACATGTTGGAGACATTTAGTCTCTCATCCCAGAGGCTTCTTCCAGACGTTGGTTGTGGTCAGAAACAAACACACTGGTTGTGCTGCAAGTCTTTTTCTTTTTTCCTCCAAAACATGTTTTTGTCTAAATGAAGGTGATGTTGTTGTTCATAGAATTAAAATTCATGTTGAAGTCAAGATTATTTCATCAAGTAGGACCTGTGGTTAGCTAGCTCATGTAAAACATGTCATGTCTTCAAAGAATCAGAATCGGGAATCGATAGGAACCGGAATCGAAACGAGGAATCGGAATCGTTCAAAATGAAACGAAGCCCAACCCTGCTGAACATACTCCATCCATGTTTTTACGTGATTTTGTAATTCCACTGTGAAGTGTTGCTGCGTTGCCGCGCTAACCGCCGTCTCCCTCAGGTGAAAGTCCCAGGGAAGCAGGAAGATGTCTGGATCTTGAAGCATCTCATCAAACAGCTGACAGATATGGGGTTCCCTGTGAGTGATGCTGACGATGCTTCATCCTAACGTGAAGGCGTAACGCAGAGCTCTCACCATTGAACTCTGCTTGCTGTGTTTTGTTTTTCCAGAGGGATCCAGCAGAGGAGGCTCTGAAGAGCAACAACATGAACTTGGATCAGGCCATGAGCACCCTGCTGGAGAAGAAGACGGAGCTGGACAAGCGTGGGATGGGGCTCGGCGGCCATGACTACCACAACGGGCTGATCAACAAGTCCATGAGCTGCCCTCGGCCTCCGCTTCTTTCCAAAGATCCTTCAGCAGACCCTCGTCTGCCCTTCATTGATAAGGTACCTCATTCCTCATCTTCAAAAAATGTTTGAATAATTGTGGTGGTTTGGGCTCTCCAGCTGACGCGGTCTCTTGTGTGCTGCAGATGCAGAGTGGAATGTTTGGCGGCGGTGGAGCAGCACAAGCCCGGGCCATGCAGCAGCCGCAGCCGCCTCCTCAGCCACCAGTGCCGCCTCTCAGCTCCTCTCAGCCTAGTCTACGTGCTCAAGTGCCTCAGTTTCTCTCCCCTCAGGTTCGGCCACGCTCACCTACAAACACTCACGCTTGGTTTTAACCACGGTCAGATTCGTAGTCAAGCAACTGAATTAATGCAGGAAAATGCGTTTGTTTGATTTGAAACATCTCAAGAAGAGTTTCATAAAACTAGTAAACCTTTAGATGTTGTTTTTGTCCATCCACAGGTTCAAGCACAGCTCTTACAGTTCGCAGCAAAAAACATTGGTCTGAATCCTGCACTTTTAACCTCACCAATAAACCCTCAACATATGACGCTCCTGAATCAACTCTACCAGCTGCAGCTGGTGAGTCCTTCGCCGTTTAATGAACCCATCAGTTTCTGTTCCCGTAACGTTTAGACTTCAAAATAAAACCCCACTTAGAGCGGTTTATAATTGACTCCAACTTCTTTCTTATTTGTTCAAAGACTGAACCACAGATGGTTTTCCTTTTCTTTTCTTTGTATTTTTTTTTTTTTGGTTACTGTTGATTTTTATGGAAACAAATAAATATTTTAATGTTTAATTCACAGGCGTACCAGCGTTTACAAATTCAACAGCAGATGTTGCAGGCACAGCGCAATGTTTCTGGTCCCATTCGACAGCAAGAGCAGCAAGTACGCTTCCCTCTTCATCCTTGTTTGTTTATTTAGCTGTTCTACTTTATTCTCTCCTCTTCTAGATGGTTTACGAACTGGCTCACATTTGTAAATATTCAAGGCGTGTTGCATGTTTTGGATCCTAACTGCGGGTCCTCTGATGCGTTCTCAGGTTGCACGTACAATCAATAACATGCAGCAGCAGATCCAGCAGCACCAACGACAGCTGGCCCAGGCTCTGCTGTTGAAACAGCAGCAACAGCAGCAGCCCCCCTCCCACTCAGGCCTGCATCCTGGTGGAGCCAAATCCACCCTGGATTCATTTCCAGGTCACCCCCAGACTCCAGGCCTCCCCGACCTGCAGACCAAAGAGCCGCAGTCATCCCCCAACACCTACAGCCCCTATGCTCTCTGTGAGTGGCAGGAAGTGTTGATCTGTGACGGTGAGAGGGATCCGATTGCTGAGCATCATTTGTAACATCGGTCTTTCTCTTTCTCCTCAGCTGGACTGAATCCAAACCTGAATCCAAACTGTATCGATGTGGGAAGTCTTCCTCTGAAAGAACCCCCGCAGCCCCAGTCGCGGCTGTCTCAGTGGACACACCCGAACTCCATCGAAAGTCTGTCTGGACACGCCTCTGCTCTTGAGCCCAATCTGGGAAAGCACGGTGAGGAAAACCACAAGATCCAGCTCATCAAGCAGCCTGATGTTTCAGTAAAAGCGGTTTCATTCTGTGAGTCGTCAGTTTCCATAAAGTCCTGGAAGATCAAGAATCAACAGAAATCTTTCAAAACGTAGATCAGGAAATCATGTTTGTATCCTACAAATCATTATTAAATGTATAATTATTATAATTAAAGGAGCATTACGTACAAATTTTACAGTGAAATAATCGCAAAACAGTTTAATGTCTCAGTCAGCGGCTCTTAGCCAGCTGGGGGGTTGTCAGTTTTTCTCTCTTTCAAAAACTAAAGAGGGACGCGGTTACTGTTTACAAAGCGTTTGTGAGGTTGCCATGTCTCAGGTGAGCCAACACTGCAGCGCTGGCATTTGCAATTTGACACTGGTCGGCAAAAAGCTCCAGAGATCCTAAGCCAGGTAACAGGAGTAACCCAGAAGTTATTTCTTGTACTTCTAAGAAACCACAACATCTTTTTGTTTTACGCTAATATCTGGTGATTCAGGCTAGAAGCTAACGTTGAGCTAACAATGAATTAGAAGCAAATAGTCGGCTATAAAAATATCTCAAGCAACTTTTTCGATTACCAAAAACTCTGTTACATTGAAACGTGTGTGTGAAGTGAATAATGACTCGGTTGTGGTGTTTTACTTCTTTTAATGAGTCATTCAGAGCTCAAACAGCAAGACGGCGCTGGAGAAATATTACCGTAATAATTGTAGTAAGTGCTCCCTAGCGTAAAACACCCAAAGGTGCTAGCACCCAATATGGTAATGCATTTATCAACTTACTTACAACTGACTCGTCATTGCTTGTCATCTAGAATCTTCGGTGCTGATTCGTTACTGACGTCAGCCATGATGGCTTAGGAAAATGGACTGCAGTTACCTCATTTGACCACATGATGTCATTCTCACTTCATTTTTACATGTTTCACCTTTAAGTAAAGCCATTTGTTTTGTCTGGGTAGGTGCCCCCCTGGGGCCTCCTGGGAAGCCCCCCCAGATGGACGACTCGTACCACCACTACAACCTGATGTCCAGCTCCGAGTCTCCTACAAGCCCGCTGGTCCCCCCCGAAAGCTGGGGGCAGGGCAAGAACAGCAGCGACAAGATGGCGAATGGGACCAACATCAACTGGCCACCAGGTTAGAAAACGTCTACTGTCACATCATGTTTGTGGGTACTTCAGAATGCGTACTTTTACTTTATTCCCTTTGGAGTTTGAAATCGTCGTGAGTGAAAGTAAACAAAAACTTGTTTCAGAGTTTTGTCCCGGCGTTCCCTGGAAGGGGCTACAGAACATCGACCCTGAGACTGACCCTAACGTGACCCCAGGCAGCGTCCCCAGTGGACCCACCATCAACACCAACATCCAGGATGTCAACCGCTACCTGCTGCGGGACAGGAGTGGAGGTCAGACCAACCGCCAGTGGCTGCTTGTGTTTCATACGTTTATGTTGAATATTATGTCTCTTTGAAGATCCGGCTGGAGTTTAAAAGATACCCGAAAAATCAATAAACTGAATTTCCTATTTTAAAAAAGTATCAGAGGTTTTAAACCTATCCGGGATCCTGCTGCTGCTTCTTTTCTTCTTTATTTTCCTGCTTTAACTGCTTCTATTTCCATTTTCACCCACTTGAACCTCAGTGATCTTATCATCATTTGTAGTGCCTTTTTTTTTTCTTTGCTCCATTTCCTCTCTTGCTACTTTTTCCTTATTTGTGTTTGTCTGTTGGTGTCGCTGGCGTCGCCTCAGGCTCCTCCCCCACTTCATCTCAGAACGAGGCTCTGCCTCCTTCCGCTGATTGGCCGGTCAGTGCCTACACTAGCTCGTTCAGTCTCTCGTCCCCGGAGATGGACGAAGCAGGTACATGGTTTACCCACAACCCTCTCCCCTCACCCTGCAGTGACCGTGTGGTCCAGAGCTCTAACCCTGCTCCCCCCCCCCAAGCCGCTACTCCTGAGCATGATTTTCATTTGAAAGGTCAGCGGTGTTAGCAAAGCAGTCCCTTCTAGTGCCTGGACAGTGTGAAGCAGAGGAGATGCTAGGTTAGTTTACAGCTGACTGTGAACAGCTTTCATTCGTTCTGTCTGCTTCTCTTCATAAAAGAATGGGAGATATGTGGTGGTTGTAGATTTGTGGAAAAGTGTTACTTTTTCATTAGATGTGTCCCTAACCAGAGAACCTGCAGCTCTGGGTTCTGCAGACCAACCGTCCTCCATGTTTCCATCCAGGTAAACTGTCGGAGATGAAATCAACCTGGTCCCCAGGCCCCATCTCTCACAGCCAGCCGTCTCTGTCCCACGAGCTTTGGAAGGTCCCTCATGGCCCGCGGAGCAGCACCACCGCCCCCTCCCGCCCTCCGCCCGGCCTCACGAACACGAAGCCCTCCTCCACCTGGGGCGGGAACTCTCTGGGTCTGAGCCAAGGCTGGAGCAGCTCCTACACCACAGGTACGTCACACCCTTCATGTCTCTAATCTGCTGAAAATCAGCTCCGCGCTGTTTAATGATGAACATGAGGCGTTCAACTCTTATCTACTGGTTTACGTCAGAGTTATTATCCCACTCAATCCAGTAGCAGATGGAACCGATGAAGCTGTGATGAACGACTGGACACTTGAAGATGATTTGCTGCAGATTTCCACATCATAAATGAAGACGACGATCTAAGACGGGGCATCTAAGGCTACGTTCACACTGCAGGCCTTGATGCTCAATTCCGATTTTTTTTTTTGAGTAAACCAGATTTTTTTGTGTGGCTGTTCACATCATGACTGAAATACAACATCAGATTCTCTCCAGTGTGAACGCTCCTCGGCCCCAAAGAGACCCGTGAAAACTTTCATACCTGTTAATTCTTCCGTTTTGGGCTGGAAACTGTTTTAAAAACTGTAAACTATTTTACTCCTTGTTCCCGCCATCTCCCTGAATTAGTATTTATAGAAAATGTTCCGGAATTAATTCCTTCACGGAGAATCCTCCTCCCTCCCTCCCTTCACGGAGACGGAGACCGGTGAGACGCGTCGCTCCAGCAGCACCTCCCGTTCCCGTTCACATTCTCTCTTTTTAATTCCAAAACTTAAAACAGGAAGTCCCGACAGACTCCTGAACCCTTCTGTCAGCGCTTCTCCTCGGGATCATGCACGCACGACGCTCACCTCCGCTGACTCAGTGACGTAGGAGACAGATTTAATGAGACATGACCGTTCAGACTGCAGCCGCTTTCAAAATCATCAGATATGTGTCGGAATCAGTCCCACATATTCAAGTGACACGGATCGCGTTTGAAAAAATCTGATCTGTGCCATTCAGACTGTCATAAAAAACTCAGATATGGGTCACATGTGGGGAAAAGGCAGATTTAATGCGCTTTGGCCTGCAGTGTGAGCGTAGCCTAAGAGTGTCTGAGGCGTCAGGCTCTTATGTTGTGGCTAAGTGTGAGCCGTGGTGCGGTTCAGCTCTGGGGTTTTGCACATTCAATTCAATTCAATTCAAAAACACTTTATTAATCCCAGAGGGAAATTAATTGCTGTAGTAGCTCAGAATAATAATAATAATCAAGTCATCAAAGAGTTATTGTATATTACAATGGCTGTTGGCAGGAAGGATCTCCAGTAGCGGTCAGTGTTGCAGCAAAACTGAAGAAGCCTCTGACTGAAGACACTCTTCCGTTGTCGGACAGTCTTGTGAAGAGAATGCTCACGGTTGTCCATCATTTTCTTGATTCTCTGGAGAATCCTTCTTTGCATTATCTCCTCCAGCGGTTCCGAAACTGCCGAAACTCTGGCTGAGTCCTTGAAAGGGCTTGGAGTTCCTCCATCTTGTTGGCCAGTGATCTCACATTGCCCATTATGATCGATGGAAGAGATGGTTTGAATTTCCTCTTTCTCTGTCTCCGTTTTGCTCCCGCTCTGCATCCACGCTTCTTGCATTTTAGCTCATTTGGGATTTTTGGCTTCAGTTGAGGTATTATTTCATCCTTTCCAATGTTAATCAGCTGCTCCCAATTGTAAACCAGCTTGTCGCCATGGTTACGCATCATAACAAATGCTCAAAAAGTGAAAAAATAGCAGTAAAAATCCTCCAAGCTTCACAGCACCAGAAACAGAAAAGTAAAGTGTCCAAAAAATACAGTTTTTCTTGAGAAACTAGAAGAAAAAGTGCCCAAGCAAAGGCAAAACTTACATATAGTCAACACACAGAGCTACTCCAACATGCAGCCGCCCAGAGCAGCGCAGTTCCGGAAAAAAACGGTCGTGTTGCAGGTGAGAGTGAAACGTGTTGTGATGATGCCTCCAACCACAGGGCGTGGTGATCCTGAAGCCTGTTGTGGTTCATCATCTCATGGCTACAGCTGACTCCACCCTTTCAGCCTCAGTAACTGACTTTGGTTTCACACGAGCTCAGGAGGTATAACAGAACTCTGCTTTTCCACAGCTGGCACCACGTGGAGTACGGACAGCTCCAACCGGACCAGCAGCTGGCTGGTTCTGAGGAACCTCACTCCACAGGTGAGCGTTCCCTCATCTCTCTGTCTGCTGGCGTTTATTGAGCGTAAACTCTGTCTGGGTGCTCTAATGTGTGATTTTTGCAGATCGATGGTTCGACTCTGCGTACTCTGTGCATGCAGCACGGCCCGCTCATCACATTCCACCTGAACCTGACGCAGGGAAACGCTGTGGTGCGCTACAGCTCCAAGGATGAAGCTGCTAAGGCTCAGAAGTCCCTGCACATGTACGTCCGCACAGCTTTAGGGTGCAGCCCGGTCACATTTTAGAATTCTGTAACCTTATGGCGTTTTTTTCTACATCCAGGTGTGTGCTCGGGAACACCACCATCCTTGCAGAGTTTGCAGGTGAAGAGGAAGTGAACCGCTTCTTTGCACAGGGCCAGTCGCTCGGTGGAACCACCAGCTGGCAGGCCAGTCCAGGCACCAATCAGACGAGGATGGGCGGAGCCGGGTCCGGAGCAACTCACCCCATCGGCCACTCGCCCCACTGGAACAAAAACAGCGGGGGTGTCGGGAATAGCGGCGGCGGCGGGCTCGGAGCAGGTGGAGCAAAAACGGGAGGGGAGCTGCTCTGGGGCGGAGTTCAGCAGTATTCCAGTCTGTGGGGCCCCCCGAGTGGAGAGGAGGGGCGGGTCATGGGGAGCCCCACACCAATCAACACGCTGCTGCCTGGTGACCTGCTGAGTGGAGAGTCCATGTAGGGAAACGCAAACCTTTCAAATCAACGTGGAGATAATCAGAGTAGGAGCGAAGGAGACGAGAGGAAGGCAAGGCCACATCTTCGCTGCTTCGCTTTGTCGGCCTCCTCAGCTCTTTTTGTGTTTTATGACCTTTCAGTTGCAGTTTTATCGGTGTGAATTTTAATAAGTGATTTGTGGCCTCAGTGTTCAGCTTTTGCTCCTGGAGCCACAGGAGGGAGTCCTTCATCTATCAAAGACAAACATCTTACAGAACGAACGTTGGAGAAGTCGCCGTGTAAAACTAACGCGAGTCAAACTGACACAGTGACAAGCTGCCATCTTTAAACGTACGTAATCCCTCGCTGCCTTTGCAGGCAATCATAATGCACCTCAGAGATCCATACAAAAGGCATCATTCCCAAAGTAAAAACGCTTCAATCAGAGCGGCTGTGGAACTTTCAGCTGGTCCAGACTCAACGTTTGTTTCTCTCAGCACTAAAATTAGCCTTAAACCATTTCCTGCCCTGCTAGCCTCACTCTCTCTTGCACACCCTTATTTCTGAGCCAGTGAAACCTGAGTGGAGAGTACGTGCTGCTGCTGCTGCAGCGTCACATAAGCAACCAAGCTTATCTTTGGGTTTTGTTTAGTTGGAGTTCCCCACGCGATGCTCGAAGGGAATGATGCAACTGTTCGCCTTGTTCAAGCCATTTATTTTTGTAGTATTTTTTAATTGTTTTTCTTCTTGAACCATTGCAAACAGAGCTTAGAAATGATATTATTCAAATGTGTCTGTCAGTCCTATCCGGTGGAGGGGTGGGGGGTGTTGTGCATGTACAGTTGAAGATACGACGAACCACTGCTATTACAATGGAACTGTAAACACTTTATTAACGCACCTCAGCCCGTCTCTGATCTCCTCGCAGTTTGGTTTCAGCCCCAGACGGCCTCGCTGACCTCATATTGCACCCCCCCCCCCACTCCCCCAACAGCACGCCCAGTCCACCTGCAACACCCACCTTCTCAAGTGACGTGCAATATGAACCAGACTCTCCCGTCCAAGCACCCTACGACTGACAGCAGACCATAAGGAACAAGTGAACTGCAAATACTTTATCTGCCCTGCAGCCCCACCTTAACAGAATAAAACTGCCCCCCCAAGAGAATGTGTGAATCCTGGGGGGGGGGGGGGGGGGGACAAGCTGATCTTCATCCATTCTGCTTGAGATGCAAGGACTTTCATTCAAAGCACTTCTCAGCCGGCCGCCTCCATGTTTATACTAAAGACTCATTTTGAGGAGAGGTTGCAGCTCGTGTGTGTGTGTGTGTGTGTGTGTGTGTGTGTGCGTGCGTGTGAGAGACAAACCAAAATGAGAGGAGCTTGTTTTATCCTGATTACCCAGAAGACTTTGGTTCCTGTTCAGATCCTCCTTTGCTTCGGCGGACGAGGTGAAGCGAAGGTCTGTGACGAAGCAGTCGATCATAGCACTTAGAGCACCACTGCTCCTTATACCCTCAATGCCAACAAATAGAAGAGATAGAGAAGCAACACTGGCAAATAAAAAAAAAACTGCAAAAGCAAAGACTCAGAAGCAATCTGATCAGTGGCTTCTCTGTATACTTATTTTTTAACTTGACATGGATGTGTTTTTTTTATCCTTTTTAACTGACGTCTGGGACCAGAGGATGTTAAACATGGTAGCAACGTGAAGGGAAATACAAAGAAAAACTAACAGATGATGGGTGTGACCACACAGTGCTCATCCTCTCCGTCTCTTATCAGCATAAGCATCACTGTTACATTTGCAACTCTTCAGCCTTGCTGTTTGGAAATGGGTCCAGCAGGGAGGACCGCTGTCTTGTCTCGTCCTTTTAGTCGCTGATGATCGAGGCCCTGCCACCCTGTGTGATAGTTTGGCCACTGAGTGCCTGCCTGCTGCAGAGTGCAGTGCTGCAGCAGCCTACATCCCCGCGGACCCCCCACCCCCTCCACACCTAGAGCAGCTCTGTCAGAACTGGCCCCACCTGTATTGAATCAACTACTGTTACGCCAGAGACTGTCCTCTGCAACCACCACGTCCCTTCTCTCTCCTGCAAAGCATCACTTTAGTCAGAGATCGTCATTGATGTGTGCTTTTTTTTTCTTATTGCCACAGTGCATCTTTATTTAGTTGCAAGTTTGCCGATGATGTTGCTGTTTATGTTCATGGTGATGATGATGATTTTATGGTCTGTATGCAGTGTTGAGCTTCTCTCCTGCCCCTCCCACTGCCTCAGAACCAGTGTGTAGTTGAGAGATGCACCTCAGCCTCGCTTCAGTAGGGGAAAACAACTTATTCCCAGATGGCGACCCGACTTCTTGGCCGTTTCGTCATCGATGGGCTGTGCTCACACTGGTGCTGTACCCTGGGATCGCTCGGTTAGACTTAGGACCACCTCAACTGACCGCAGCGTTCCATTTCTATGCAAAAACAAGGAGGCGTGGGTTTGCAGTCGTGCCCTAACATCTGCCAATATCCACTTTGATCTCGCATCCTTTACTACCAGGCAGCTTCTGAAACCTCACGCAGTAAAATGTAGGGGACACTGAAACCCTTTCTGGTCTCGTTAGGTGGAAACGAGCTTTTAGATGACACTAAACGACCTGCTGGAGGCACTACTCATTGGCAATTGCTTTCTCAGTCTCGTGCCAATCGATTTGTTAGAATCTACTTCCACTTTTCATGTAGTTAAATATCTTAAATGGAAAATGTAGAGTTGCTCTTGCTGCTGCTGCTGGGGAATCTTTATTTTTTACTGGAGGCTGCGGTGTGGGGACGTGGGGTTTAACTGAGATCTGTGTATGTGTCTGTGCACTGTTTATTGGTCACATCGGGTACATCTCTTTTAAAACCAAAAACATGATCTTTTTTCTTTATCATCAAGGTTTTCACAGAAAAGTTAAAAAAAAATCAAATAAAGTTGTTTTTTTTCTGCTGCGCACTCCGAGTGAGAGATCCCTGCATCCTGTTTTGCTAAGGAGCCGACACGGGTCGCAGCTCCAGTTTGGTACCAAGTCTTAAAACCTTCGGGGACCTGCTCTCTTCCAGAGTCGCCTTGGACGCTGATCGTTCAACTAAACAATCACTTTTTGCCTGTGCTGTTTGCTTGTTTGTTTCCTGACGAAATCCCGTGTTTTACTCCACACTGGACTTGATTACTGAGCTGGTGTCGAAGAGGGACAGAACGTGGGGGAGGGGAGCCTCAGATGTGGATATTCTCAGCGCAGCACCAGCACTGAGAGCCTCCTCCCACACGCTTGCACTCATATCTACCTGTTTGTGTTGGAAATCGGACGTTTCCATGTTCACCACTTCCATTCGTAAGGTGGACTCCAAGGCAACTGGAGCTTCACCTGTTCTCAATCATGGATCAGAAGAGTCAGGGCAGGGACGCAGAAGAGCTGGATCAGCAAAAATGTCTTTAAGAACTGGGTTGAATATGCACATGCTTGCTCACACACACACATGCACACACACTATACAGGCTGGATTTGATCTGTTTTCCACTTGAGTCCTTCCCTCGCTTCAGCTTCTGTTTGGAGTTTATTAACCGTCTGTATCCAACATATTTCCCAGAAGACAAGACGATAAACATATCAGAGTAATACAAAATAATGAAAACAAATACTTGAATCAAAAGAAGCGCCAATAATGTAATGTGAACACTTTTTGTAGTGTTGTTTTTACTTTTCTTTTTGTCTCATTCATACACTTCAGAGATTTTTGATAGCATCTGTTCAGAGTAAATGATTTCAAATGTTGAAAGCAAAGATCGACTTTAAAAAGGCAAGTGTTGCATCTGTCGTGTTCGAGTGTTTGCACAAGGCTGCTTGTACTGTATGAATGAATGAATGTTCGCCGCGTCAGGGTGAAAACACGCGAGAGCTCGTGATTACGGCGGAAAACGTTTTGCCTCGTGTATTTTTTTTTTTATTCAGTATAATTTTGTTGTCTTTTTTTTCTCGTGCTCGTCAAAACTAGATTGGAAAGTTGTAACTAGCCTCTAGTGTTGCACTGAGTGTCGGCCTCACCCCCTCATCCAGCTACATGAACAACATGATACAAGTACCGAGGGGAGGCGGAGACAGTTCATGTGTACATGTTTACTCAAGGACTAAAATAAGTGTTTTGTTTCATTTTTTTAAAGTAATGTAATGTTTATCTACCTTAGTGGCTTTTATTGTGGAATAATCCAAGAAAGTATCGATCATAATTGAGTATTGCACCATTTTTCAGACTGTAAACTTTTAAAAAAAGGAAAAAAAAATCACATATATATATAAAAAATGCAGCAAAAAAAGAAGTATTTTGCAGACTTGTGGCCATAGATGGGGTAGAGAGACTTCGGCTCTCCCAAATCTGAGCAAACGGGGAGTGAAGGACGAGACATCAGACCGAGCCCGGGCTTCTAGGGCTCACTTCAGAGGTGCCTAAAGTTTATTTTGTTGTTTGATTTTGTTTTCTTGTCACTTATGTTGGGTTCATTTATGTTCTGCAAGGCCACTGACAGTTTACAGTTTTATTTCATCTTCTGGATTTAAAAAATGGAGGAAATAAACACCAGGAATGTTGGAAAAAGAAAGAAAAAAGGACAAATGCTTCCAATTTCACAGAATGAAGATTTCTTGTGCTACTTTTCAGAACTCTGGGATTGAACAGTGTTGTCTTGTTCTGTTTAACCTTTGTTGTTCTGTGTTAATGTTGATTTTATGGACTATCTAAAGCCTGTTCGGTTTTCTGTTCATTATGTATATTTTTTCCTTTTTAGAGAAAAAAAAAAGATAAATGCTCTCTATCTTGCACACTCACAAAAAAGTGGATCTTGTCTCAGGAAAGCCAGGGTTCCAGAGTACCAACTCCACGCCATTTTAATGTACATTTTTATGATGCGTTCAAAATAAAAAGGAAAAAGAAATAAAAAAAAGGCCGAGTTAAAAGAAACAATTCTAAGCACTGAAACGTATGGATTTCAGAAGAAAATACCTGTTTTGTTTCTAAATCCGTAGCAGTTACATAATAACCAAATAATGGACTTTAAACAAAAAATGGAGTGCTTTATATTATAAATCTATATATTAAAATTGCTTTACATTAAAAAAAATAAAAAGTGGTCAATGAGTTTGTTTAAAAATGGTGAATAACATGCAAATGCTGTATGTCTGAGTCGTATTTCCTAATGAGGTCCCGTCCTGACTCGATCAGGAACTTTGTGCATTATTCCTGTATTTTCTCCCGCGGTGGGTATTATTATGATTATTGAATAAATTGGACTTTTCTGGATCATTTAAAATTTTGGAGGATGTATGTAAAACATGAGCTGGTTTAAAGGATCATGAATCTATGCACAAGTGTCGGGTGTGGGGGCAGAATGGTTGTGGGGTGGGGTCATGGCCTACTTCCTGTAAGTGACTGATCTTCTTGGGGTGGGGGGGGGGGGGGTGGGGTGGGGGGGGGGGAATGTGTTTATGTTACTTTATTGTTGATTTACGGATGGGCGGGTGGTTGGGGTGGAGCCCACCATCCCCAGCTTCCCACCCCCCGCGGTTCAGCCTGACCTAGCGCTACATCGCCATGCTGTGTATTCCTAAACCAATGAGCATCTCACACTTTAGCACTGTGGGATTCTAGCCTGTCACCCTCACGGGATTTCATTTGTTTCTTTCCTCAGTTGTTACGGTTTTATGGAGGGTGGGGTTGGATTAGGGCTGCTTTTTTAATTTTTTTGCGTTTTTTTTTTTTTTGGTTGAGATATTAAGTAAAACTTGTTACTGAGAGTTAATGAGAAGTCAGTGGCTTGTAATGTTTTATTTTTTTTCTCTGTATATCTCCTTCTCCTCATAGAATGTGATTGTTAAATGACATGCACCGAAACAAATGTTTTCATGAACTATGGAGCTTCTTTCAAATATTAATAAAATAGCATTTTTTTCTTGTCTGTTTAAGTTGTCGGCCATTTTTGTTTAATACATCATTGTCATTTACAAGCCTAACTGGATATTTTATTCTGGAGTCACTTTTACATCATTTTGTGGTGTCGTGGGTCTCCACTGCCTCTATAAACACACCAAATGTGAAAAATCTAGTCAATCCGTTGTCTGTCAGTGTTTAGTTTTAGTAATTATATGCCTAAAATGAGTCATTAAAAAAACTGTGACATCACAAATGGGGATGGTAGAATAGAACTACCCCTCACAAGAGAGCTGCTGCTGGCAGTGGTGTGTCCAGATCTTTTAAAATGGGGTGGCCCAGGTGTACTTTGTGCATGGGTGGCACCATTGGTTATGCATTTATTTTTTTATCCCAAGCATTTTGTGGACAATGAAAAGCCTATTTAAAGGGAATTCAGTGTGGTGGCACCTGGGGTGGCCAATCAGATTCCATGGGTGGCATTTGCTACCCCAGGCCACTCCCTGGACACGCCCCTGGCTGCTGGAGGAGCAGTAAAGCCTGGGACATACCGGCCGCCGAAGCGCCGCGAAACGGGGACCGCCTTCATTCGGTACCCTTGTTATCCTATTCTGTAGGCCACATGGGCCGCCGCATGCTGGCGTTCCAGCCCGCGCAGTGCAGCGATCGTTTCGGCGTCTGCTCAATTTTTTTCGCGAGTCGTGGGTGAACCGCGTCAATTCTAGCAGGAAGTCAAACCTAGACATAAGAGGCAGGCCGGTAAATTTAACAGAATGAGGCATTTCAAAATAAAATTCTGCGATAGTCAAATGTGTTTGTAAACAGACACTGCATAAAAACCACACGAACACACACACACACACAGCGAACTTGTGTGTGGTGTGACCACGTGAAGGGGGTGTGGTTTTGGGTGTCTTTCAACCAGAGCAAACAGGACATAGAGGCAGAAAGTCGTAGGCCAGCTATTAACAACTGGTTCACACCATAAGTTCACACTGGTTCACACACACGCGGACAAACCAAACACACACAAACAGCAAGGGGGAGGGGGGTGTAGAGGAAAAGAGCAGAGAAAAGGCAGAGTGGAAAGGGAGGACACCAAGTGGTTAAAAGAAAAACTGCAGCTGAGCCGAGGCGCACCTCGACCGGAGCGGAGAGACCTGAGGAGAAGCAAGCAGCGACCGAATTTCATGAGCGCATTGCCTCCCGGCGCTTCGGCAGCCGGTGTGTCCCAGGCGTAACTCTACTCCAAGCCCCTTCTAGATATGAGCTTCTCAGCTATTAGCAGCCCCTCAGGCTGCTATTGAGGGGTGAGTGAGCGGGGCCACCTCTAGCTTGTTATGACAGAGCCCTGAAGCTGTCAAAAATAAAACTGCTGAAATCACTTTATCTGAGAAGAATATTTTTTACAAAGAACTTCCTGAACATGTTTTTAATACACCATAGAACAATTACAACTTGAAAAAAAGGTTGCATGGCCCCTTTAATTATTTTGTAAATGCGGTCTATTGTTTGAACCAGGGGCTGCACGGTGGTTAGCCCTGTTGCCTTGCAGCAAGAAGGTGCTGGGTTCTAATCCTAACCTGGGGTCTTTCTGCATGGAGTTTTCATGTTCTCTCTGTGCGTGCGTGGGTTCTCTCAGGGTACTACAGCTTCCTCCCACAGTCCATAAACATGAGCCAGGTTGGTTGGTTTCTCCAAACTGTCCTTAGATGTGTGTTGCCCTGCAAGGGACTGGCAACCTCTCCAGGGTGTACCCCGCCTGCTTACCCAGAGACTGCTGGAGATGGGCACCAGCCCCCTGCCACCCTGGGTGGACAAGCAGGTTTAGATGATGGATGGATGTTTGAACCAGTTCTGAGGTCATAGTGACATCAGGCTCTGAGCACGAGCTGTCTGGGACAGGCGTAGTAGTTCTCCTGCTGTGGCCGGACATTTGGGTTGGCGTAAACGGGGAAGTGGACTTCCTCCAGGTGTGAGGGGGCCTCATGGTTGTTCTGGGGGCTTCCAGGGGTCTGCTGCTTCTGGCTCATTTCCTCATAGATGGGAGAGTGGGGCTGTGGCACGGAGTGATGCCGTAACTTCACCTACAACACAACAGTGCGTCATCAGGAAAGAAATTCACACACTACGTGTTTTTACTTCCAATTTGCATCACTTGAATCTTTTGATAATAAATGAGCAGCAGGGCATAGTGGACATCATAGGGAGAGCTGGTTGTCGTAGCAACAACATCATTAGTCAACACAAAAAAACAGCTTGAAAAAGTTTGAGGATAAAATAAAAAAAGCAGCAGATGATCTGACAACAGTTTAACTTTCTTCATTTACAGAGAGATGGAGCTTATTAATCAGATTTATTACAAACATTTCCCGCATTAATGGTCATCGCTGAATTTTTGTAGTTTAATTCATTCTTAGGGGAAAAAAATCAACTGAATTTTTTCACATGTTCAACCAAAAGAAGATTTAGACGTTGTAGTATGCCAGTGGTAGGCCGTGTTTAGAATATGAGTATATCATCATCTTCCACACTTTTAAACGAATTCCTCTATTTTACAATAAAGAATCAGAATCAAGCAGCTGTCTCTGAACTGAGTTTGCTCAACTTCTTGATTCTCAGTGATTTTTCAGTCTGTTTGACTTTATCTTTAATTTCATCTTTGAGTATTTGAATATCAAAATTAGACAAATTTACAGGTAAAAAAAAAAGTACAAGTCCATCCATCCATCCTTCCATCCATCCACCCATCCATCCATCCATCCATCCACCCACCCATCCATCCATCCATCCATCCATCCACCCACCCATCCATCCATCCATCCATCCATCCATCCATCCATTTTCATCCGCTTATTTGGAGTCGGGTCGCGGGGCAGTAGCCTAAGGCGAGAGGCCCAGACTTCCCTCTCCTCAGCCACTTGGGCCAGCTCCTCCGGAGAAATCCCAAGGTGTTCCCTGACCAGGTGAGAGACATAGTCCCTCCACCGTGTCCTGGGTCTACCTTTAGGTCTCCTCCTGGTTGGACGTGCCTGGAAAACCTCACCAGGGAGGCGTCCAGGAGGTATACTGACCAGATGCCCGAGCCACCTCAACTGGCTCCTCTCGATGTGGAGGAGCAGCGAATCTACTCTGAGACCCTCCCGGAGGACCGAGCTTCTCACTCTATCTCTAAGGGAGAGCCCAGCCACTCTTCGGAGAAAACTCATTTCGGCCGCTTGTATCCGCAATCTCGTTCTTTCGGTCACTACCCAAAGCTCATGACCATAGGTGAGGGTAGGAACGTAGATCGACCGGTAAATCGAGAGCTTCACCTTCTGACTCAGCTCTCTCTTCACCACGGCAGACCGGCACAACGCCTGCAGATGCAGCACTGATCTGCCTATTGATCTCACGCTCCAGTTTTCCCTCACTCTTGAACAAGACCCCGAGATATTTAAACTCCTCCACTTGGGGCAGAACCTCATCCCTGACCCGGAGAAGGCATTCTACCCTTTTCCGAATCAAGACCATGGTCTCAGATTTAGAGGAAAAGTACAAGTCTTCAAATGTAAAACACAATTCTAGGATGAACAGATTTTTCTACTTTGACGTAACCTTTATTTGTTACAAGGCGAGAGCCTGCTTGCTCCTTTTCAGCCTTGTGGTGGTGAGATGAAAAACTGATGCAGTTTTTTTTTACATTTTATCTTGATGAAAAGCAAAAAGAGCAAAGGCATTCACCCATAATGTGATCATTTAGTCTTCATGCGCTCTAACATGAGGAAGACTCACACATCTCTCTAAGATCATCCAGCTGAAGGCCAGCAGCAGAAGTCCTGCAGCAGCAGTGATGGTCCAGAGCAGAGGGGTGCAGCTGTGAGCGCACGTGCGAGGTCTCCCTGCAACACAAACACACCTGTTCTCACATCTGAGCACAGGTGCTCATGAGTAACTGCAGCATGTGAGAGCTAATCTACCTGCTCCTTCAACCAGAAGGAAAACCTTCTGCTCGCTCTGGATCATCCGATCAGAGATGTTCCTCTCTCTGTAACTCAGCTCCCACGTGTAAAGCCCCGAGTCACTCAGCTGTAAGTCAGAGATGCTGACGTTGATCCTGATGGAGTCCAGACCTCCACTGAGCTGCAGGCGCTCCCGACGCTCCGGGTCCACCCTAACCGCTCTGGCTGCAGACAAGGACAGCAGGGTGGTCTGGGTCTGAACCCCGCGATGGTACAGGTGGAGGCCTACAGGGGGGCCATGATCCTCCTGAGGGAGGCAGGAGAGCCCCAGAGACTGACCCTCTGTCAGACGCTTGAAGACCAACTCTGCACAAGCTGGAAGGGAAAGGAATCAGCTTCTGGTGGACACACACCACTCCTACTTACGTTACTGTCACGTTTCTACAAAGTCACAAACTGTAAATCCTGACTTTATGTTGTTGTTCATCCAATGGTGTTCTCTACATGGAAACTTGCACCAACTTGTAATATTCAGCAGGAAATTTAGATTATGAGAACCTAATAACCGTATGAACTTAAATAAATCAAATTTAGTTCAAATACAGCCTCAGAGCTCCAGCTGTAACCAAAACCCCACAGCAGAGATTCAATATCTGCCCCAAATCAGTGAAACGGTTAAAGGCTTAAAGCTGACGAACGCATCCTGACGGTTACACAGGAAAACACATGAGTTTCTAATACTTTGCTGCATATTTCTGTAAGTGAAGAAGACTTCTTACCTTCAAAGATCTGAATGAAGATGAAAGCACAATCCAGACGAGTCTTCATGTCTTTTAGATTTAAAGAAAGAAAACGCAGTTAGGTTCTGTTCTATCCTCTGCTGTGTGTGAGACGTTACACACACACACACACACCCCTCCTGTTCTTATTGTTCTTCACCTCAGTGCAGGAAGAGAACCTCACAGCGAGAGAGCAGCCGTTAGAATCCTTCCGTTGTTCTGCACTTTTTCTCAACCTTCAGTGTCAAAATGCTGCAAACCTGCAGCTGTTAAGGTTTTCTTTATAAGTAATTTTTAATGAGTGCAGCTTCTTGGTTTAAGCTTTATTTTGACGTTTAGATAAAAAAACAACTAATAAAATCCGGATCAAATCAAGCCAGTGAGAATTATTTTCCACACCCTTCGTGGGCCTTCGTTTTTCAGCCCTGGAGTGAAACTTTTTCAAGACACAAACTAGAAATAAAAAAAGATCTTTTAAACATCTGAGGAAAGTTTCTTCTTCTTCTTCTGGGGTTTAAATGGCAGTTGGCACACAACGAATGGTGCACTGAGGAAAGTTTTAGTTTTAATTCCACTTTTAAATCAGAAGCACTGATAAAAATTCCACCAGAAGGAACTAATTAGGGACTATTTTTACACAAAGTCACCATCATGAGCAAAAAAAACAAAACTTTATCTTGGAGGACTTTTTATTCTAATTTTAAAACTCCTTCCTGCTTGTTATATGTGTGCCTGAACTAAGGTGGATCCAATCAGAGGCTGATTAGTGGCTGATTGGACTCAGGTGTGTTCTGCTGTGGGTTTAAAAGCCAGGCCCGTGCTGCTAAGATCACTGTCTTGTGGGTCAGGAAGAAACACTTGCAGTCTTTACCTTGTTGTTGCTGCCGCTGTTGGGACCTGATGGAGATCTTGTGGCTTTGGCTTGGCTTCGGCCTCGTTTTTGGGCCTTGTTTGTTTTGCTCGTCGCTTGCGTTCCTGCCAACGCTGCCTGTCTCTCTCAAACAACCCCAGCCTCAGAGCCCCTCTCTGAGTGTGGCTCAGCAGCAGGAGCAGCAGCAGCAGCCTGAGCAGGTTAACACAGTCACTGTGGTCTGTCACCCAGACACTCTGGAGATCCTGATCACAGCTGACATGTTTATGGTCGGCGCTCCTGTCGACAGTCGAGAGCTGCACCTTGGCGTGGTCGACAGCGAGTTCTGCAGGGCTTCAGCTTCTTCACCAGAGGAGTACAGGATCGTGGTTGGACTGGACGACTGTGGCACCAAACATTGGGTAACTATAGCTGCTCATCTCTACTATATCTCTCTACTTTAACTAACTTTGTTACATTTCAGATGACTGAAGACTCTTTGGTCTACACTAACCTCCTCATCTACACGCCCATGGCATCTCCTAATGGGATCGTTCGCATGGATGAGGCTGTCATTCCAATTGAGTGCCACTATGACAGGTCTGTCTCCCTTTTGTCCTCCATCTTGGTGTCTTAAGCTTGACCTTATTGTCTCCCCTCAGGAAGTACAGTCTGTCCAGCTCCTCCCTCATGCCCACCTGGATTCCCTTTACATCCACCCAGGCTGCTGTAGAGAACCTTGACTTCACCTTGAGGATTATGAATGGTAGGTTGACTACTCAAATCTTGCTTTTGTTCCACTTTGTGTTGTGCTGACTAGTATCTTTCCCCAGATGACTGGATGTATGAAAGAGGTGCCAATGTCTTCAGCCTGGGTGAGCCCATCAACCTGGAGGCTTCAGTGAGGGTGGGACATCACATGGGCCTCAGGGTGTTTTTGAGCAGCTGTGTGGCCACGCTCCAACCAGACATTAACTCGGACCCTAAATATGTTTTCATTGAGAATGGGTGAGGTCATCAAATCATGTGACTCAAATAGTCCTTTATGACAATGCCTTCAAACTAAAATCTTTAACTTCCTTTTTGAAGGTGCCTGGTTGACTCTCAGCTCTCGGACTCCAAAGCAGAGTTTTTACCCAGAATCCAAGATGAGAAGCTGCAGTTGACCATTGATGCCTTTAAATTCCACAATGATGAGCGAGGACAGGTTGGTTTGGGGGGGAAAGTGTGTGTGTGTGTGTGTGTATATAGATTATATATAACACTCAAGTTTCCCATGTGTCCTCTGCAGCTCTACATCACATGCCACCTGAATGCTGTACCAGTAACTGATGCTGAAGCACCAAACAAAGCCTGCACCTTCATCAATGGACGGCAAGTGTGGTGTTGTGTAGTCTTGATTGTAGTGAGCTTTAACTTGACATAAGGTCTCTAGGTGGCGGTCAGCTGATGGAAACGACTACCTGTGTGGCTACTGTAAAGCCCAGGAGGAAGCTGGAACCAAGTCCATCCCTGGGTTTTCTCCTCGATCATTTGGCAACGCAGCAGAATCTGAGCGCATGTGGAGGACCAGCTTGAAAACTAACAAAGGTATAAAACTCTCTCTGTTGGATTTTTTTTTTAATTGTTATTGACATTAAAGGTGTGACTTTCTCTCTAGTATGGGACCAGGAGGCAACAGTTGGCCCACTATCAATTCTGCCATCAAGCAAACGTGGACCTCTACCTGCAGAGGAGCTCCCTCATGTCCTCTATAAACTCTACAAACCTGCTCTGTATGGCAGCCACTGGAGGAGTGGGATGAACACAAATGGTAAGTTGAGCCTAGTCTGATTAAAACTGGTCTTCAGCACTCAAGATGTTGAATGTGTTTCAGATGAGTCTCTAGATCTGAAGAATGGCCTGCTTCCTGATGAATTTGAGCCAGAACACTTCATTGAAGAGGATCTAGAGGGTAAAGTTCTAATTCAATCCCAGGCTTAAAGGGCCAGTAGCCAGCAAATTTCACCCTGGTCCAACACTTCAACACTTCAACACTTAGCGGGCTTCTGCAGAGCCCAAACTGCTATACGGGTTATTAAACTTCTAATGTGTGCAGAGAAACCACTAAAACATGCTGTTATCGGCCCTCTAAGACCAGAATTAATCTTAACTGTACTGTTGTGACTTGTAAATCTCTGACAGCAGGTGACTATTCTGAACCTGAACACCCTCTCCTGGAGACCAGCCTGACGTCCTTGGATGTGAACCAAAACTCCACAGGCTCTAACAATGATGTGCTGTTCGAAATGAAGACTCTGCCTACAAATGCAACTGTAACTGACCCTTTGGATGAAACTGATCCAAAGAAATAAACTGTTTAAATTAAAATATTGAGTTGTGTTTAATCGAAGGATGGTGTTAAGGTCACATTGTCAAACCACCACACGTGGCTGGAAGGGCTTACATATTTAGAAAGTTCACTAAAACGACAGGAGCTAATACATTAAAGGTGTTAGGCTAAATTCATGAATTTCTGAACTATTTATGCTACTCATATTTAGCCACTAGGTGGTAGCTCTAAACTTTAGGGCATGGCACTTAATCCAAATAATCCTAAATGACAAACTTCTCACTGCAGGGTTGCAGAAATGTCTTTGAGTTTGAAATTTGTCCTACCAGATGAAGTTTAAACTGTCAAACTCTGATCTCGATTACTGTAAAACCTCAGACTTGCAGTGTTCATCCTAGCTTGGAGCTTCTGTTTATCAAACGGGTGTTTTCAACTTCAAAGCATCTGGTCTTAAACACAAGGTTTGGGAGTTTAAAAACAAGACATTAGGCTTTTAAAGTGTTATACTTTAAAAGTTCTTCCAATAAGCGGGAAAAATCATATAGTGAATTCAAAATGGTTTAAAACTGCAAAGGCCTAAAACAAATTTGAACATCCATACAGTGGGAATAAATTATCTAGGTTCAGTAAGTGAAGGGCCATCAGCATCACTGATCCTAACCTAGATATGCTACCATTTTAATCTAGGTAGAAAGATTGCTTAGGTTCAATGTGGTTCAGCTCCATTTGTGATCAATTTTCTGGATGAAAATGTATGAACTACAAACAGACTTAAATGAGACAATTCTGGTCATTTGAGTTTTAAAGAGCAAATTGCAGGTTAAATTCTAATATTAAATGCTGTATATGAATGTGAAATGCTTATTATGAATATTTTGTTTTAAATACATAACAGTTTTATAGTAAAAAAGTGGCCTTTCTCAGCAAAGCTTCTAAAAAGGCTCTTTTTCCTAAATCTGAACCTCTGACGTAACCAAAGGGAGTTACCCCTTCTTTCCACAGGAGCCGTCAGCAGCACGTTACTGCAGCAGCACGTCAGCTGCTGATAGGAACCGCTGCGGTCAACAGAACCTTTTCCACAGGAGCCGTCAGCAGCGTGAGTCGGCCGCGTCTCAGGAGCAGCATGTCGCGGCCCTTACGCGCAGGTTCTATTTTCTACGCGCGACGCCTCTGAAACGGGTCAGGTTCGACATTTTTGGGGGAAGGAAAGACAGGAAATCGGACGCGGAAACGGAGCGAAGCTCCCAAGATTTTCAGAATAAAGAAACGTACTGCCTTCGGTTGCTTTACTTTTTAAAAAAAAGTTACCAACTGTGCGGCCCCGTGAGAAGTTATCACCTAGCTAGCGGTCTCATTTGTTTTTCAGGTCCGTATTGGCGATTATAAAACGGACAGAACATAAAACACAAGCCTTTTGGAGCCATGTTGTAATTTTCTCCTGCTTGTTGTTGTGTTTACTGACAAAGTCACTCGTTCGACTTCGTGCTCTGTCGGTGACAGCTGCTCCCCTGCTGCTTCGCGTCTCGTGGGAAGGGCCAAGCAGCAGCTTACGCGAGCAAGACGTGCTGCTGCAGTAACGTGCTGCTGATGGCTCCGGTGGAAAGAAGGGGTTAGAAGCTAGGCGCTGCCTCAGCTCAGTGTGGAGAATGGGTAGTTTTAGGGTAGAGAGGTCATGTTATCCAGTCAATGTGTGTGTTTACTAGTGTTGGATTGTGTTCATGTTGATAAACTATAGTGTGTGAAGGCTGTACCAACTCCAGCCTGTCTGGACACGAGTCCACGGGTTTCCAGATAAGAGAAACAACACCTCTATCGCCATGCCTGAGGGTGTTTGTGCAGCTGAAAAGACGGGACTTCTGTAGCCCACATCGGTCGGTACCAGGACAGGGAGGTCCAAGCTGGGCTCCAGAGACCCGTGGGGGGGGTTTAAAAAATTTAATGCGGATTTCTGGAGCTCAGATCACCATCAGAACCAGGTCAGAACTGACCACCAGAAGAGACGCACAGCTCAGCGGGCCAGTGGAGCTGGTTTCTGGGTCGGAACCGGATCAGAACCTCCGCCTGGACCACATGGAGAGGATCGTGTGCAGCTTCTAAAAATACCAGCTCAACTGGCTCACTGGAGTCTGGGTTGGATCCAGCTCACAGAAGCCCGCATGAGCTCAAGAACTGGATCACAGGCGTCTTTCTCCCTCTCTCACTCTCTCTAACCGCTAAACTACTTTACGTGAACGGATATTAATGAGTCTGAGACAGCTGACAGATGCTCATTAGTATTAATATTATATTAACTGACCAATACTATTTTAATTGTCTAGTACATGATAGTAATCTGTGCAATATTATGATGTTAGCGCACAAGTTTAAGCTAACATCATTAACTCACCTGCTGCTCCCCCGCTGCTTTCAATTCAATTCAATTTTATTTATATAGCACCAAATCACGACAAGAGTCAAGGCACTTCACATGATAAACATTCAAATCCAGGTCAGTTCATTAAGCCAATCAGAAAAAAATGTTTCCTATATAAGGAACCCAGCAAATTGCATCAAGCCACTGACTAGTGTCAGTGACTTTACAGCAATCCTCATACTAAGCAAGCATATAGCGGCTGTGGAGAGGAAAACTCCATTTTAACAGGAAGAAACCTCCAGAGGATCCTGGCTCAGTATAAGCAGCCATCCACCATGACTCACTGGGGATGGAGAAGACAGAGCAGACACACACACACCAAGCAATGTGTCTATGGTTACATTGTGATTTCTTAGTAAATATTCTATTTGGCGAGAGATAAACTTTATTGTATTTATCCTAGTGAATCTATAATTAAACGGGTAAACTAGCAGTAGCACATCCAACGTCAAGGAAAGCAAAAAGTAATTATCAGCAGAGGGAGAATGTTTAAGTGGTTAGCAGCAGTGTGCTAGACGATGGCCCCCTCCATGAGGCCACCACAGCTTAGCAGAACATCATTGTAGCTTCTTCTGGGGAGAAAAACACATAGAGAAAAAATAAAGTTAACAGCTGAAATTGCACAAAATAATCCAGTTAAAGAGCAGATTGTAGAAGAAAGTAGTAGAGTGTGAAAAGTGGTCAGTGTATCCTCCAGCAGTTTAAGCCTATATCAGCATAACTACAGAGATAACTCTGGATAGCCTAGCCTTTTTAAATGGAGGCATGTTGAGGGCAGGACAAGGGAGAGCCGTCTTTACCGACTGTACACTCCACCTCCCTCTACTCCCCCACTTGTCCAGATCGAGGCTAACATCAGATTTTAACCATAGGCCCTATCAAATAAAAATGTTTTAAGTCTAGTCTTAAAAGTAGACAAGGTGTCTGCCTCACGGACTAAGGCTGGGAGCTGGTTCCACAGGAGAGGAGCCTGATAACTAAAAGATCTGCCCCCCATCTTAATTCTAGATAATCTGGGAACCACCAGTAAACCTGCAGTCTGAGAGCGAAGTGCTCAGTTAGGAACGTATGGAACAATCAGATCACTGATGTATGATGGAGCTTGATTATTAAGAGCTTTATATGTGAGAAGGAGGATCTTAAAATCTATTCTGAATTTAACAGGTAGCCAATGTAGGGAAGCTAAGACAGGAGAGATATGATCTCTCTTTTTAATTCTCATCAGAACTCTAGCTGCAGCATTTTGGACAAGCTGAAGACTTTTAACTACATTCTGTGGACTTCCTGAGAGTAATGAATTACAATAATCCAGTCTTGATGTAATAAATGCATGAACTAGTTTTTCAGCATCACTCCTGGAAAGGATGCTTCTAATCTTAGCAATATTCCGAAGGTGGAAAAAGAAAATCCTACAAACCTGTTTAACTTGGGATTTGAATGGCATGTCCTGGTCAAAAATAACACCAAGGTTCCTTACTTTGTTCTCGGAGATTAATGTAATGCCATTCAGGTCAGATGATTGACTAAGCAATTTCCTTTTCTGGATTTCAGGTCCAAAGTGAGAACTTCCATCTTGTCTTGATTTAAAAGCAAAAAGTTTAGAGTCATCCAATTTTTTATGTCCTCAAGACAAGCCTGTAATGTACCCAACCAATTAGGTTCATCAAGGTTAATGGATAAATATAACTGAGTATCGTCAGCATAACAGTGGAAGTTTATCCCATGCTGTCCAATGATTTTACCAATTGGGAGCATATATATAGTAAAAAGAATTGGTCCAAGCACTGAACCCTGTGGTACTCCACAAGTAACCCTGGTGTATGAAGAAGATTTGTCATGTACATTTACAAAATGAAATCTATCAGACAGGTAGGATTTAAACCAGCCTAGCACTGTTCCTTTGATCCTTACAACATGTTCAAGCATTTCTACAAGAACATTGTGATCTACTGTGTCAAAGGCAGCACTGAGATCTAACAAGACTAGAACAGACACAAGATTCTTATCTGAGGCCATGAGAATATCATTTGTAACTCTCACTAACGCAGTTTCAGTGCTGTGATACTCTCTAAAACCAGACTGAAATTCCTCAAACAGAGCATTAGTGTTTAAATGCTGACATACTTGGATGGCCACTATTTTCTCCAGGACTTTGGATCAAAATGGAAGGTTAGATATTGGTCTACTCTATAATTCATTGGGTCATCTGGATCCAGAGAAGGCTTCTTAAGTGAAGGTTTGATTACAGCAACCTTAAAATCTTGTGGTACATACCCATTTACTAAGATAGATTGATTATATCCAGAATGGGGGCAGTAACCAAAGGAAATGCATCTTTAAATAATTTGGTTGGGATTGGATCTAAAATGCAAGTTGAAGGTTTAGATGAGGCTAATATTTTTGATAACTCTGAAAGCTCAACTGGATCAAAACGGTTCAAGGTTCCACAGTTACCTCTGATGCTGCCTCACTTACTGAGGAAGAAGAAGTCACATTAGGGAGGATGCTAAAGATTTTGTTTCTAATAGAATTAGTTTAACTTGTGAAAAATCCCATAAAGTTGTTACTGCTGAGGGCTAAGGGAATAGATGGTTCAGAGCTATGATTCTGTGTAAGTTTAGCAACTGTACTGAAAAGAAATTTAGGATTATTCTTATTCCCCTCAATTAACGCTGAGAAATAAGCAGTTCTAGTTTGTCGAAGCTTATTTTTATAAAGCACAAGACTATTTTTCCAGGATAAGTAGGACTCCTCCTGGTGCGTAGAGCGCCATGTTCTCTCCAATTTCCTAGAGTTTTGTTTTAAGGCTCGTAAATGAGAATTAAACCAGGGAGCCAACTTCCTGTCCCTAATTACCTTCTTTTTTAAAGGGGAAACATCATCTAATGCCACATGTAAAGAGGAAGTAACATTATGAACTAAGGCATCAATTTGAGAGGGGCTAGAAATGAAAATATGGCCCTCTCCTACATTCCTCTGAGATGCTCACGACAGTAAAGATGGAACAGTTGATTTAAAAGATGCAACAGCGTTGTCAGATGGAGACCGACTATACTGAAATTTTTTTCATGTCTCGAGAACTCAGTTATAAAAAACTCAAAGGTTATCAGAAAGTGGTTCGAGGGGACTGGATTATGTGGAAAGATCGTTATTTCCTCACACTCTATGCCATAAGTCAGCACAAGGTGTAATTCAATTCAAAAATACTTCATTAATCCCAGAGGGAAATTGATTCAAGAGGGAAATTGATTTCAGAGGGAAACTGATAATGTATGATGGCAGGAGTGGGTGGAGCTATGTATTCTTTGAGTAAAACCAATTGAGTCTAAAGGCTACATTGAGGCTATCATTTTCAATGTCCACAGGAATGTTAAAATCCCCCACTACAATGACCTTATCAGTATTTAGCACCAAATCAGATAAAAAATCAGAGATCTGATCCAAAAACTCAGAGTAAGGGCCTGGTGGACGATATAAAACTACAAACGATAGTGGTTTTACAGTTTTGCAATCTGGATTAGGAAAACTAAGAATAAGATGTTCGAATGAACTGTAGCTATTAATTGGTAAGGGACTGATTAATAAGTCAGAATGAAAAATGGTTGCTACTCCTCCTCCTCGCCCTGTACTTCGAGCAATATGATGATTTATATAATTTGAAGGAGTCGACTCGTTTAAGCTAACATAGTCCTCTTGCTGCAGCCAGGATTCTGTGAGAGAGAGCAAAGAGATCTGATTATCACAAATCAAGTCATTAACTAACAAAGTCTTAGAAAAAATAGACCTAATGTTCAACAACCCACATTTAATTTTTCTAATTTTCTGCTCAGTTGAATTTGTTCTAATATTTATGAGATTTCCATGATTTGCTTTATTAAGCCTGATATTTAATCTGTGTGATTTTGGCCGTGGGCAGGACACTGTCTCTATGGGGTAGTGGGTGGGTAACAGTACAGAAGCTGCAGAGGGGTGTGTTGAACTACGACTCTGCTTCCTGGTCTGGACCCTGGGTAGTCATGTAAGACTAATAAAACTGGCCATGTTCCTAGAAAGAAGAGCTGCACCATCCAAAGAGGGATGGATGCCGTCTCTCCGCATCAGACCAGGTTTTCCCCAAAAAGTTTTCCAATTATCAATGTAGCGTACGTTGTTTTCAGGACACCACCTAGACAACCAGCGGTTGAAGGACAGCATGCGGCTAAACATGTCGTCACTGGTCCGATCAGGCAGGGGGCCAGAGAAAATTACGGAGTCCGACATTGTTTTGGCAAACGTACACACCGAAGCAACATTAATTTTAGTGACCTCCGATTGGCGTAACAGGGTGTCGTTACCGCCAGCGTGAATAACAATCTTACTGTATTTACGCTTATCCTTAGCCAGCAGTTTCAGGTAAGATTTAATGTTGTCCGCTCTGGCCCCAGGTAAACATTTAACTATGGTTGCTGGAGTCTCTAATGCCACGTTTCTGACTATGGAGCTGCCAATGATCAGAGTCGGCTTGTCAGTGGGTGCGTCACTGAGCGGGGAAAATATGTTAGAAACGTGGACGGGTTGGTGGTGTCCCACGGGCTGGGATCTATGCTTCCTGCGTACCGTCACCCAGCCGGCCTGAGGTCCCGGCTGCTCGGGTTCTGCTGGAAGATCGCTACGGAGTGGTTCTGAGCTAGTTAGCCCTGCACTAGCTAAGTAGCTACGGCTGTTTCCGGGCTTTTCAACAGCGCAGAGCCGGGCCTCCAATTCCGACACCTTCTCCTCCAAAGCTACAAAAATGCTACATTTAATACACGTACCATTATCTACTCCGTATTCTCTCTGAGACCTCCGATGGTTTGTCTCTGCTCTCTGGGTCGAGCAGCAAACTCATAACTCTATCGGTTTGGTCCATCAGAAGTAGAATTATAAACATTTAAAGTTTCCTCTGTGTCAGAGCCGCCATTAGGATCCATAGTTTTCTCTGGATTAAGCTAACAGGACTCCCTCAGCTGACGTCAATTGGTTTGGCAAAAAATTAAAAAAAACAGTTCTCACAAAAATGACTCTAAAAGCCTAAATAATGCATGTATGTGTAAAGAAATGTTTAAAACAAGTTTCTATTATGTTTCTCTAAACATTAGTTCATGGAAGTCTCTAACCTGCAAATTGCTCTTTAATAAAGATCAACATTGAAACTCCTTAACAAAAACTTGGTGAATGCTAAAGAAAATGAATATGCGTGTTCTAGTTTGTGTTTTAGAACTTTTAACTTTACAAGCGAATGAGAGAAGTTTTAAGAACGTAAATAAATAAGATGCCTGATGTGTGTTAACATTAAATATGATGTGGGTCTGAGTCCCTGCAGCCATCCAAGTGAACACTTAGAACAAAAACATCATAGGCAACTCAATCTTGTTCCAGATGATCATGAATCAGGCTCAAGTTCAAAATAAACACAATCTAACGTGTCAGAACCTTAATGAGTGAATGAGTTGGTTTTCATGCATCAGCTAACGAGACATTAGCTCCAGCTGTGTCCTCCAGCTGATCTGATTGTCCTCAGTAGGAAAGCTGAGATGCTGTGAGGTTTATTTAGAGGTTTCTAACCTCACACCCTGAGCTCCATCAGTATTTTAGAAAGAGAACAATGGTGTCTGTAGGTTATCCGGTCGCTCTGGTTCTGCTGATTTCACTCACCATTGACGTCACAGATGCCATTAGAACTCTAAAGGAAGGTCCGATGATTGACGCTGAGGGACGGGAGTACAAGTCTGTGTCTCCAGTGGACAACAGCAGACCTAAAACCAGAGAGAAGCCGACGATCCGTGTGCACTGCACCGAGGTGTCCATGATCGTCTTCATCCAGGCTGACTTCTACAGGACAGGCCGTCTGGCTTCACCAGGAGAACTGTATCTTGGAGATCCCAAGTCCTCCCAGAGCGGCCGGTGCTACGCTGTTCCTGCTGGTGATGGTGTGTACGTCATCGAAGCAGACTTGCACGACTGTGGCTCGAAATTAACTGTAAGCTGTTGATGGATTTTTTTTTTTTACTTGCTATGTTTATCCTAAAGCAAATTAACCTTTTTCATTTGTGTAGGTCTCAGATGATGATGTCATCTACTCAAACAACCTGATCTTCTCACCAGCTGTTGGCCATCATGGAATCACAAGAGTGATGGAAGCTGTTGTCCCAGTTTCCTGCCACTATAAAGGGTATTTGTTTTTCCTCTTTAAAGAAAAGGAATTTTCTTTTGTGACTTGTTCTTGATGCTGTGACAGGAAACACACGGTGAGCAGCATAACTCAGCAGAAGCAGCCACTAGCTTTCTCTGCTTCTGAGAATTTTCCAGCAGGAGGATCTCCTTTCTCTCTGAAGCTGATGACTGGTCAGTCTGGAGTTAACACCTCTGCTTTACCTTTCATAAATGTGTTCAGTAACCATATTGCTGTGTATAGATGACTGGTCAGGCGAGATGCTTTCCAACACCTTCTACCTTGGTGACCCCCTGCACCTGAAGGCATCGTACTCTGGTCCAGATTCAAGACAGATCTTTGTGGATAGTTGTGTTGCCACAGTAATGCCTGATGCTAGATCTGTGCCAAGATACTTTTTTATTGAGAATAACGGGTGAGACATTTGCTACAGAACATAATCCGTTAAGGACTTTCCTATAGAGGATACACACACACTCACTGGGTTCTTGGTTGACCACCAGGTGCTTTGCTGATGCAAAAGACGGAGGAGTAAATTCACTCTTCCTACCGAGATCCAGCCCTGACTCCCTTCTGTTCCAGCTCAACGCCTTCCTGTTTCATAAAGAACTAAGGACAACCGTAAGGAACCTGCTAACCATGTTACTCTAATCTGCGGGGTAGAGCAAGCTTTAGTCCCTTTTTGTATTCAAACTTGCACTGGCCTTGACTTGAATATTACACAAAATTTAGGTATTTGAATTAAAAAGTTAAACATTACCTTTTTATATTCAATTATATTGCCCTGATAGACCCACATGTATTGTAAATATTATTGTTTTAACTCTTGGTGTGGATGCTCATCTTTGTCTGCATTAAAGATTTATCTAACTTGCAAACTGAAAGCGTCACCTGAGCTGAAGAGCAGCCCTGTTGACAAGGCCTGCAATTACATTCAAAACAGGTAAGTTCAGTAAAACTGGAATGAATATCCACCATCTGCTTTGATGAGCCAAAGAAACCCCAATTGGGTCTTTTCTCAGCCCTTTATCAGGTATCTGTGTTTACAGGTGGACGAGTGTGGACGGGAACGATGGCGTGTGTTGGTGTTGTAACAGAGTCTGTCGTAATAAAGCATCTAAAGGTGAGATTTGGACACTTGTGTTGGAATCCTCCCACATGCTGAAGTGTGTAATCATAAATTGTATGTCTTATTCCTTCTAGATGACCTAATCTGTGACACTTTGACCCTTGGCCCTTTGGTCATTTTTCCCAGGAATTGAACAATCCAGATTTCAAACTCTCAGCGCCTTGTTGAACCTGGTTTAAAAGTCATTGTTTCAAAGGCTTTTACTGAAGAGGTGTCTTTAACAATAAAATTTAGAAACAATCATGACTGCTTTTTTTTTTTAACTTCAGTAGCAGGGACCATGATTCCTTCTGATTGAAGGATAATGTAAAACAAAATACCATAACCATTTTAAATGGTTTAGTGTGTCAATTTGGACTTTCTAAATGATTCAAAGTACAATTGGTTATTGAATGATGCAGGAGACTGCATTTTTTTTTTGCCACCCATTGAACTACTCAGAATTAATACATTTGATGGAATTGACATTTGCATTTATTGGTATCAATTCCGACTTATCACTTAAATTCCTAAATTCAGTAGCTTAGAATATTATGAAATGGTCCAATATTGAATACCCCCTGGTGCTACACTCTAATCAGCAGACTCAAAAGCCTTTAAATGGTCTCTCTGATTCTGTAAACTACACAACCATGGGGATGATTGCTGACTTGACGGTAGTCCAACAGACCATTGACAACTTGCTCAAGGAGAGCAAGACACAAATAGCCATCGCTAAAGGGGCTGGCTGTTCACAGAGCTCAATGTCTAAGCACATTACGAGAAGGATTGGGAAACGACCCTTTAATGTGGAGGAGATTCAGAGTGGACTGCAGCTGAAGTCAGTGCTTCAAGAACCACCATGCACAGACTTGTGCAAGATCTGGTTTCAGATGTTGCAGGCCTTGTATCAAGCCACTCTTAAATAAGAGACGGCATGAACGTCTCACCTGGGCTAAAGACAAAAAGGACTGGACTGCTGAGTGTTCAAAGTTATGTTCTCTGAAAGTAAATTTTTACATTTCCCTTGTAAAGGTCCCAGAGTCTGGAGGAAGAACGAGGCACAGAAACTGTTGCTTGAGGTCCAGTGTAAAGTTTCTACAGTCAGTGATGGTTTGGGGTGCAATGTCATCTGCTGGTGTTGGTCCACTGCGTCTTCTGAAGTCCAAGATCAATGCCACCGCCTACCAGGTGTAGCATTGCTCAAGGCCTGTATTTCATCAGATGGCCAAAAGTTCTTCCTCATACAGGTCATGCCACTCTGACACCAGAGGTGTCAATATGAGGTTTCTTAACTTACCCTGTTCCATATCACAAGACATCAAGACGCCTGTGAAGAAGCAACATTCTTGTCTAAATCCCTTTAAAGTTATTTTCTGGCTTATAACTTTTACAAGTTTATTCCAATCATTCTGTGGTAACTGCAATATGTTTTAAATCTAAAGAGTTTTAATGTTGAATGCTCAACAATAATGAATGAACAAATGTTCATTCCTATAATTCCAGATCTTAAATTACACCAGATTAGTCAACTTGTTGAATTTAATGATTTGTCAGTCAGGATATTCACACAATATTATGAATGTTAACATATTTACATCACAGTAATGTTTGACATTTTCACTCCACATTAAGTGAAATAACCTAAGTGTGTGAGAAAAGAATGGTGTCTGGGGTCTTTGATAACGCCCACTTTGACTTGTCAAGTTCTGACCAAATTGATCACAAAATAGAACTTACTTCTTGAATGTTGCAGTTCTGCCATCTGCTCGACACCGGCCAAGCAAGTAAGCGTTGCACCATCCTCCTTTTTGACCTCAAGGTTAATCCTTCTTTGCAATTCTGTAAAGCTGCATCAGATGCAAACTTGATCTGACCACCAGCAGGTAACTCAGACCAGTGGCTTGTATTTGGAGTGGAACTGCGTGCTTCAAATACCACAGAAGTTAACTCCACTGGCAGTTTGTCCGTATTGACTTCTAGACCCTTGGATCACCGGGAGCTTTCAAACAAAAGAGTTGTTAGATTCTGCACAACTGGCGTGGGATGTTTTATTAAGCAACAGTTTGTTAAGCTATACAGTAGGACTCATTTTACAACCCAGACATCACAATTTTCTAAGACACTTAATTAGGTTTTTCTACATAACATCTAAGCTCATATTCCATCATTTCGTTCAATGTTTCAGTTATCTTGTTTCAACCATCCATGATAATTTGTTCTGTGATCATTAGTAGAAACAGTGTTTGATTTTTATAAACAATATTTAGCCTCAGTCTCAAATTATTACGAAGGTGTGATTTCCCTGAACTACCAAAAAAGACCTATTTTCGTTCCTTCAAGACTGTTGGAAAACCAAGGCACCTTGCCTTGGTCTGCCTGAAATGGCTGTGTTCGTGGCTCCCAGGTCAGGGGGTTTAAGATTTTTAGCGTCTGCCTGATCAATCCCGGTGGCTGCCTGGTGGGATCTGGGTCCCTGGGCTCTGCTGGGGCCCAGGCGGGGGTGGTCGCCCCTGGGTCCCGGGCTCGGCCAGCTGGGGTGTGGAAGGCTGCGGGGGGCCTGTGAGCTTGCCGCTGATATCTCCCGGGATTCTGCGGGCTGCTGGTTGTGGCCCCCTGAGGCGATCCTCTGCGCCTCTCGAGGGGGGGCAGAGGATTTTCTGGTCGCGGTCTCCTTGGGGTCCCTGTGCACTGGGGCAGCTTTTAGATCTCTGGGACTTGGAGCTCCCTCCATCTCCTACACATCTTTGGAGGCAGATCTGTGGCCCCTCACACTCCCTATTGGACGATCCTATAGAAAAACCTTACATATACAAGCACGTGTACGCACACAAGTGCTCACATGGTGCTCTCATAAGTATGGACTTGGGCATTTTCAACGCATGCCCTAAGGCTGTGGTTGGCACTTAATGCACTGTGATTTATTATCGTGTGATTGTTCAGCAAAACAATGTAGATCTTAAATTTCCTCATTAGGTTGATGCAGTGATCGTTTTCTCTAGTTGTATTGTTGTGTCCCCTTTTTTTGTTTATTTATTTTTCTCTTTCTGCAGGTCTATAAGCACTCTTGTTCATCATTATTTTTGTGGATACTTTTTTTTCTCATTTTGTCTCTCATAGCTGAGGTACCTATGCAAATGACAGACCTCTCATCTTTTTAAGGGGGAGAACTTGCACAGTTGATTGCTGACTAAATACTTTTTTGCCCACTGTAACGGCCTTTAAATGCATTTACAGAAACTACTTCCGTAAACTATATTTTCAAAGCTCAAAATGTGAACTGCATATTTTGTTCATTCTAATCATGTTTACTATTCCTTACCTAAATCTGTTTGTGTTCATTTTTTACAAATTAAAAAGGGAAACAGAAAATGTAGAATGGTTGAATGCAGATTTGGTAGATATTTGGCACAAAAAAAAGGTATAAACAAAAATGTTAAATGCTGTTGCTATAATTAAGTGTACTGTTGTTCTTAAACTAATGAATTAATGAAAATGCAATATAACCAAAAAACTATATTTTTTTCAATGATAAGTGCATATTTTGGGGGTCTGAATACATGATTCCTGTCACAGCTACCCGTTACCTGTTGATATGTAGCTCCTTAAAGGGACATTATAGAAGTTTGACAGCCAAAACATGTATAGAAATAATACATTTCTTCTTCATACATTCTCCTGCAATGCTCTGGTCCTGTAGAATGAGCCCTGGCATTTTTACTGTGATTGCTTGTTTTTCTGTAAAATCACAGAAAAACAGAGTTGCTCGGGTCGAGCAGGCTGCTTCATGCGCGTTCACGCTCAGGCATAGCCTGTAGTGTTTGCTATCAGTAGCTTTAGCAGCAGAGAGAGAGGCAGTGCCAACTCAGCGACTTTGTCGCTGTTCCTAACGCCTAGTGATGAACCTAGCTACATTTCTGAGGACCCTTAGCTACTTTCTGTGGAACTTTCTTCTAGATATTTCCTGCAAATTATCAACAAAATAGCCATTTTTGCTCCGAACCGTTCTTTGAACATTGTTTCAGCTGTCATCAAGGATATAAATGTTACAGATCCTAGTAAGACGTCGGACTCTCGAGCAGAAGACCTGGGTTTGATTCCGGATGTGAATATAGTTTATTTAGTTTCTTTTTTACATTAATGGTATATTTTTTTTACAGCAAGATGCCCAAATTTTTATTTGAGACTCGCCGAACGGCATTGAATTTACAGATAAAAAAGATGTGGGTTCAACTTTCATTTTGGAACAATTTTTCAAGCAAGGGAAGGGAATGATCTAAGCATGCAGGAGGACTGACCCATCATAAACCTTTGTCGGCTGTGCTGAAGAGAAAGGTACAGAACCAAAATAATTAGCTGCATGTTCCCGTCCTCTGTCCTCCGGGCCACACACATACACACACACACACACACACACACACACAAGGGACTGTCTCAGCTGTTATTTTCGTTAAGGAGTGTGCACGTACAGCATGCGCGCCTCGTGCACGAGCCTACTATTGAAGCTGCCGTTATACTTTTGGCCTGAGAGGGCAACCGCGAGCATAAAAATTCAAAACTCCGTAAAGTCCCTTTAAATATTCAAATGCACGTGGTTATAAATAACTAACTTTTTAAGTTAAAATAACTTTTTTGTGAAGCGCCTCGTGATTTTTATCCTGAGAGACGTTATATAAAAGATTGTTTTCTTTCTTTCTTTCTTTCTTTTAATTATTAGTGTTTTGGGATTTTAAAGTTTTCACTTTCACTTTATGAAAACTTAGAAAATGTGCTATAAAGTAAAGCATTTTCTTTTAAACTTGTTTAGTTTTATAATCTCAACTATATAGTGAAAAGATAATGTTTTACTATCAGGAACAAATACAAAGGAAATATTGCAGTTATTAAAATTTTCCTAAAATCATTTAAATTAAGCTTTTTTAAATTGTTAAGGCTGCTGCAAAACAATAAAATAGAAAAATAAGCAGTCAAAAGTTTCCAAATACTGCATCATAATGCAGCTTTAGATGCTGGTGTAGATTCCTGCCTACTCACAAGTAGGTATCATAAAGAATATTTATAATACTTGTTTCATAGAAAGAAAATAGACTCACATGATGGGTCAACGATTCACACGACTAATGGCTCAATTTAGTGAGTATGGTAAATCCTGCTTTCCCATCTCAAGATCAGAACTGGAGACCTTCTTAGAAGAAAAATGTCTTAAAAATAAGTCCAATTGCATTTGTCAAATATTTTTATTCTCTGTATAAAATCACTTCTTGGTCCGTGGAGTGGTGGTGTTAAAAAAACTGATCCCACGAGACCTGACCTCAACAGCACCTGATGTGACCCCCGGCTGCTGCAGAACCTTATCAAGAGTCGTCTTCTTGATAGCAGCTGGGGAGATCTTCTCCTGGTCGGCCAAAAACTGTAGCTCCCTTTAAAACAAACAAACACAGCGTGTAACATATAAAGTCACATTAAAATGATCTGGTTGGGCAATAATTTATTACTCTCTGGATAGACAAGTCATTAAATTATATTTGCATTGAGCTCCATCGGCTGTTGGAACTATAAATGTGACTTTTTTTGACCAAACGTATCGGGATGAAAGTTTATCGGTGTGCTTCTGACAGGAATAACCATTTATGTGTTCCTCATGCTTTCATCAACCTACCTAGTCCTTACACAGGAGGCCTCAACAGCATTTATAAGGAGGCTTCTGAAGCCGCCACTCTCCATGACATGAAGGGCGTGGATGGTGGCGCCCCCTGGTGAGCAGACATTGTCTTTGAGCTGGCCAGGATGCTGCTCTGAATCCAGCAACATACGAGCAGCACCCTTTAAACAAAGCACAAAGAAATATCAGCCCCTTGTTTTTACAGTAAAAAAAAGTTAAAGGCACATGTGTTACCAGGTATAAGTTAGGGAAATGCAGACAACACACTGTTTTTTCATTCAACAAAAACTAATTATGCAGAGGCGGTACTGAGAAGAACCTGTTTCCATAGAAATCAAGACATATGCAACAGCTAGATGCTGATAATGAAAAGCACCATCCCTCTAATAGATAGAAAACATTCAAAAGATCATCTTCAACCCCATGGTTGGATGATGCAATGTGGAAATAAACTCCATCACACCTCGGAGCTACAGCTCAGACTCTGCCTGCAGGCTTCGACCTTTTAACAGGGAGAAACCTCCAGAGGATCCTGACTCAGTATGATCAGCCATCTGCCACGACTCACTGGGGATCGAGAAGACAGAGCAGACACGGACACAAAAAATATATATATACCAAGTGGTGTTTCTATAGGGAGCCTTAAGTCACGGGTCCCCGGAATAACGAGAAAATTAATACAAGTCAATGGGGCTAAAAACGCTATTTTCTAATTCCGCTTGTTTTGTGCCATGGATTTCACATATGATGTCCGTGAATTTTAAAGACACATTTTGATACCAAGAACGTGCATATTTTCGAACGAGGGGAAACGCTATTTTAGGTTTTGTGTGAAAATAAGTCCAGATGCGCTTCACGAAAGTGACGTCATTGAACCAAACACGGAGAGAACTGAGGGAAAAGGGCTGTAAGTTCAGCAAACCTCCCACAGGAAGAAAGAACCACCATAAAGCTGGTCATTTGGTAAGTAGCAGCTACTTTGGGTAGAGGAGATTATGTGCGATGTGCCGATTTCTGGTGTGTAGTCATGCTAATTACGAACTTTTACAAGCTAATAAATCTCAAAGTACGTGACTGGCGTGGTCGAAACACCCACCATTACTTTTCATTTCAATTGCATTACAACATATGTGTGATCCAGGGCGTAAGGCAAAGCAGATTAGAAAATAACGTTTTTAGCCACGTTGACTTGTATTCATTTTGTCGTTCTTCCGGGGACCCGTGGTGCGGAAGTGACTCAGGCTCCCTATGGCTGCATATATTGTGATTTCTTAGTGGATATTCTATTTAGTAAAAGATAAATGTTGTTGTCTTTAACTGGGTGCATATATATTTAATTCAAGAGGTGAACTAGTAGTAGCACATTCTATTTTAAAGGGAGACTAGGAAGTTTTTGCTTGCTTTTAGCATCACCTATTGACAGTTTGTAGAAGCAAAACCAAAACCAGTCACCTTGCCTTGCTGAAATTTCTCCCAGCGTTCCTAAGTGTCTACAAGAGAGATTCATCGCTAAATCAAACAAATCCTCTGTGTTCATGATCTAAAACAGTGGTCCGCAAATGGCGGCCAGCGGGCCACGTCCGGCCCGCGAGCCCTCTCTTTGTGGCCGCCAAACCCCGCGCGCACCCCCCACCCCCACCCCCGACGGCCGACCGGGAGGTTTAGGATAGAGCTGAGGAAAATAATCAAATAATCAATGCATGAGATGCAGGCATAAACGGTTTTGCATCATAGAAGAGTACCATAGTCAATTATAGTGGAATGTAGTTTTAATGGCGGCACCAGCATCCATATCTGTCAGAGCGGTGTTCTCCACATTTACCGGGTAGGAAACTTTGATCTGCCTTTATGTGGTACTGCAGGGCTGAGCGCTGGAGTTATAACCTGAGACCGAACTAGAATCGAATCAGCCCGACCGGTTCAGTTGGATTTGGGCCGTAAATTATGTTAATTGAGTGGGTTGTCGCGCGGCGCGCTCCGCTCGCTCGATTAGCGACAGAGAGAGAGCGACAGAGAGAGAGCGACAGAGAGAGAGAGAGAGAGAGAGAGAGAGAGAGAGAGATTGTCTGCTCACACAAGAGAGAGGATAGGAGGACGCTCCTCCAAACACGCGTTATTATTTTCATAATTTCATTATTGTTCCTCCTGGAAGCGCTCAGTCAGACCAAGTGCTGTGATGTCAGGAGGTCCGGTCTTGGGGAGGGAGCGGGGTGAGTGACGGCGGCTGCAGCGTAACCATCTGTCTTTTATTTAGGGACACGGAGAAGTTAAGAGGAGAGAGAAATAGAAGATAGAAGTTCTTGTTCCATTTTATTCTTTTGTTTCATGAAGATAAACTGATGTTAAATTCAGCTTAAAGAGAAACTGGGAGGAAGCTTTGGTTCATTTTAAGTTACAGGAGATCTTGTCTCCTATCTGCTCGTCCAGAGACAGCATGGGGGTTACATGGTGAGGGTCACACAGGACAGGTTAGTGCAGTCACACAGCCGAGCTGGAGGGGGACAGGTGTTGTCCTGCTTTATATTGCAAGCTTGTGTGTTATGTGCATTTCAGCCAGCAATCCAAACAGCAGCAGCACCCCATCAACACACCCCCCCCCCCCCCCCCCCCCCCCGGCCCTCTTGCTTCTGGATCTTCTTTGTGTGTGGCCCTCGGACCATTATAATTGAGGACCCCTGATCTAAAACATGCAGAAAATGTGCAGAAGCCAGACAGCAGCAACAGGTAGTTTTTCCTAAGTCCCAACAGAAAAAACCGGCAGCTGTGAAGTTGCAAGTCTGATATTCCGGCCACAGAGGGCGATGGGGGCTGGGTGGCCTTTCATTAACCCTGTAAAGCTTGGACGCATTCACTTTCCGCTTGGTGATGCGGCTCGCGGATGGAATGCGCTTCACAACTCGCAGCGTTTATGGTTCATGCGCTCGTCTCTGCGGTGAGCCAATATTCTCCCAAACTGTAGGGGGCAGCATGGAGCTCTACGGCATGCATCCAATACTACACCATAGTAGAAGTAGAAATTACTGTTGTTTACAACATGGAATTCCAGCATTTTTATAAGCGTCCTCCTCTTTTCCGACAGTGCGAGCTATTTCTCTCCAAGAATTATTAACATCATGTTGATCACGGTGATCTCTGAGAGCTGAATCATACAAATGTCTGTATTTACAAACCTCTGCCATATTAGTTCTTGCCAGTCCGCCATGTTTTTCTGCGTCTGACCGTCCGTGTGGTTAGAAAATTTCCTAGGTGTGCGGTGCGGAAATTTTGGGCAGTGCGGAGGCGCGGTGGAGGGGCGTGGTTTTTAAAATGACGCAATTTCGCCGTGCGGAGCCATGTGGACCTCGCGGACGCGTCAAGCATAAACCAACATTAAAGCAGGCGTGGGGAACCCTGGTCCTCGAGGGCCGGTATCCTGCACGTTTTTGCTCCAACACTTCTGATTCAGTGGTTGATTCACCTGTTCAGCAGCACATCAAGCTCTACAGAAGCCTGTTAATCACCCGTTGATTGAAATCAGGTGTGTTTGTGGGCAATTTCTGTTATTCTTAAAGAAAAGAGTCGGAGAGAGTTTTCCCAATCGGGACAGCGTGGTCTTTTATTTGTCTTCTCACATCTTAGGACAGCCCAAAGACCCCGACAAAAGAGTGGTTCCCCTTTTTATAGCTCACATCTCTTCTGTGGAAACTGTGGGTGGAGACTTCTGTCTGGGACCCAGCAACACTTTTGGAATCACATCAAGTATTTAGCAAGTCAGATAAGCTTTGAGCAATTCTACTGGAAGCAAGCAGAGACCAAAACAGGAAATTCCTTTGGAGCTGATGTTGGAACAGCACACGAACTCTAGCCAGAAAACACTTTCAACCTAAGAACTCAGCTTTAACTCAATACATTCTGTAGATGACCTCTTGACCTTTTTGGCGCCAACATGTTGAAGCAGGGTTGAAACTAAAATATGCTGGATAGCGGCCCTCGATGGAACTGGGTTTCCCACCCCTGCTGTAAAGGGTCATTTTAGCACATTCTGGCTCAAAAAAATCATTTAAAATATGAAAAAGTTATAAAGTATCCCTTTGAAGAAAGTAAAAATAAACTAATATTAGGAAAGGGAGAATTTCAGTGGTTGGCAGTGGTGTGCCAGCTGATGGCCCCTTCCACAGGCTTTACCATGGCAGCTGAAATTCCAGTGCCACGCCTACAAAGTGCAGATTTATTTATTTTTTTTTATGGGATCACACACAAACACAGTAACACACTCCCTCCCTCAGGCTCTCACTTAAACACATACAACCTACTGACTCTGGACCCAGTACCGCTGCACAGAGGGCACAACTGTTCCCGGACCCCAGAGCTAACCCCGTTCTGCTGGGGCAATGATGAGCAGGCCACAGACCCCAACCAGACAGCCAGCTCCCACTCCAAGCCTCCAGTCCCGGGCAGCCGACAGAGAACAGAGGTGCGATACAACCCCTAGTCTCCCTCCGCCTTCTCCAATGTGGTGTTGATGTGTGTTGTTAAAAGTCCATTCTGGGGTTGGGTAAGCAAATCAGTTCTGAAAGTTCAGTCTTGATCCAGAGACTGAAACGACTTTTAACTCCGACGTTTTTTAAAGGAGCATGTCTATCTAAAATCGAGATAAAGGTGTTTTGTAAATGTGACCGAGCATCCTCAACAGTAGGATTGAGGCTAATTCTATGCCATTGTTCTTTTGCCAAGTCAAATCTTGTTTCCTGATATTTGGACATCTCGCCTTTGATTAGATAACAGCAACACGACTCTACTACTGCTCTGCAACGTTGATGTTTTATCTCCACAAATAACACAAGTCTGGAGAAGTTCTGCTGTGTGGCGGAGTTGCTAATGCTAATGGTTAGCTTCTACTAGCCAAGACGTTCTCTGCCTTTTTCTGGACGCTAAACCAACAACAGCCTTTGTCATAATCCAAGAAGGGTAAGTCCATGAATGTTAAATGACAGTGTGATGTAGATGTGTCAGGCTTTTCAAATCCTAGAGTTTCACCATCTTGAATTGAACAACAAGGTAACATTTTCCTTTGACTGTATAAGACTTGAACATTTATTTGAAATATGAGGGTTATACCAGTAGAGCTTGAGCTCCAAGCCGTACAGCAAGCCTCCTGGGTAGGCCCATTTTCACTCCACCATCAGCCAAGGCATCGACCGCCAAGAATGCCTGCAGGGCCACAGCAGGGCCACAATCATTAAAATTACAATGATAGCAAGAGGGCAGCAATCCAAAGGAAACATTTTCACCATTGCTAGAAGTAAGGCAGTATTGCCAAGTACGTTGGAGTAACAAACTCACATAAGCGGGACCGCTGCCACTCAGACCTGTGACAGCATCAATTAGGTCTTCCTCCACCTCGATGCAGTAGCCAACACTCGCCATCAGCTGTTCCAGTAGCTTTCCATCCTCTACCTCAGCATGTGTGCCAGTGGCGTAGACAGTGGCCCCTTCACGCACCACCACAGGAGTGTTGGTCATGCAGCGCATTACCTTTGGAGACATGCGGTATTGCTGCAGCTTCTGCAAGGCAAAAAAAATGCACCATCTTGAGATCTTAAGTTTGTTTCAAAGTGTACGTCTGTAAAACATTCCTCCAGTTACCATGTTCTTTTAGTTTATTTCCAGTGAAACAATGTTCTCCCCTTACATGTTTTTTTTTCAATTATTATTATTATTTGGGTCAAGTCATATCTTTAAAGGTTAATGTTTTAGAGGCAAAAATACTTTTGGGTTTGTGGAACTGAAAACGATAATTAGAAGACACTTAAAATGACTATGTGTAGTTTTTAACATTAATCTTTGGAAATATTGTTTCCATTTGTACTGAAATGTTGAAAATGTATTAAATGATACCCAGTTGATGAAAAATATTGCGGTTTCGTAACATATTCATTAAAAAAATTGGGTCTAAAATACACGGGAGTGGGTCAAAGTCTCTGGGTGACGCCATATTAGATGCCACGTTTCCTTCTACGGGAGCCCATGACGGGACTCTCCAGGTGGAGGGTAGCTTTGAAGTGCCTTTTTTTCCCTCCACCTGAACCAATCCTCATGTATCCTCTCTTATCTCTACTAGGGTAGCGCGACTCAGGGTTGCGAATGACCACAGTCACAGTCACAGCAATTTTCTAGGGGTGGCTATGGCCACCCCTGGCCACCTCTTGGGGGCGGCCTTGGGAACCTGACCTGCAAAGATCTGAAGCCAACATGGAAATTACAAAAACTGCAGTTCCACCCTCATCTGCTACGGGCTGGCACTGGGTGGGTTACCCAACATTGCAGTGATGCTGTTACGCTCCCCAGCACCTAATGGGGCGCCTACACATTCATGTCTATGCGTGTAACGCCATCAAACAGTACAGCACGCACCAAATAAGCTGCGCTGCAGCGTTATTGTAGTCCATTCCTTTGGCCATTGTGCAAATCCGGTTTTTACTCCGTTTGCTTCACTCCTGCCAGCATTTCTTTGCTATTTGGGTTGCTAAAGGGCTACCCCAGAAGAATGTCGACATGAAAGGGGGCATGTCGCCACCTAGCTAGCGGAACACACTTCTTTTAAAAATTCTGTTTTCTAACATACATGTAAACTAGGAAAAAGGTCCCCGTTTCTTTAAAGAAAAAAAATGATCTTTTATATAGCGCCTCTCAAGATAAAAACCACAAGGCTCTTCCACAAGGGGCTGTAGATCATCCTAGATCGACTTAGATGCCCGTGTAAACGCACTGACTGTTTCTGGTCCTGGACAACTTGCTATACTTGATGAATTTTGCTCTCCATCAAACATCCTAAATGTAAATATTTGACCGTAAAGAGGCTATTAAAGCTGGAAAGTGTGGCTGAAATAAAACAGTTATGTAAAGACTCACCATGAATGCTTGATTGCAACTGTTACAACCAGTGTTACAGCCAGTTCATAAAGTCTGTATTCCCTCAGATTAACTTTGATGTTACCATTTATTTTCTTTTGCTTAAACATTTGAAATAAAGAAGTGTGACACAGAGGAGAAGCACCAGATCTGTAAGGGGGCACTGTACTTGCTGTCCTTTTATGATACAGAAAAAAGACCGTTATCATCAACAATGACAGAAATCAACCAGTGAATCTGGTATTCTAATAGCTATGACTCGCCTTTTCTATGGAGCTGATGGTGACACCTGCAGCACAGGACACGATAAGGTGACGGTCTTCGATATCTGGCCCAATCTCATCCAGGACAAAAGGAATGATGTGGGGCTTCACGGCCAGAAATAGGACATCGCTTTTGTTCACGGCCTCCTTGTTGCTGGTGGTGAAGTTTACTCCCAGTTTCTATTTCAAAAGCATAGCAGAACTCTTGATGTGAATACTGTTTTATCAGAAGAACAGCCTTATGTCTACCCACCCGCAGCTGCTGGACCGTGGGGAGCTCTGTGTCTGGAGAACTGGCTGTGATTCTATGGGAGGCGATCACGCCTTGACAGTGGCAGAAACAACTTCAGTGCATCTTTATATCAAAGTCCAAAGTTATTCTGCAAAGATGGTAAAGCATGAATTCACCTGCAGCTGAGAAGCCTCGAACCAGAGCATGAGCCAGCTGGCCTGCTCCAATGAAGCCCACACTCATTACGCCTGTGAACAAAGATTAATAACATCAACTGGTGTCTTTTTCTTTTATCACGTGCATCATCAGAAACTGATGAGATGCTACGTCCTACAAACTCATGAGCAGGAACTCTTACAGCTTCACTAAACAGGAAAAGTCCGCAAAACAAGGCAACCCAAGACCGGAAGTAACGATATAATCACTACATGATCGAAAAAGCCCGTTTAAATAATCTAATAAAAGTAGAAAAAGGACACTTACAAGGAAAAGGAAACGTTTGAAGCCAGCAAACTGTTTACAGCACTTTCCCTACTTCCTCCCTACATCCGTTACCTGCAGAGGGCGTGGCAGACGAGCAGCTAGCAAATGAGCTGGAAGACTGGAAACATGTGACGTGCCTGACTAATCACAGCGGTAGGAATGTAGACAGGCGGGTTTAGCGAAGCTGGGAAACACACATCACACACGTTTATGAATATGATGACTGGGTGCGTCATTTAGAATCCTAGAATGTCCAAGGAAGATCCCGCCTATCTCGCCTCTGATTGGACAGAAGGATACCCTTCTCGTGTCATTTAGGAGCAAAGCGTCTTCCCGCCACCAACAGAACAGCTGTTTTGGGGAGTTTTGTAAAGAAAATGTCAGTTAATCAATCAATCAATCAATCAATCAGTCAATCAACTTTTATTAACAGACTCAATGTCCAGAGACAATAAAAACAAACATAAGATAAAAGCTACACAAGAAAAGACAAAGATACAAGAAAGTCAATATAAACACCTATACCAAATACCAATAACGCCATAATTCAGACTGATAGTGTGTGGTACTGCAGTCAACATTAACCAAGCACTTAATAATTACATTTTCACATTGATTAACTCGACAAATAAACTTAAACATCAAGTTCCTCAACATAGCATGGAATGTATGGATCCCAGAAGAGACAAACAAGCAACTTGCACTTTCCCAACGAGGCCTCTTTAGTAATATTCTCAGGCAATCATTATATGCTACATTAAGACGCCTAAGACTTGTTTGCTTATATGAAGACCACAAATGAGCTGTATATAATTGAGTACAGTATACTTTAAAGAGTGTCTTTTTAACTGCATTAGTGCACATACTAAACCTACGCACTAACATATTAGCCTGTGCATACATTCTACGACATTGCCGATCAATATCATCATCAGCCAATGCATCAGTAATAAAGTGCCCCAAATATTTATATTTGTCCGTCACAGGCAAAACATTACCACATAACTCAAATTGGGGTAACTGTAACCCTTTATCTTCTTTTGTTCTACAGGTCATGATGACACTCTTACTAGAATTGTAATTGATGTCAAAATCCACCCCATACTTTGAGCAAATATCTAGCAGTTCCTGTAATCCCACACTACTAGGACTCGGGACGACAAGATCGTCAGCGTACATAAGATGGTTGACTAGGGTTGATCCAATCATACAACCAGTTCTACAATTATTTAACTGCTGTGACAGTTCATCCATGTACAAGTTGAAAAGCACAGGAGAGAGTACCCCGCCTTGCTTTACTCCATTAGTAGCACCAAAAGGAGCAAAAGATCTACTACCCCATCTCACCTGCATATCCTGATTAGCATTACCATTCTGATTCTCAGAATGTACTTAGGAACCCCTCGTCGCATTTTAACAAACTGTTTCAGATGATTTACACGGTCAAAGGCTTTAGACGCATCAAAAAATGATAATAACACAGAGGAGTTGCCTCTTTGAAACTTCCTAATTATTTCTTTTAAAGCAAATATGTACAAATCTGTGCTAAGCTTAGACTTGAACCCAAACTGATTATCTGTAGAGTAGATAAAATCCTTTAGCCTACTTAGTAGCACTTTTTCCATAACCTTGGATACAATGCTTGCCAATGCAACGGGTCTATAGTTGTCCATGCTACCTGCTCTACCTGCTTTGTCTTTTATGACAGGGACCAGAATAATAGACATAAGTGCATCAGGCAGAATGCCATGTATCAAACAACTAGTAAAACAGATGGCCAGTAGAGGTAACAACCTAAAGTTAGCACATTTCAAATGTTCCGTGTATATTCCATCCAGTCCACAAGATTTACTGTCTGGAAGCTCAATCACTGCTTGACGCACCTCACAAGCCGTAACACTAATGGGCTCAGTGCTGTTTATCACTGTTACATTCATTTGTTCACTACATATGCAGTTAAATAGAGCATCATAATGCTGTTTCCAATGCTCAACAATATTATCTGGTCCAGACATACCTTCAACACAGCGAGGCAAAACTGTTTTGTTTCTATTAAGAACTCGTATCTCTTTCCAAAAATCCAAGACATTTTTTGATAGTAGTTTCCCACCCAAGGAATCAGACCTCATTGCTTGATCGCTCTTCTTAATTAACCTAATATCATACTTATATCTAGCATGTGTAAGCTTATTTTTTCATATAGGAGGCCTTGTCTGGGTCTACCCGCTTGAGCCCATTCCCTTGTTGCTACTTGAGCCTGCTCATGGAATCCAGCGACATGTTCCACCCGGCAACTTAATATTAGAGCTGCCGACCACTTTATGAAGTTTGCATATGAACTTAGCTCTATGATAATCATTCTGTTTTGTTTAGCAAAATAGTTTTTCTCAGTTTCTTTTAATTAAAAAATGGAACTTTTGAAAAATGTGAACTTTTTAAAAACATTCTTGCATTTATGACATTGTGGACTTACTTTACTTCTGTTGGCTCTCAAGTATTGAGAGTATGTTACATAGGATCCACATGTATGTGCCTTACCTTGATTTGCTCAGCTGTGTGCAGCAGGTCTTTTTCTCTTCTAGAATAATGAAAACTGGTGAACGCATGGCTATATCATAATCAGCTTTGAATTAAATTTCGATTAGGTGATACAAATTTAAACAGATGACGAGAGTGTTCTAACTTGCAAACAGCATATGAAAGTGAAGACATAAGATTGCCTCTTTAGTAATAATAATAGTGTGATAAATGTAACAAGATTTATTACATGTTCACATTTGACGTTTTTCGGGTTGCTTTATGAAAGAAACTGGAACTAGTATGTTGCAAAACAGGACAGAATGATTATTATAGCGCTAAATTCATATTTTCTTTTTAAAAAAAAAACTCAAGATCTCGCTGCAGACAGAACAGCGAGGCTGGAAGCCCTTCCAGCCAATCAGAGACGAGAAAGGCGGGACCTTCCTTGAACATGCTACGATTCTAATGCGCCGCGTGGACGCAATTTTCAACTGTGTTTACTATTTGGAACAGTATAAGTCACTGTGTTCACATGTATTAATATTTAGACATATAGTCCTAAAGCCTCTGCCGGCAGCTTGCTGTAATTTATCTAGGAACCTTTGTAAGGAAACCAGATTTTCACCGGGCCTATTTTTAAAAGTACCATCCAGGCATGCGCAGTCGGTACCAAAACGAAAAGGGTATAGTGGTTTCTTCCAAGCTGCAGGTTGTTCCCATTGAAATGATCCCCAATTAGACAATCTAAGATTGTTTTTATCACCAGAACAACAAAGCGAAACAATAGATTAGGTCCTTGCAGCTTCTGTTATCATCAGTTTTCCTTCCTCCGCGTGGCAGTATGAGCATGTTTTCGTCTCAAACCTCGTCGTTCCAAGATTCCATCGACGTGGATGAGAGAGATGACTTCGACAGCGAAGATATTGGTGGCTTCAGCCAGAAAGTACAGCTGAATTGTTACTACACCATCTACCTGTACCAGGGCACAAGGTGAGCTGTGACGCATTTTTGTCTGTTTTCATGGATTCCTTTATGTCAACAGCACCACCTCCACTCTGTGGGGAATGTGTTCTTAGATTAACTGATAATATCCCAGCCGTGGGTCTGGCGGTGCCTTTCATGCAGATGAACCTGATTTAAAGACAAAAATTGTTGGTTGTAGATCTGAATCCTCTGGGGAAAATGGGGCCCGGAACCGGAAACGTACAGACTCGACAACCAGTCAAGATGACTTTAGGTAACCCAGGATCCGTCCACCACCTTCTTGCTTTTGTTGCTCGTTTCTCTTTGGCTTTCACTGTTTTGCATCAGTGTTTCCACGGGCTGATTCAGGAAATCCCATCAAAATGAAATCAAAGCTGTCATCACTCATGGCTCTGTTTTGATTGGTTGTTGATGTATTGCATTGAGCTTTCTCTCTTTCTGAATGTTGTACACGATCAGTGACTCGGTTGTGTGTGTGTGTGTGTGTGTGTGTGTGTGTGTGTGTGTGTGTGTGTGTGTGTGTGTGTGTGTGTGTGTGTGTGTGTGTGTGTGTGTTGGATGTGTGACAGTGATCATCAGCTCTCTCCATCTCTTTATTTCATTAACCCAAGTGGCTTACAGGTTCACCAGCACCTTGCTGAGTTGATTCTGTGATAGTAATGCTCTGCTTCATCTACAGCTTGACTTTAGTTGACAGCAGCCTGCCATCAGAGGCAGAACCAGAGCTGCGGACCTACATTTCAAGAAGGCTGAGCAAAGGCGCTCTGCTGGGAGGGATGGGCAACATCGCCACTGTGGAGCTCAGGTATTTGGTTTTCAAGCCTCAAAGAAAGTCACACACAGTGCAGATCCGAATCATACATAGTTATCCGCAGTAAATCAGGGTTTAGTAAAGAATAAAAACCTAAATTTAAATGGAGAATTTTGCTTTTCTTTGCAGTATTCCAGAACAAGCCGTTGGATGCTACTGCTGTCTCCTGGAGCAGGAACGCTCTCCCGAGCAGCCGGATGCTGATGGAAATGGATATGTCATCTGCTTCATGGGCGGATCTGAAAAAGGACTAAACTTATATCCTTTTAGATTTAATGTTTAATATTCTACAGTATTAATGTGCCAGTCTTAACAATAATAACTGAATGACTTGACTAAAATCACATTTAGATTAGAGCTTGATAAATATGTCCAAGGTCTGCAAAGCAGCCTTCAAACTCCAGAGGTACGAGCATGCAGAAACACTTTCTGATAGCTTTGACTGCTCTGCATTTAGACGTTTCACCGTGTGTGTGTGTGTGTGTGTGTGTGTGTGTGTGTGTGTGTGTGTGTGTGTGTGTGTGTGTGTGTGTGTGTGTGTGTGTGTGTTGTAGCTGCAGAACCTGGAGACAGAGGTGCGTCCCTATCTGAGCCGCTGGTACGAGGAGTCTGTGATGCACATTTTCAGGGTGGTGCAGCTGGTTCAGAGCAACATCAGCTTCCTGCTGCACGCTGTGAGTGATTTTATACCATCAGAGGATATAAACTCTACAAACACGTTTAATAATCTGACGCTGAGAGGCAGTTAAACAGCCACAGAAGGTGGTTTGTGGGAGACAAAGTAAAATGACCTCAGGCTCTCAGCTTTGGTCTCAGGGTATACCACTCATCATGGGATACTTTTACAGCAAAGGCAATGTCTGTTGCCATGGTGATTGCATGATCCTCCTTTATGAAACTGAAAGCACGGTGTTAGTGGGGAGTATTTGTGGTTCAACCCAAAGAAAATAATTTCAGTTCTTCAATTTCAAAGCAAATCCAAAACCTAAATCCTGTAAAAAAAAAAAAAAAACATTTTTACTAATAACACAGAATGTAAAGATTTGGAAACGATTACACTGATAGACAACATATTAGCTTTACCCGTACGTTTTCTACTCTTTAAAGGCCCAGTGTGTGATATTTTTACCAGTTTACTATCAAATCATGTGTTTCCAGTTCACAAACTTGTCCTTTTTCACTAATATTTCTCACCAACATCAATTCTAAATATTCCTCTCTACTTGAAATTATACAGTTGTATATACATAAACCGTGGCTGAGGCTCCATGGTCATCCACCATATTAAAATACAGTAGCTGTTTAGGGACATAAGAGCTCCAGGTTACCCGTTTGGACTATGACTGTAACCTGAAAGAACCAGCAGAGGGCAGCAGTGCGCCCTGGAAGCCTGGAGTCTGCTAATTCAACTAAGAAATAGAAAAGAATAGCTACACCGTCGCTGTACTTGTTAGTTTGAATAAAAAACAATTAAATCAAAAGACAAATAAAAATTGTCAGTTCCTCACCATGTCCAACACAAGGAAGTCACATATGTTCAGATCCCGGCCTGCTACGCCTACTCCATTAGTGTCTCCGACTCCCAAACTCACCTCAAGTTGTTCATCCATCTTTTCCAAGTACCAGAACTCTCGATCTGGTCCCAACGTGTCCGTTCCAAAGTCCTTCTACTCAAGTCTCCTCTCTTCCCACAGCCTGCTGTCTCGCCCAACACGCTCCAGCGCTCGTCCGCTAGCCAGTGGCTAAATTAGCGTTGTTTACTTGATCTCCACAGAATGTCCCCGGCTCACCAACCCTCCTTCACCAGCCGTGGCTAACGATCAGTCAGTGATCGCTCCGTATCCATATAAGCTGGTAACGGAAGCATGTTTGTTTACATCGAGCGCACCGTGATCCACGTCAAACGGGTGTTGTGGGAAATTATGTTCCCCTGAAATACTCTGTTTCCCTTAGGCAGTCTAGAGCAAATATTTTCAAATTAACTGAACATATTGTTCATTATGAGGACTAAACTACCTCAAATAAAAGACGGTTAAACTGAGTGAGATTACAACTTTTTTCATAACTTTCAAAAATGATAAATAAGCTTGCTGCAAAAGGGTGAACAAGAAAGTTTTAACTGCATCTTTCAGGGATGTGTAGTTTTGAAATTCTGGCGATACGATACATATCACGATACAGGGGAGACGATACGATATATCACGATATATTGCGATACATTCAGTCAGATGTTACAAGCCTTTTTTTAACTGAATTTATTGTAAGAATGTTCAATAAACAGTCCAAACTGATACGTAACATGTTTAGCATGAGGTATCTGACCCATGATGGAGGGATTTACAGTTCAATGGTGTAAACAAAACCTGTTGCACACTGCTGCCAACTAGCGGGTGGCGATTGAATTGCACAAAACGAAAAGAAAATACACAAAAGTTTGCATGTAAATTCTTTCAAGAATTAGATACACGGCTTTTGAATATCGATGTAATAATCGCAGGAAAAAAATCACGATATATTGCCATATCGAAATTTCCTATACACGGTTTTTTAATATCGATATAATATTGCTGGGGAAAATATCACGATATATTGCCATATCGATATTTTCTTACATCCCTAGTATGTTTTTTATTGTTTTTAGGAGGAAATATAGATAAAAAAATCACAAGCATATATTATTACATCACATTACATCATTTTACCGTAAAAGTTTATCATAAATATTGTGAAAATAGCCAGAAGTGCGACCTCCCGACACGGTGGGACAGAATATTTCAGGGGAACACAATTTCTCACAACACCTGACCTCCCGGCTGACGTCACCCCTCCTCCGTGTGTGAATCGAGACCGCTTCAAGAGCAGAACTAGCTTGCTTCCTTCAGAACTGGTAGGTTGATTAACAGTCATAATTATAAATGCTTTGTAAAGAGGTCGAGTAGCTTGTTTTAATCTTTGTGTGGGTTAGGCTAGACAGGTTGGAAATTGATAATACAGTCAAACCAGGGTATCGCGGGTCCTTTAAAAGTCTTAAAAAGTCTTAAATTTGCTTTTCCAGATTTAAGGCCTTAAAAATCCTTAAAAATGACAAATAATCCTTAAATACAGTTTCCAGAGGTCTTAAATTACCAAAGACCCAATAAACAAGATTCTTTTATTTCTATAAAATTTTCGTGAATTTCTAGTTAGTGTTCAGCATTTTTTGTGTACGGCATTGGCGTAAGCGGAACCGTACACGTTCAGTTGGTTGTGAAAGGGGGCTATTTTCAGATGAGCACGTTAGCTGGTTAAGCTAGTGGGAGCTTGCACCATGGGGAAGTGCAAGTTTAATGGTAACTGGATGGCTAATCCCACAATCGTGGCGTTAGCACTGGTTCCAGGCAGTGGCTGGAAATTATAGTTTAAATTTAATTTTTAAAAATGATAAATTGACCCGCACTTGTATAGCGCCTGTCAGAGTAAGGACTCCAAAGCGCTTTACACTACAGTTTATCATTCATCCATTCACACACTGATGGTGATGAGCTACAATGTAGCCACAGCTGCCCTGGGGCGCACTGACAGAGGCGAGGCTGCCGAGCACAGGCGCCACCGGTCCCTCCGACCACCACCAGCAGGCAAGGTGGGTTAAGTGTCTTGCCCAAGGACACAACAGCAGAATTCTCTGTCCGGAGCCGGGATTGACTACCCGCTCAACCTGTTGAGCTACTGCTGCCCTGCTTAAATATCTTACATTTGGTCAAAGTGGCCTTAAAAAAGGTCTTAAAAAGTCTTAAATTTGGCTCCCTTAAACCTGCAGATACCCTGTCAAACTCATGAGCCACTGTAGCTGCAATACTTTCTCTGAACTGCATGGCGCTAAAGAGTTGCATTTTTTCATGATTTCAATGGATTTCACACATGGGGCCTTTAAATAAATTGACCTTTTTTATTTAAATATTGGCGTTTCTGACGTGTTTGAGATGCGACACAAAAAGCATCTGAGGGCTTGTTTTGTAATTTGTTTATTTTCTCCGTTAAATTTACTTTAATCCCAATTTCTGGAAAAGTTTCTAATTTCATGTTTATGTAAAAAAAAAAAAAAAAAAAAAAAAAAGTTGCTTCCCAGAACAGAACTGCTCAGCTAGTAAACTTCCTCCTTTCAGGCTCTGAGTCACACTCATGTGGAAGTCATCAGTTCAGACGAGAGGACAAAGACTGACGTGTCCAGGTGAGTTAACCCCTCACAGTAAAACGACCTCATGAGTGTATAAAGGCTTCTGACCTGCGTGTGTGCGTGTGTGTGTGTGTGTGTGTGTGCGTGCGTGGGTGTGTGTTGTTTATCTTCAGGTTCATCAAAGCAGCCAGTTTGCAGGGTCTGTCCCAGCAGGACACCACGTCAGCGTCTCTGTGTAAAGCCATCTCCGAGGACACGGAGTTAAACGTGGTCTTGGACTGCTCCACCAGCCCACCCACCCTCACAAACACACGTAGGTCGTGCTTTAGGTTCTGATGAGGCCTGTGTGACGTATTTCTCACCTGTGTGAAGGTTTCAGCTGCAGAATATTCTCAGGCAAATTCACCAACATCACACCAGTGCAAGTTGTGCTTAGAATTCTCCAACCATCTGCTTTTCCTCAGCATCCGATTCGTAAAAAGCAACTCTGGTGCCTCATTCACATCGAGTACGATGTGGTCCGGTTTCTGTACGGCATTTTGACGGACTGCCATTCACACCGACTGTGGTTTTTTTGTGCTGAACATCTCAGGAAATCAGCTCCCGTGACAATAATACATAATACATTTAATTATAATGAGTAAAACATAATACATTTAAACATGTACCTGCAGAAATAACATATACTCTCATACACTGTGAACTGATATGGCTGTCATCAAACAAAAAGCTGGGAAACAAAACAAAACACCGGTTGCTAAAGCTAGGCTAAAGGTTTTTCTTAGATCTATTTATTTGGTTTTCTGCTCATGTTTTGATCATCATTGCTGTTTTATTGTTTTTTAACTTATTGCTTTTGAATATTTTATTTCTATATTTGACTATATAACTGTTTTATTGTGTTTTAGTTGGTCTTTTTACTATGTTCAGCACCTTGGGCCCCTTGGTTGGAGGTAGGAAGGGTCTTATAAAACAAACCTTGATGCACCTCGCTGAAAACATCTCATTTCCTGTCTGGCTCATGTCACTTCTTCCACTTCATGCTAATCTGTATGAGGCATGTGGAAAAAATAGACTCAGGCAGACACTTTCTGGAGCTCTGCGTTTCACTGGAGCCGGGTTGAACGCTCTGTTTGGACTCAGATTTCTGATCTGTGTGGAAGTCGTACAAAAACCTGACCACATTCAGTGTGAATCAGGCATAGCGTCTGATCCCACTGCACAGGCGAAGACATCACAAAGAGAGACCCGACAGAGAAATGGACAAAAAAAGTTCTCAGAGTGAGATGGAGGTGTTAAAAGTACAATAAGTATGAGTTCCACAGTGAAATAATCACAAAACGGTTTAATGTCTCAATTATGTTGCAATGAAACAGATTTCCTTCTCAGTCGCATTTGGGGCTGTCAGTTTTTCTCCTTTAAAAAGCCAAAGAGGGATGTAGCCCTTGTTTACAATCTGTGATCCAGCGGGGTTGCTGAGTCTGCACGTTTGGAATTCAACACCAGCCGGCAAAATCTTGAGTTGTTAAAAGATCTGAAGCCAGTAAACAGGAGCTGCCCAGAAGTTGTTTCTTATACCCCTAAGAAGCCACAGCATCTTTTTGGGTAAAGAAGGCTTGAGACTAACGTTGAGCTAACAATGCTATTGAGTTTCAAGCTACTTTTTCAGATGGCAGCAACTCACTATTGCAGTTTTTATCTACTTATCAACTTATTGAGTATGACTCGTCTTCGCTCTTCATCTAGAATGTTCTGGTGCTGATCCATAACTGGTTAGAGCCACAAAACTCACGAACATGCGCGAGGGGGTCACTCGGAGTGGACTGCAGTACCCAAATTTGACCACAGGGTGTCATTCTTACTTCATGCACCTTTAATGCATGAAGGAGAACGTCTCGCTCCTCTTTAGGAATCGTGGTCAGGATTGCTTTTCTCAACATGCATAATAATATTTCTGCTTTGGTTTAAACATTAAAAGTGGGCCGACTGAGGGTTGTTCAAGTTGGAAGCTAAGTGAGGCTAAACTCTGCACAAGGTGTTCTGAATAAGTTCCTGGTGTAATTCTCTCTAGAGAGAAAGAAAATGAACTAAAAACAAGCCATTACAGAACAAACAGAATGACACATTTACACAGCTCTACCCTGAATTGATGAATAAACAGAACCACAATAGTGATTATTGGTGTTTCCTCAGATACTAACCGTTTCTGTGATGGCTGGATTCAGGCGTTTCTAAACGCCGCAGAGCGTTGTAATCCCTTCCTGCTTCGACAGATTCTGGAAAACTTCAAACTTAAGGTGAGAAGAGCTGTTGTTCTAGACATCCTGCCCTTTAAGCTGATTTGTCAGCTCAGAATTAAATAAATAATGAATCTTACTTTGCGGGAATTGTTGGTCTTTAATTATTTAACCTTTTCTTCCACAGGCCATCCAGGACATGAACAGCCTGAAGCGCTTTGTGCGGCAGGCAGAGATGAGCCACTACGCCCTTTTCCGCTGTGCCCAGTTCCTGCAGAGCTGCGGGAATGGCGACGTTTTGCTGCAGAACGCCCAGGCGGAGCACAGCGACCTGCCGGAAGCCTGCAGCATCATCTCAGTCCTGGAGGAGTTCCTCCAAGAGCAGACTCGGGCCTGACCCCGTCACAACCACTAATCTGTTCAAACTAAACACTAACACTTCAGATCGCCTGATTCTAAACACTCTAATGGTTTGATGTGGAAACAGAACACCTATTGGGGCTAAAATAAGAATGAAGTATACACTAACTAATATGATGGTGCTGTCGCAGCTCTTCTGATGGGTTATTCTTAGGTTTAAGGTATAGTCTCAATCTTTGGGTTTTTGTGAAGTGTGTGTGTGTGTGTGTATGTATATATATAAAGATGTAAAAAGCCAAATATTCACCAGAGCACAGAAATTATCCAAATTAGAGCTTATTATAATAATGTTTGTTTCTGTGACCTCCTAGTGCTTTAATAATGAAAACGCACAAATCACTTTTCTTTAAGTAGTTCTTGTTTTCCTTCGATATCGGCTGTATTTAACTTATCTCGTTAACACTGATGATGCTGTTTGATTCTTTCTGTGGGAACAGTTTTGTAAATGTATAATTATTTAAAAAATGAGTTATTTTTATGAGTTTATGTGAACAGAATAGAGTATTTGTAACTTGTTTACTTGCTTTATGTAGTTTAGAGGAAACGAGGCTTAAAACTAAGAAATAAAACTAGAATATAATGAGTAAGTTTTAATTCATCCTCCTAGCTTTAACAGTGTGATGTCTTTACATCAAATCATTCCCATAAAATCTGCCCAAAGCTTGTAACGGAGCAATAGAAGTGTTGATGTGTATACTTTTAAGCTGTGAAACGTGTGTGTGTGTGTTTTGACACTTTCTGTACAGCACTTTCTCTGCAGCTATAAATAATTTGGTTTCCAGAAATAAACTCATTAAACCCTCATTTTGTAGTTGCACATATTTTAAGCTAACGGTGATAATTATTATCTACACTTATTTTAACTTTACGATAAAGCAGATATTAAAACATCTAATATTTTAAATAATGTCTGATCCACAAGTTTAAAATAAAAAAACTTCAGTCTTCTCTTGTTAAATCATCCAGTAGGTCTCCTCCTCCATCTGATCATCTGAAACAAACAGAAACTTACTTTATTTCAGCTATTTTTGGAGTGTGTATCTGTGTAAAAGTTATATAGATCATCTTGCCCCAAAAGTAACTTATTCTGATAGGATTCATGAGTTAATAGCTGGTTTGTGTGAAACAAAAATAAAATGTTTCACAGCAGTTAATGAGGTGTTTAAACCATTGTACTTCTCTCAGTTTTTTGCTTTCCACAATTATTTGGCAGGAAGATTCAAGTATTTCTGCAGGACTTGAGGCCTGGACGGACTGAAATGTTCACACTTGTAAACAGCCATGTTAAAAACCACGTGATGTTAAACTAGTATCAGAATAAAGATTTACAGCGTGAACGGCTGTGGAGTTTTAGTGCTTTTTGAGATGCCAGCAATCCACTTTGGTATTCACTAGTGCCTATGTTACGATCCGGCTAGAGGGACCACGACATAAGGGGGAGGTCTGGAAACATGGTGTGAGTTGAAGACTATTTTCATTTTAAGTCAGCCTCTAAAAAGCCAATACCAAAAAGCCTTTTGATATTGGTTTATGTTTTATTACATTAGGGTCAGACTCCATAAATCTCACTGCCTCAAAGCTGTTACTTAGCCTCACCCAGGCTTTTTAGGCTGCTAAGTCTTCTGCCTGAATGAAGAAAAGTGAAAAGTTCTGGGCTAGATCTGTTTTTGTGTTCTTTACGTTCACAAATGTCCTCTAGAAATTGAATGTTTCTGATCATTTTAGGGAGTCAAGTGCACATGTTGTAGACAACTTTTAAATAAATAACCAACCTTTGATTTTGTTTGAAACCAAATATTCTGGCTGCCATAATCACAGCAGTCGAGTCCGAATGTTCAGGATTACCCCCAAGAGCCTGTCGGTTCCTGCTCTTTCGTCGCCAATCTATTGACTGTTTAGCTAGTTACTTGTTATTTAGGTTAGCTTTTGCTTTGGTTTGGTTTTGCATTTTGGGAAGTAGTGAAGAAATTTTACACAGAAACACATTCCGATGTGGTCGATTCCTCCTGCAAGGTGAAGAATATAAGCCACAGAGAAATCAAAGTTACCTTCAGTGAGATCACAGCTCCTCCTCAAAACACAGCTCGGTACGTCGTAGATGTTTTCTGATGGTTGAAAAAAAGACAAGCATTTAAATAAGATGTTCAACATTTTAAGCAGCTATTAAAATAATGAAGCTTATGTCACCTTGCTGTTCAGTGGGATCTTTGTAAGATGCAGGGAAGTCGTACACGACCTCGTCCATCTCTGCCTCAGGAGCCTCACATCTGCCTAAAAGAATTAACGATTCCTTTGAGCATCTGAATGTGATATTATTGGTGAGTGGTTGGCGCTTGGAGTAAATTAATATACTTGTTCTGGAAGGTAAGACGTCGTAGAGTTCCTCTGGTTTGTTCTCCTCGCATCTCAAATGACCGGACGGCTGAGGAGCGTTCACCCTGCGATCTGACATAAATACACTTACAAGAGGAACTGAATTCACAACAAAAAAGGAGATGTTGTAAAGGGTTACCTAGTGGTTGTTTTACATTCTGGTACAAGTCCTCATTGCTGTCCTCCTCCTCATGAACACACGAGGGTAAGGAGATGCCCCCCGTCTCAGCGTAGATGTGCTCTGAGGTAGAGAAGGTGGACATGGGTCGAAGGGGCACCACCTCCATCACGCTGTCGCTGTTTAACCGCTCTCGATCATAGAGGTCAAACCTAAGGAGGAGAGCAAGATCAACGTCGGAGAGAACAACCAAACCAGAAACTAAACACCTGGAGGAGCTTACTCTGTGATTCCTGGATCATAAATCCCAGAGGAGGACATCTGCATGGCCTGCCAAAGGTGTCCGACCCACTCCTTCCTGAGATCTGCTGTTTCTGCTGCCTACACACACACACACACACACACACTAAGACAATGTATTGACCCTTCCAACATCAGCTCACAAATTCACTCACCAGTATTTTTCTCTTTCCATTCATCATGATGATCTCGAACAGGAACGGCTTCCGGTCATTTTTTTTAATCTCTCGGACCGACTGAACCTGGTCCAGAAGGTGGATGGTTAGACGCTCGTCTAGATATCACGAGGCCAAAGCAGGTAAAGAAAACAGCACTAAGCACCAACAGAGTGAAGAGGAAGTGCAGAGAAAAGAGCTACACCACCGCTTCATGAAGAAAACTGAAGCACAAGTCACAGACTGGATCTTTTACTTCACTAAATATGAGATTGAAGGAGTGGCAAAGCTCGTCTGACTCCGATTCTTTTGTGGCTCTGAAGTTTAACACTGTGAGATAAACTACAAAAAAATGTTCACAAAAACATCAGAAAATGAGATCACATCACTAAATATCACAAAAATAAAGCTCTGCAGCTAAACAACAAAACGTTTTTTAAACCCCAATAAAACAGAAGCTGGACTGTAGTAGAGGCAATGAAACGTCACTGAGGCAGATGTTTTGACCTGAGGGGGTTTGGTAAGGCACAGGTATGAGGGCTGCATTCCAATTCTGCAGCTGTGCATGCTGGTTGTTCTCCAAACCAATGGTCTGAAATGTTTTATTTTTTGGGGGGGGGGGGTTAAATACTAGTTTTGTACAAAACAGCTTTTCTTTGGACTAGTGGGGGGTGGGGATAAATCACAAGCATAATATGTCATAACATATTTTTAGAGTACATTTTAAATTTGTGTACTTTATTCACTATAATTTTATCTAATTAAGATAATAATAATTCATGTACTTTAAATGGAATAGTTTTTTTTTTCTTTCAGTGTGCGGACATACCAAAAGATCCACAGACTTATGGGGCTTCCACATTAGCACTGGCTCTGCTCCGCCTGGATAAGGCAGGGAGTGTTCACATCTGCATAGTCTAGATTTTTTTTTCCACACAAAACTGCTCTTTTTTCAGCCCTCTTCCCAAGGCTGAACTGGTCCAACACAACCACTGATTGGCTGGCTCAAATTCTTCAATTCGGCGGAGCCTCTGGTTGGCAGATAGAATCATCCAGCGGGGCTTCCCGCATGCACGATTCATCATCATTATAGATACTGAAGAGGACACAACACCTCTGACTGAAGTAGTCACACACACACACACACACACACACACACACACACACACACACACACACACACACACACACACACACACACACACACACACACACACACACACACACACACACACACACACACACACACACACACACACACACAGACAGCACTGCCTGGCTTGAGCTGTGCCAGGACAGACACAGCTGAGCAGAATGCAGTATCAGAGTCAGACTCTCCCAAAGCAACACTGTTCATGGCTGTCTTTGTTTAATTAAAATGAGATATCGCAGACTTCTCCGCACATCTTTTGCCTCTCGCTTGTGCTAGGAGATGTGCTCATGAAATTACTGATATCTTCGCACCAACTTTGGAGACCGCCCATATGCTCAGTCACATCCACATTCCTAAGGATGTGTGAAATCAACCCGGCCAGGCTGGGGCGGGCTGGGACTGACTACATGGAGTAGAGCCGGACCTCTAGTGTGGAAGGGGCTTTAAGGGTCTAAACTGTGCTTACAAGCAGAACTTTCTTCTAAATGGAATACAGCCTTCCTTAACCACCTTTCCTACTCTTTCAGTTATGAATTTCTGTCGTGCATTAGGCCTTTGACGAACAAAATCTACAGCAACATAAACCCACTGGAGTTGTTACTTCTTGGTGATTTTTCCGTAGATAAATTATGGATACATTATTCTAAACGAAACTCATCCAGCTTATTCTTCCCTGGCAACAGACAGGCGCTTGGCCTTGCCTCTTCCCAGTCCTAGCTTAACAGTAAGAACGCCCTGTGCCAGCGCATGCTTGTCTCCCTAAATGTGTATGCGCTTTATCATTTCTGTGTGTCTTTTAATAAATACTCTTGAGAAGGCTTTGGTCCGGCGAGAGAGCAGAGACCACTGACTCGTGCGTATCATTTTATCTCTCTCTCCACTTCAAACGGTTTATTGTTAATAAGATTAGTATGGGTTAAATTGATCAGCTTAATAATAAAACCCCTGCGTGGTGAGCATGGACGTAATTTTGGGGGGGACAGGGGGGACATGTCCCCCCCCACTTTTTCCAAAGTCAAGTTTTGACCCCTGCACTTTTTACCATCCAAAAACAATATTACGCTATACCCCCCCCCCCCCCCCCCCCTTCTAAAGTGAAAATTACATCCTTGGTGGTGAGCTTTCCCTTCAGGTAACCCTGGATGGGAAAATGAAAATACCTAACAATTAATGTTCTCAATATCAGTTTATTAACTCGGGTGAATAAATATCATCATTAATCACAAACGTGCTCTGATGTTTCTTCCTGTACGTGAGAGCAATGGGAGTAGGAAGAAGCAAAACTCCTGTATAAACCTTCTCTTTTCTCAATTATTACAAATTGTATAAAATTACATTACATTTCATGGCAATTTACATTCAATTAACTCACAGCATAAGCTCAGTCACTGTTTAACTCACAAAAATTAGTCCTTTTTTTCTTATGAAGTTTATTTAACTGAATTAAAGTTGCACACGTCGTCAGCTCCTCATTCAAATTAATAAAATTGTTTATTATAGTCTGTAACTACATAAATGAGAGTCTGGCTCACTTTCTAACGGTATAAAACACAATTCTGTTTTATTCTGACCGAGAAACAAAAACCTAAATTAGAGAAATTAAAGAAGTCCTATCGAGACGTAAATGTTAACGGGGTTATTTTCTGTTTCACTTTAATCTTTTTGAAACCATAATTTAGGTTTTCAGAAACACTTTAAAACCAACGTTACTCGGTAGAGAAGTAAAGGTGTGGCAGCAGAAGGTCCTATCTAAAGGCCTTTAGCTTTTAGCTCCAGAAATATTGCTGGACAAATAATTTTCAAAGCAAGAAAATTTAAATTTCACTTAAAGCAAATGAAACAACTTACTCTGAATATGTAGTAATGTCCTCTCAGGTGAGTCTGTAAACAGATCAGGTGTCTGTCTTAATCATAATTATTAAAATATGTCAAAATCCAATATGAAAATGTTCTTGTTTTGTCCCAGAAAGAGGCTGATTTTCATGCATATTTTTACTTACAGCACCGCCATTTTTCTTAGTGTAAAAGAACAAGGTGGTGTTTTGTAGTCTGAACCAGTAGGTGACCCATCTTATTTTCTAAAGATAAAATAAGAAGTTAAACTTTAGCTCACAGCAGGGACAGTGGCAGAAAAACCACCAACTTACCAAAGTGTCTTTTCTTTTCTGCAGAAATCCCTCAAACAGCAGCTTCGTCCCATCCAGAGACATGTTAGCGCGGACAGAGTCAGCGTCCCTCTGAGTCCAGCCGCGTCTACCTGGCTGCCGCCGTAACTTCCTCCTTACATGAGCAGATCAGTTTCATTACCCGCTCACTTCTCCATTTGTCTCTCACTGAAGTGGAATTTGGTCTGAACTAAGCCTCTCACATGAAAAGATACAGTGTTGTGGAAAAGCACAGATTGTTCTGTTTGTCACACGTCAGTGTTTCAGATCTACAAAATAAATGTTAATATCAGACGAAGAACACGAGCGAGTGAATGAATGATGTCACAGTCAGGTGTTTGTGATAACTTGTAACGAGTCTAATCACTGGAGAGGGATTTTGTTCCCCTCTTCATTCAGTCACATTCAATGGCCTGTTTAAGGTCAAAGGTCAGACATTTTTCTTCAGAATTGTCTGTTAAGAGCTCACAGTTACAGCAGGTGGTCCAGGTCCTGAAGTAGCAAAGCTGCAGACCATCACACTACCACCACCATGTTGAACTGTTGGTATGTTCTATTTCTGTTATATAGCTTTTGTTTCACTCCAGCTGTAATGACACACACACACACACACACACACACACACACACACACACACACACACACACACACACACACACACACACACACACCTACCTTCCAGGAAGTTCCACTTTTATCTCATCAGTGCACAGAACGGTCCAAGAGTCCTTGGAGGACATCAGATGATTTTTATTTTGATAAACACTAAACAGGTTAGGGTTGAATTGAGACCTCTGATCTCAACCAGATGTGGTTCTAAGAGCAGGGCATGTTTGGGTGTAGGTCTGGGTTCAGATCTGAAATGTCTAAATGTGACCAAAAAACAAATCAAGAACCAATGAAACAATGGCATTTCTGGATCGCTCTCCTTAAATGTATTTAAATTTGTAAAAATAGAATAAAATATTAAAAACACAGTGCTATTTTACACTTTACAACAGATTGGTGTGAATATATTGCACACATTGCAGTGTATTCGTGTGATATGTCTGTCTGCAGGTGGTGGTGATGACCACGTTCAGACTGCGCCGGGTGGGTGAGGGGTAAATGTGTGAGATGGAATACTGGACTTTATGTCCCAGACTATTACCTCTTACTTTTTCATTTTTTCTTTCCTTTCCCCTTTTTTTATTTAGTGAAGCACCTCGTGAATTTTTATCTTTAGAGGTGCTATTTAAAAGATAAATCCTTCTTCTCCTTCTATTAGTATGGGTTTTATGTTCCTGGTCCCAGAGGGAAGAGGCACAAACACTTCATACCCTGGGAGAGGTCCTTGGCTTTACACCCATCACTCCTTTCAACTTGGCTGCCATTTTAAATCTCCCACAATCCCCTGTGCCATTCAAACAAGCTTTTCCTGTCTTTTGGGGTGCAGCTTCCATACCACATTGTTGTCGGAGGATGCTTTCTGTGATGGCTCTGTAGAAGTTTGTTAGAAGCTGAGATGAGTCTACTCTTGGGCCATTCCCATCTGTACCGGGCCGGGTAGCCCCAGTCTGGCCCGGTTGATTCCACACATCCTTGTCTTAAGCCCATGTGGGCTGATTCTACCCCCCAATCAGAGGCTTGCTCTAATGGAAGGTGTGAATTTGCTGTCAGCAGTGGGTGTGTTGGCCTGGATCGGCCTGAAGCAGACCCCCTCGAGAAGAGGGCTGAGAATGAGCCTTGGTTGGCCCGGAAAAATACCAGGCCACCCAGATATGTAAACAACCTACGCTACCCGGCCCGGCCCGACCCGGTACAGATGGGAATGGCCCATCTGAAGTGGCCCTCTTCCCCAGGTAGGATGAATGTAGGGATGTAAGAAAATATCGATATGGCAATATATCGTGATATTTTTCCCAGCAATATTATATCGATATTCAAAAGCCGTGTATCGGAAATATCGATATGGCAATATATTGTGATTTTTTTTCCTGTGATTATTACATCAATATTCAAAAGCCGTGTATCTAATTCTTGAAAGAATTTACATGCAAACATTTGTGTATTTTCTTTTCGTTTTGCGCAATTCAATCGCCACCTGCTAGTTGGCAGCAGTGTGCGACGGGTTTTGTTTCCAACATTGAAATGTAAATCCCTCCATCACGGTTCAGATACCTCATGTTAAACATGTTACGTATCAAATTTGACTGTTTATTGAACATTCTTGCAATAAATTCAGCAAAAAAATTGCTTGTAACGCCTGACTGAATGTATCACAATATATCGTGATATATCGTATCGTCTCCCCTGTATCGTGATATGTATCGTATCGCCAAAATTTCAAAAATACACATCCCTGGATGAATGCATGGATCAACCTACACGTTGCCCACCAGCTCCACCTCCTCACCATCAATCAGTGGAATGTAAACCCTCCTCCTGAAGTCCGTAGACCTCTAGTCTTCCTGGTGCTCACGACAAGTTTCTTATCTTAACACCATTTTATCAGGTGCATTATTTCCTGATGAGACCCACTACAGCAATCTCATCTGCAAACTTCACAGCCATGTTTGTGGAATGAGTTGCTGTAATGTCATATGTGAAAAGGTCTCGGCTGAACACACAACCCTGAGGCATGCCTGTGTGGATGATGTGTTGCCCCAGACTCTTAAATATTAAAACAGATTTAATCACAGCTCAGTGACAAACCCCTTTACTTTTCCAACCCGTATCAAATAAACACACTTACAGCTCTGTCAGGTCATACAGTCATTTATTGTAAATGCCGGAAAAGAAGAAACACTTTTATAGCATTAAGGTGAGAAAAGTGGGCAGCAGAGAATTTGTTTCAAAACATTAGTGGAGTCTCTTGCACATGGTTTGGCCATTCAAATACAACAATGGTCAAACGCTTCAACTGAAAATCAGAAAAATGAAAAGCATGAGTTATAATACTGAATACAAAAAATACATGAAAAACATTCATGCATGAAAGCAGGTTAATAAATAAACAAAAATAGTAATAAAACAAGTGCACAAAGTTCGTTCTGGTGTTAAATGTGGTGCTGCTTGGTTTTTGGTTGGTGATGTTGTCTCTAAAAATTCTGGAGGAACTCATCCATACATAATATACCCATTTACATAACTACACACCCCGTCTGTCTGGATGCTTCTCTCTGGTCTCCTTGTTTCTAACTAAATGAAGCCAACAGGAAATCAGATTTGGATCAGTTAATTTAATCCAATGATTACTACGACTACTGCTCGCTAATATCATCCAGATTAAACCGAATAAGCACATTACTTTAAAAATCGAGTGCCCATTGCTCAGAAAACCCACACTCTGGTATAAAACGCATGTTTGCTGCTCTTGATGAGAGAAAAGGGTTCAGGTGGAGTTTGAGGCAACAATCCGGGCCGAGGAGGAAGTCGTCGTAGCTTGTCATGCTGCCTGATCACCGCTGCTTGAGGAGAGCTCTGTACATGGCGAAGCCCAGGACGGCGAACACCGTGGCACCCAGGCTGGCTCTGAGCCAGAAGGTGGAGTTTTTTAGGTCCGCCTGAGCCATGTGTCTATAGGGAGAGAAAGAGAGGGGTGAGCACCAAAACGTCATGGCTGCTCTCCAATAAATTTTTTTTTAAATAAAATTCCTAAATTTCAAACTCAAATAAAATTAGCAGCCGCAGATCCAGACTGAAACAGGAAATGGAGGTTTGTTCTAACATTTGTTTTAGGGAACAAGACCAAACAACACACAGCTGTGGGGAAAGACCACTCATTATGTCTCTTAATACACAAAACTATATCAATATTTATTAGGTTTGATTTTAATTCTGGCACAAGCAGGAGAGATTTTAAATAGCTATCAGAAAACACCTAAATATCAAATATTTTTATCAAATTTTGCTTTCAGTTTTATGACTTGCTTTTGCTAATTTAAATACAAGAATAAAAGGAGAAGCCATAAATCAGCAAGAACTGTAACATGTACTATAAAGTCATTGGATCAATTCCCTGATACGCCCAAAATGATACGCCCAAAATGTAGCAAAACTTCCCCATCCTACATGTTTCAGGAACTTTTATGCAACACTTTCCCAGAATAGAAACATCCATTAAAACAGTAACAGATGATTTAGGCTGAATGACATTCTGAATCAGTTTGTGTCATAATGTAGTAACTCTAGATGATCACATGATCCCTCTGATTTATCAAATAACACGTTTTATGTCTTCACGTCACCCACCCCTAATAAACAACGGACACATAAATATAAAATAAAGTCTCAATGGATAATACTGTAAACATCTTTGTAGAAAAAAACTAGGGCTGAACGATTAACAGCATATGCAATTAAATTCATGCAATGTGACAAAAAGAGATTTTCTAATTGCAAAGGCTGTGATTTGGCCGGCAGCGAGTGGTTAGCACAATGCTTATTAACATAACTTTTTTTGGGGGGGGGGGGGGGGGGGGGGGACGCTATTTTAGGTTTTGTGTGAAAATATGCACTTCACGAAAGTGATGTCATCAAACCAGACACGGAGAAAACTGAGGGAAAATGGCTGTAAAGAACCACCATAAATCTGGCCATGTGGTAAGTATCAGCTAGTTTGGGGAGAGGAGATTATGTGGTGACGTCACATGTGCGACGTGTCGATTTCTGGTGTGTAGTCATGCTAATTACAAATTTTTACAAGCTAGTAAAATCTCAAAGTACGTGACTGGCGTGGTCGAAACACCCATCGTTACTCTTCATATGTGTGATCCAGGGCGTAAGGCAAAGTGGATTAGAAAATAACGTTTTTAGCCTCATTGATTTGCATTCATTTTTTTCGTTCTTCCGGGGACCCATGGTGCGGAAGTGAGTCAGGCTCCCTATACATGGGGAAACCAAACCCATAGGAAGAAGAAGAAAGTATCATTTCTATAATGCCTCTCAAGATAAAAATCACGAGGCGCTTCACAAAAACAAAAAATGTAAAAATATAAAAAAACATTTAGAAAATGTTTAAAAATATATTTAAAATTAGCAAAAATAAGCAATCATGATTTAAAAAAAGTTATGAAAGAGAGAGAGTGAATAGGAAAGAGGGAAATCAGTGGATCCTGAGGAAGGTGGAATAGGAGGGGAGAGCAGAATAGAGAAAGTGGTTGAAGAAGGTCATACAAAAGCCAGCTTGAACAAGTGAGTCTTCAGCTGCTTTTTAAAGGAGACCACTGAGTCCACTGATCTCAGGCTCAGGGGGAGAGAGTTCCAGAGTCTGGGGGCCACAACAGCAAATGATCTGTCGCCTTTGGTCTTTAGCCTGGTGCTGCACAACCAGTAGGCTTTGGTCACTGGACCTCAGGGACCTGCTGGGGGTGTAGGGACTAAGAAGATCACCAATGTAAGATGGTGCTTGTCCATGTAAGGCCCTATAGACCAGAACCAGGATCTTGAAATGAACCCTGACGTTGACTGGCAGCCAGTGAAGCTGGAGGAGAAGCGGGGTGATGTTTGTGTGTTTGGAGGACTTGGTCAGAAGCCGAGCATAGGCATTCTGAACCACCTGTAGACGGTTCAGGGAGGTTCTGCTCAGACACGTGAAAAGCGAGTTACAGTAGTCTAAGCGTGAGGAGATGAAGGTGTGGAGAACTGTCTCAAGTTCAGAGCGGGACAGAATGGGACTCAGCTTAGCAATGTTCCTGAGATGGAAGAAGGAAGAGCGAACAAGAGAACTGACATGAGAATCCAGGGTGAGAGCTAGGTCAAAGGTCACGCCAAGATTCCTGACGGAAGGTTTGGTGTGAGAAGCAAGCTGACCAAGAGAGTCTCTGACTTTGGGAACCAGCTTGTCTGGGGCACAGATGAGGATCTCAGTCTTATCTTCATTCAGCTGAAGAAAGCTCCCAGCCATCCAGGTTTTGATAGAGTCTAAGCAGGTGTGTAACAGCTGCAGCTTAGACATCTCATGGGGCTTAAAGGAGATGTACAGTTGGATGTCATCTGCATAAAGATGGTAGGAGATTCCTTTGAAGGAGCTCAGGATGTGCTGAAGAGGAAGCAGATAGAGGAGGGAGAGCAGAGGCCCCAGCACAGAACCTTGTGGGACACCATGGGTAAGAGAGGTGGTGGAGGACCTAAACTTGAAGATGGCCACAGAAAAGGAGCGCTCAAGAGGAGAACCACTCCAGAGCAGATCCTGATAGGCCGACCCAGTCTCTCAGCCTCTCCAGTAGCAGGTGATGGTCAACAGTGTCAAAGGCTGCAGTCAGGTCCAGCAGGACCAGAACAGAACAGTCCCCTGCATCACTATGTCAGAAGGTCATTAGAGACCCTAAGAAGAGCTGTTTCAGTAGAATGAGCTCTACGAAAACCTGACTGGAAGCTATCATAGCTGTTATGTTCATCAAGAGCAGCTGTGAGTTGTTTAGCCACAACCTTTTCCAAGATCTTGGAGATGAACAGAAGTTTAGAGATGGGTATGAAGCTGCTATGGAGAGAGGGGTCGAGACTCGGTTTTTTAAGAATCGGGTGGATTACAGCATTTTTAAAGTAAGCAGGGACCTGACCAGAGACCAGAGAAGCATTAATTATGGAGAGCACGCTGGGACCGATGGACTGAAAAGCACTTTTAAACAAAGATGAGGGTAAGATGTCGAGGGGGCATGCAGAGGTCTTCATGGAGTTAACTAGTTTGGTTAACTCAGGGAAAGAAACAGGAGCAAAGCTATCTAGGATGATGGGCCTGGTTGGAGTTGGGAGAGGCGGTGATAAGGCTGAAGGAGAGATGCTAGATCTAACCTTATTGACTTTGTCCACAAAGAAAGACAGAAAGTTCTCACAGTCTGTAACAGAGTGGACGGATGCTAGGATGGATGATAGGGATGCTAATGCTAATATTGCTGACTACATTCTTACACTTTATGAATTAGCAACGTGCCAAATTATTACATTTGGAGTCTAACAAAAGTAAAAAATTCCATCAATCAAATAAGTACAGACAGATGATTTAGTAAAGCCAGAAAACCGTAAGAGACAAACTCCAGGAAGTTTTGGCTAGCAGCAATGGACGTAACTGAACCACGGAAACTGCATGGACGAGTCAAAAACTCAAAACACAAAAGACTTCAATAAATGAGACAAACTTCTTTTCTGCCAATTAATTTTCACAGTTGATTCTAAGGGATGTGTTCTTGGCTGCAAAGCATTGCACCTTCAAATACAAAATTTTGTCTTTATTGTGAGTGTTTATGTAAATGTAGACAAAAAAATTGTAGACATGATGTGTAGATAAATATGTAGATACATAAACTTGTTTTTATTCAGTTCAAGTTACATAGATTTTTTTTTGCTTCCGTTAGTTGAAAAGTATGAGAAAAGCCCCTTTAGAAAATAATCGTGAATTAAATCGCAATCGTAATATTGAAGAAAACAGTCGCAATTAGATTACTTTGCAGAATCGTTCAGCCCTAGAAAAAACGTGATTTGATAAAAAGTTTTGTTTAAAGCCATACTATGCAACTTTTTCATATGTTTAAATCCTTTTCTTAAGCGAGTATGTGCTAAAATGACCCTTTACTGGGTTAATAAAATGCCACTCAGACCCCCACCTCCCTCTGAGACCAAAATACCACACTTTTGAACTTAGCCATGGAGCTGACATGCCTGGCGCTGCAGTCTGCTTCCAGCACGTTTTCGAGTAAAGCAGCTAATTTGTTTGATTTAGGGATGAACCGTTCCTGCAGAAACAAAGGAAGACTGGGGAGACGTTTCAGCTGTTAGATTAAGGAGTTAAAAAGACAAATGCACAGCGAGTATTTCACTTTTGGTTTAACTAACAAACACTACGGGGTGCTGAAAGCGAGCAAAAACTGCAAAGAATCCTGTTAATACAAAGCAGGAATAAAAAACACCTCCGTCAACTCTGTAACTAGACCTGTCTGTTTATTTCTGGGGTGGAAACTTTAGACTGATGTGTTACAAACAGGCTAAAACGTTCACATAACTGATGCATCTTCTACTTCAAAAATGTAAAAAAAAAAAACCTCACATTTCCACCATAAATGGTTGAGCAAATAAAAATAAATGTTCCTTGTACAAAGGTCTGAGAAGCTCACAACAGTTTGGAGCTGGCAGAGACTTTTCTAAAGGAGTAAAACACAAAGATAAACTGGAAACCCCGATGCTGAGGTCGCTCTGTGTGGACGTTCTGATATCTGCTACAGATGGTTAGAGATCTGAGCAGTTCCTGGTTAAACTCCTGAAGCTCTGAGCCTCGTCACCTTGTTACCTTTCTGGAGGGCACTTGCTCCACCGTCTCCAGATAAATGGACTCCTCCATGTTGGCGGTTACCTGCTGCATCCTCCTCTGACAGCGTACCCCCCCCCCCAACTCAACCCAAGTCAACACAAACAGCCTCATAGCAGCTATGGGTTAGTAAATAATGTGTTATTAAATCTAGAGACGAGCATAAAGAGGGCAGTTAGTTTATGATCAAATGTCTAAAGGTGACTGAACATTAAACATCTTAGGGAACATTTTCTAATTTGTGGGTCTGAAGCTGAAGAGTTTGGGAACTACTGATTTATATGACTGCTGTTGATTTTAAGGCATAATAATGCAAATAAAACAAGATGTCAGCTGATCCGAGTACAGCTACAACATGACCTCCACCAGCTGATCGCGGTGGAGCGTCAGCTCCTTCCTCTGCCAGAGCCGCCCTGTTAAACTTCGTGCTAACTGGGCCAACAGCATAAAGAGTTAGAGCTCGGTCGGGACTACATTACTACCAGACACCGACAAAAACTCACATCTCAGCAGCGTGGTCAAAACAAAACCCAACCGACTGACTCACAACACACACTGAACCTCTCCACACCACCAGTAGGAGGCAGCACTACACCACACAAGACTGAATTAGTGAACCAGGAACGACGGCATGTGTTAAAGTGTGAAAAGGTGCAAGAGGAGGAGAGGAGGGGAAGCCAGAGACACCTACAGGGAGGAAGAACAAACAAAGACGAGAGAGGGGAAACAGGATGATGATGATGATGATGATGATGGGGAAAGTTCAACAACCCACAGGAGAACACAGGACGTGTCTCCTGTGGGTGAGGACTCACAGAAACGAAGAGAAAATGAGACAAAACATCCATTAAGTCACTCATAATTTAACAGTTTTTCAATATTTAGTTTGGAACAAGTCAAAGATGTCAGCGTGTTTTCAGGGGGAATGAAACCCAAACACAAGAGACTGGATTGTGTTTCTCTCATTTTGCTTGTAAATCATTAGTCAGAGTTTCCGGTTTGCATATCCACAGCAGGCCAGGAAGCATCAAACACGCCTCTGATACAAGCTAAACGTGAATGCGCCTTAGATGTGTTCGAAACAGGCTTCAATCAGGTCAATCCAGTCTTTTCTACCATAAAAGCATATTTAAACGTACGCTACCAAAAGCTAAAGACAAAAACTCCTGTGAGTGTGTTCATCTGCACGCGCGAGCATCATGCGGCACACCGTTGCCTCCCTGGTTAACTGCCCTAGTGTTAGCAGAAACAGCCGGGTCATGCCTCGCTGGACCAGGCTGAACACAGAGCGGCTCGGCCGGACGGAGCTGGAGCAAAAACACATCTTACATCCTGCTCTGGGCAGAAAAATCCTGATTATATTAACTCAGAGAGTTAACAGTTTAAACTCCAACAACAAGGTAACCGTGTTCCTGTTTCCATGCGGTGGATATGCAGCACAAACCCGACAGCTGGTGGGAGCAGCAGGAGGAGCAGGGGTCTACGCTAAAGCACTACAGCTCATTCTGAATATCAACCTGTTGTAAACGACCCTGCGGAGCTGGGCCTTAATGCTGTGCAGCAGCTCCAACTTGAGGAGGTTCTGACACAGGCAATAAGCGCACCTGTTGCAGGAACACATGCAGCGGAGGCGGGCGTGACTGCAGAGACACACAAACAAACACGAGCAGATTCACCATCAAACTAAACGTACATAAATAACACAGAAAAGGGTGAGAAACCAAACAAATGACGCTGCTGTTGGAACATTTATAATGAACACATTTTTAAGTAAAAGTCTAAATAAATGCAGAAAAGAGAAAAATGAGAACTCTTCTGTACAAAATCTCAGGAATTAATGTGGTGGTTTCTCCTCTGCTCACCAGTTTCCACACTAACTGGGACCAGTTTATGACCAGACCACTGTAGAGCATCACCAAGAGCAGGAACTACAGAAATGCTTCTGTGATTTTCTTTTATACTTAAAATCACGTTTTATTTAGATTTAGACCTGAACGGATCCGCAGGTGTGTTCAGATCGAAAACCACCCAGAGTACAAAAACCTGGTTTCGGTTTAGGATTTAACATATTCACTATTTTCAGGATGAGAATGTGTGCTTGTGTCAGTGTGTGAAGCTAGCAGCTCAGTAAATAACCACAGGAAGTCAAAGACTAGAAATGTAGAACATATCAGAGCAACAAAAGCTCTGAGGACATTTACGCTACTTCAAATAGAAAATCTTGATGCAACATATGTGACATCTTTACGAGCTAAACTAACCACTTTTTGCTAAAAGCATCTGTAACAGAACTTTTCCTGTAAATAATTTTATTATAAAACAGCTGCAGCCGGCTGAAGAGGACTAACCAGCCAAAGTTCCTGCCAAACGTCTAAATAATCTTTAGTCGCGTCCTTCTGTCGTTACTGCTGTTTAAACTAACATCTAACTAATTACACTCCCGACTCAGAGCTGCACCATTTAGGCAAGGAGGTATTAACCAGCTAACATGAGATTAAGCAGGCAGGCAGCTCCTTTTAAATGCTTATTAATCCAGTCAAAAGTCTAATCTGATCAAAAGGCTTGGAGGAGTTAAGAGGCCCTACAGGTCCGAGCCAGACTCCCAACAGGACTTTCATGACCGCAGAGATGCTTTGCATCACTTTTTAAGGAACTGCAGGCAGAAAAATGTATCCTTCAACAGCGATATTAGCTTCAAAAACTGACTTTGACATGTTTGATGCTTGTTTATATTAACAAGATTCATCCTTTCATCCAGCAGAGCAGGCATGAGTACCGATGTGGTGGAACAGACAAACACCATCACAGAGCGGTGATACTCACGGGTACATGGCCATGGTGGTGAGTCTTGTGTAGATGTCTTTGCTGGGAGCGTCTGCAGTGTTGCACGTGAACGGCTGAGGTGGGTGGAGCTTGTGTTTGCGGCAGAAGTCGTGTGGCGACAGGCTGTAGTGCTGTCGAACGTCGTACAGGTCGGACTTGGCTGCGATCACCACGCAGGGCGTCTTGCTGTCGATGAAGTATTGCTGCAAAAACCAGGAAACCAACGTAACCGTTGTTGTAATCAGACTTTTAGCGTGTCTGATGACAATCTCACACACACACACACACACACACACACACACACACACACACACACACACACACACACACACACACACCTTGTATACTTTTGCACAGTATTCAAAAGAGCTGGGGTTGTTGATGTCGTACACCAGGCAGACCACGTCGCAGGACAGGTCCGTCTCCGACAGGAAGTCAACATCTGGCATCACTTCATGGAGCTGGAGGAGAGAAAAAGAGATGAGCATGGAGATGGGGGATTATTGAACAGTAATCCCGATTTCTGCTCAGATTGAAAGGTGCTTACCAGCAGGTACTTCTCCTGACCATAAACGTAGGTGGTGTTGATGGCGTAGAAGGACTTGTGGTCTTCTCTGATCCGCCTCTGTCTCTGTGGGGGACATAAAAGCAGAGACATATATTTACAACCCGTTTAATAGATTTACTCTTTTCTTTGTCATTTTACACTCAGAAAGTGTGCCACACAAATGAATGTACAGCGCCTCTATACACTTGGCACGTTTAAAGTTCTGGATCGGCCGTTTTGACCCAGTTTAACGCATCAGGACCAGGAAAGAAGCTGCTCTAATTTGCATGTTCTATATTTAGAAGGATATGTTTTCCAAACAAACACAAAACACTCATCCTAAAGGGTTTTAAAAGTAAAGGAAAACTGTGACACAAATGAATCTGGACCATAACAGCGTCTGACGTCTCCGACCTGCAGGTTCCTGCCGAGGAAAGCTTGAAGGAAGCCGCTTTTCCCGCTGCCCTGAGCACCCAAGATGTTGCAGCGGAAGACGCTGCGCTGGGTCTGCTTCTTCTGCAGGTCAATGCGCTTGTTACGAGTGACTGGAGGAGAGGTGGAAGCACATCTTAAAGCCAGGAACACACAGAACAACTACATGTGACTTAAGCGGTGTGTCACGCTCTCTGACCGGTCACAGCAGCAGCCTGGGACTCTTGCTCACAGATGATGGAGTAGCCGAGGTAACCTAGATACTCCAAACTCCGCTGCACATCCAAATAGGTAGTTAGCCTAAAAGAAGCACGGACGAACATCTCATGATTAGTGAGAATAAAACTGTTCCACGTGTAGAAGGATTCTGTGTGTAGGTGCGAGAAGCACTAACGTCCACTGAGAGAGGTATCCTTGGTACGTGATCCATCCCTTATCATTCGTGCACACGGTGTTGTTGACGTCTGGACCCCAGGGCATGTAGGGAAACACTTTGAACAAGTCCTTCACCTCCTCTGGAGACAGCGCGCAGTCTCTGTCCTGGGGCGATGCAGGAAAACATAAAAGTCACGGTGTGGACATAAAAACACGAGATCTTCAGCAAAGCCTGAGGAAACTTTGCTCACTTTGTCGTGTTTGTCAAAGACACTCTGGAGGAAGAGGTAAGCGTTGTGGTTCAGCTCGGTGGTGCAGTCGGGAGGGATTTTTATCCTGAAACACAAACACGGGTTCAACCGCTGATCCAGGATCTGATCCAAAAACACAAAAGCAGCTGGGAGGAACTAAAGAAAACAGCAGCTAATCTAGAAAAGTCATTAGAACCATTACAGCAACAGCGGGAGTTGCTGAGTTTATGTAAAATAAACAGATTTCTGTTCAAACATTCATAAATTTACTTTCCAAGTCAAGACAAACGTGTTCAGCGGTCGTGATTATGTCACGGTTAGCAGAATTTAACTCAACTTCAACAAAGAACGGAAAGTTTTTACTCATCAAAGCCTTTTCTTTAGAGCGGACTGACTTGTGGAGGATTAAATAAGAATTATGTGATTAAACTGTAGATTTGGAAAACATTACATCTTCTAAAAACCATTAAAATGAAACATTAAAAAAGCTTTTTTTCTTCTTAATTACAAGATAAAACGGTGTTCTGCTAAAAGCCTTTAGCGGGTAATAAAGCTAACGAACAAGGCTGCTCTTACAGGGGGAACAGGTATTCCTGCGTGAGCTCCAGGTCGTCGTCGTACCCAAACCTCCTCAGCACCGTCCACGTGGTCTCGTGTCGACCTCGCTGTATGAAGAGCGTGTGCAGGAACAGGAAGCCTACGACACCACAGAATAAAAGACCAGTGGGCGGAGCCACAGAGCAGAAAACAGACTGGAGGAAATGACCAGAGACGGACCTTTGAGCGTGAGTCCGTTGTCCTTCACGCCGTCCGCCATGTTCCTCCTGACCACATTCTTCACATCCTCCAGGGCCTGAGGCGCCAGCGGGGTGTTGAAACATGTCCTCTGTGAACACATGAACCAGGTGACGACTCAGCTCTGCTCAGCATCAGTGGAGTTGCGAGGGCGAAGCGTTACCTGAAAGAAGTTGAGCTCGTTGTCGTTGAGGATGCCGTCGTTGTCCAGGTCAGAGACCTTAAATATTCTAGTTAACGCTTTAACGCAGGAGGGCTTCAGCTGTTAAACAGAACATTCAGAGATCACACGCCTGCTTCAGTCATCAGCGCAGGAGTGAGGCAGCATCTTCTCTTCTGCATATCGATTACTTTTCCCTTAAAAACGAAAAGACTGACGGAAATAATCTAAATCACTGAGTCAAGATTTAACCATAAACACAAAGTTAACTCCCTGAGCCTAATCCCAGGAGATTACTTAACTTGTAGTTATTTTTATGCAGTTTACCGTTAGGCAGACATGAACCTCCTGACATCTGGGTTATTTAAGCCACACAAAAGAGCAAAACTTTTACCAGCAACTCTCAAATCTGAGCTGAATTATTGATGTTGTAGGTAAGAAAAGACACACGCAGAGTGGCCTGCCAGAGCAGGGATTAAATATAGCACAGACACCATTTTTGTGCTTCAATAACAGCCCGTCAGACATGGAGGTGATGGGTGGTGTTACCTGCATTAAAGCTACACAAACACACGTAAAAGGCTCCCTTTTAACTCATTCACTGTCAATGATGACTAAAGTCGTCGTTTGCTTTTTTTTTTTTACTGTGTGGGCGTCGGAACGAGCCCCCGCACCGTGAGAACAAACATCTCAGCTCTAAAGCCGATGTAGCGTGGTTAACTACATACTAGCATTAACGCTGTTTGCTATCAGCTTTGTTAGATCCTGAGAAAAGATCGGACATTAGCATATGAACTTATATTATGCACGAATATCTAGGATATTAATGCAACCGATAGAAGTTCATACACTAACCGTCTTGGTCTATATTTTAATCCAAAGATTAATGTTTAATTTAAGATAATTAAATTTAATAGCAAAAGCTTATTTATTGAATCAGAAGTTTAAGGAACCTTTGCTTATTCAATAGCCAAAAATATTCACCATTCTGTGTTTCATTTCAAAGAAGAGTCAGGTTTTTAAAAGTTAAGAATTTATTACTAACACTTTTAAAAATGACAATTTAGAAATGACAATTTTTAACAGCTTTGATATTAAAACTTGTTTTTAAAAGCAAACCTGCGACTGAATGGAAACTAAAATGAAATGCGAGGTTTTGGACGCATGAATGAATCTCAGAAGGTTTCTTTCAGAGAGAGAAGCGCGTTCTGGGTGGTAAAGTCGGTTTTGCAGCTAACTGAGTTGTTCTTAGAGATAACAGCATACAGACGCCATCTGTCGAAAGTGTCTACCTCACCCAGTTCAGGAGACCCTCTTCTGGATCCGAGATGTCAGGTGGAGATGATGTCCTCCGGGCACGAGGTTGGTAGAAGGACCTTAGTGCGACCAAATCGGTCCTGAGATGTCTCCGTGGGTCACACGACTGAAGAAACTAGTTGCGTCTCAAAATCAATAACTCTGAAGGAGTTTAGCGTCAGCTGGTTACAGACGTTTATTCGGAGCAATTCTATCGGCGTGACAGAACAGCTTAGTGAGGCTTCGGGCGGCCGACCCTCGTCCTCTGGGATGACTCTCGTCGCCACGAGAGTATCTGCTTGGTTCAAGAACTGGCTTTCAGCTGCGGGAGATCTGGTTTTAACAAAACCTCAGAACACGCCCTCTCAGCGTCAGAAAGCTTGTTGTCATGAAGTAAAGACATGTGCGGTGGTTAAACTTTACCCTGGATTCACCCTCTGCATGAGGTGGTTAAAGTGCAAGCGACCTTCTGGTTTGCTGAACACACATTACTGATTATCATAATAACTATTATCATTATTACACAAAGCATAATAAGTAATTTCAGTCATTAAAATACATTTTTACTGAACCAAGATTATTCATTATGATGATTGTAATAAACAGTAATAAAGTCTAAGAGTTTATTAAAATTATTATTTAAAAATTATTATGTTGAAATCTTGAAGTGTCCTTCATCTTGGGACGCAACAGCAGCAGATAAAGATGGTGTCTAGCAGACATCACGGCTCCTGGCGGGTGATCTGTGGGGCAAAGTTACAGTTCGACCCAGCTGGGAAAATGTGACCTTTGTCACAAATTAGAGGCTCTTCATGACGCTACACCGATCTTCATCCACATACGTCACACGTCACATGATCAGGAAGCAGAAAATCCATGTGTTAGGAGATCGTTTTGGGCCGCTGCTGTAAAAAAAAGTGAGGCGCGAACCGGAAAAGCTTCTGCCGATCACAATTCAACAACGGATTATGAAAGAACGGATAACGCTCGAAACGCGTGGATTCTTCCTGATGTAAGAGGTGAGTCTCCGCTTTGTTTTGGTTGTTTTGGCGTCGACATCATCCTAGCGCGCAACGTTCCGTGACTCTTAAAAAAAACTGTAAAAACGGTGAGAAACGCTGGCAGCGAATGAGTTAATTTCCCTGCTGATGTTTTATTAAACATCAAACACGGTGGTACTAAACTGGAATATTTATTTCTCTACGTTTGATTAAAACTAATCGAAGACTGATGGATCTCAGCCATAAAAGCGGGCTCCCGCTGGCGTTTAGATGTGTTCAGACAGGGAGTAGAAATGTGCAACAGCGATGCAACAACCACGACAGGTAGACACCCGAGTCTAGAAGCCACACCTTTTGAATGAGCTCCTTTGATCTCACCTCCTTCTCCTCTGGGCAGTACAGCGGCCCGGTCGGGTGGAGGACGGCCTTCTGCGCGTAGTAGAACAGCTCCGAGATGTTCTTCAGGTTTTTGGCAGAACACTGAAGGTGAATGAAAAAGGAATTCTGTCGGTGAAAGAGGTTGTCCACATGATAATCCACGTGTGTAAACGACTACAAGATTTGGTGCCATCACTGCCTTTATAAATCACAGAATACTAATTACTCTGCTACTTTCCAGCTGATCAAGCTACAGAACAAATCTGATGTCTGACCTGAATTCTGCACCATCACAGACGGCTTCACATAGTTTTCATACAAGAACCCAGACAACCCAAGTGAGTGCCAGCTGTGTATGAGCCGGTCCTCACGTCCTCCCCGTCTCCCTCCCTAACCTTGTAACTAATCTGTCTGTGGGGGTGGGGGGTGAGACAGAGCAGAGTCAGACTACAGAGGGAAGTTTGAACCTGTTGGCAGCAAGTTTAACCTGTGAGGGTCTCCATCAGATTTAATCTGGATGTTTCTGAGCTCCGTGAGTGTTCACATGCTCGAGTGTGTTTTTACAGCAGGACAGGATCCAGCGTTTACCTCTACACAGGTCTCAATGTCCTGGTACTGGTTCATGATGGGCAGGATGGTCTCCATGCTGCTGTGCTCCACCAGGTCCGACTTGTTCCCCACGAGAATCAACGGCACCCTGCACCAAAACCGGCACATTATTAGAAATGAAGTTCAATCATTAAATAACCAATTAATCAATTAACCACCACCAGCAAAAGCACAACATCCTATTGTCTCTGATCTGCATCATTTGTTATACTTTGAAGTGTGTAACTAAATACTACCCATTACAAATATCTACCAGAACAGCCTCTGTTCAGGGAAACACAGTTCATGTAGGACAGGACTGATGAGCTAACGGCTAGCTTGAAGACAACAGAGACCATTCCAATGTTTTATGAACCTTTATTGAAATTGTCTGTTTCAACAAACATGGTGCCTTTAGCAGGAATATAAAAACCTAGCCTGGCCTGCCAGACTTGTCCTCTGTCTCCACAGAGAAAGAGTCTGGTTACTCACAGGCACATGAGGGGCGGGACTAGCCAGCTCAAAAATAACCAATCAGAAAAAAGGCGGAAATGCAGACTGTATCGCGTAATGCTGTAGTTCTGTTTTAAAGACATGTCCAAGTCAGTTAGAACAGAGGAAAGAGCCGCAGCGGGCTCCGTTTCAGACGCCGTATTCGTTGTTTATGACGAACTCAGTGTTGCGGTGTGTGACCAAGCCCCCACAATGTGGGTGAAAAATTGAGTCCAACACGGAAGTGACAAAAATTGCAGTTCCACCCTCGTCCGCTAGGGGCTGGTGTCCGAAGCGAGCAAATCCTCATTGACTCCCATGTTAAAAATACCAATTTCACAGCAGAAACAAACATGTTTACAGCCTGGTACCAAAACATGTTTTTTGTTTAAATGATCTAGTTTACACTCACGACAACTCTGAGGGGGGTGAATTTTTTTCTCACTCTTCTGTTTAAGTGTATTAAAAGCCTAAAATTCTGTATAATTAATGAGCATCCGACCCACGTGACCACAGAGCTAGATCCGTGGAAAGGCCTCAGTAGAGCCTCGGTCTGGCTTGGAAACTGCTCCGGGATTTTGAGTTTCTGTGTGTGTGTATTCTTTTTTGGATATTTTTTGTGCAATTGTTGGACAAAATGACTTGCTGTGGCATTAATTGCACTAATAGAGCCTCCAAGGTGTCTCCACTTCATTTTTTTCTGTAAGTAAAATCATATTTATGTATTTTAGGTCACTGCCGAGCTGAGCTTAGATTTTAACATGTACTGTTTAACCATGAAATTTAAATGTAATAGGGTAAACCCCAGTGCATTTAACATAATGCTGCACTTTAGAAAATGGGTTGAAATATAACATGTTGGTGGAGCTGGGTTCCGACTATCGGCTTGTGGAGCTCTCGGGAGACCAATGTTTTCCACCCGGTTCTCCCCTCCCCGCAGCTCGGCGCATCTCTGTCTGATCGTGGCTTCTGTCTGTGTGCGGCTGCCGGCTTTCAGCAGCTTTCAGGAGACCTCTGTGTTCCACCCGGTTTTGCCCAGCGGTCAGCCCGGCGTATCTCTGACTCAGAAGCTCTGGTGTTGTGCACAGTTAACTCCAGTTGTAGCTAGGTTGCTACCTCCGTTAGCTTCGCTCCCACCTCTGGGTTAGCTTTGGGTTAGCTTCAGGTTAGCTTGTAGCTAGTTCGACCGGGTGTCGTCAGTCGATCCCAGCCTTACAGCCCCACCCTCAGCTCCACCTCTCTTCCCTATTGTGGAATTGTCTGGGCTTGACGGAACCTGTGACACCGTCAAAATGGCGGTGGTGGCCACCTCTCATTTATCTTCAAAAATGTGTTATTGGAGCCTATGGAAACCCATTGTCCAATATTTATATGTCGATGGGCGGGACTAGCCAGCTCAAAAATAACCAATCAGAAAAAAGGCGGAAATGCAGACTGTATCGTGTAATGCTGTAGTTCTGTTTTAAAGACATGTCCAAGTCAGTTAGAACAGAGGAAAGAGCCGCAGCGGGCTCCGCTTCAGATGCCGTATTCGTTGTTTGTGACAAACTCAGTGTTGCGGTGTGTGACGTACGCTGCTCAGCGCTGATTGGCTCAGTTACAATTCTCAGGGGGCGGAGTTACTTGAATAGAAGAGTTCCCAGACCCGGGCTGGCTGGTCAGGTTAATAAAAACCCTGTCTGACGTAAACCCACGATGCACCAGGAATGATGCGTTTTATTAATAATCCGAGAATTCACTGGAAAAAAAAAACAAATTTAAAAGTTCAGAAAATAATGTTGCATGGATGGCTGTGAAAGTTTGGAGGTTCTGGTTCAGGTCGAGCTTAGACTAGCCATTAGCTCATCAGTCATTTATAATTTAAGCCTAAATGCCTTAAACAACCATTCTCTATGACACTCACCTGCTGTCTTTATCTGTTCGGTCATTTATGAGAGGAATCCAGTGGCTCGTCACCTAAAGAGGAAAATTCACCCGAGAAAACAAACATTTAACTCAGAGTGAAGATTAAAACTATGCAGCATTTTATAGTTTTAAGTGCAGACACAGAAATCGCACTCACCTTTTCTATTGACTTCTTGTTGTTAACAGAGTAAACTATGCAGATAACATTCGCCTTCAAAGAGAAACAGAATTATTCATCTGTGAGGAATTATAAAACAGGATCAATTTTATTTACCTTGGATATCTCCTGAAACAGCTGCTCCTCGGACTGTTCTGCATCTGGATGAGTTTAAGAGACTCATTAGTGCAGGTTTTCAACATCAAACAATGATAAGCTATTGGCTTCTGTTGCAAGTTTTTGACTTTAAACCAGTCAATTCACTGTTTTTAGTAGAAAACTGTTGGCATGCCTTTAAATGAGTTTATGCAACACACCAGAAGGCTTTAAAAGGTAAAATATACAGCAGGTATTATTGAGGACCAACACTTGTTTTTTTTAATAAATCTGCTGTGGTCTCAGGTATAAATGAATGCCCTGGCTGTCGGTTTCTGAGGGGAAAAAGCTGATGCTCCTGTTTCAGGAAGTAGGAGCTAGCTGGAAGAGTGTGGGGTGGAAAACAGGATTTGGAGTCTTCCTCAATAATATTCATGATATTTGGACATCTCGCTTCTGAGTGGCTAACAGCAACGTGACTCTACCACTGACTCGGTTTGCATAGCGACAAATAACAAGCCTGGAGGAGTTCCGCCATGTTGTGGAGTTTCTAATGCTAACTGTTAGCTTCTACTAGCCGAGATGTGCTCTGCTCTCTCCTGGATGCTGAAACAACAGCCTTCCCCGTTGTGAGCCAAGATGGGCGAGGCCATGAATGCTAATTGACAGTGCGACGTCGACCTGACTGGACCTTTCTGACCCGATTGTTTCACCATCTATTTTCTATCTGCAGCTAATGCAGGAAATAGGGGTAAAAGGCTTTTTTCACGGTCAGCCTGCATGTGAAACTCAGAGTGACCAATCGCATTTCAAGAATAAGTATTATACATTTCTCAGTGAACTTCCTTTTTAAATTGTATTAAAAGAGTCAAGCGTCTTAATGGCAGCGTTTACAAAAACACATTGGTAATGTCTGACATGTATTTGAAAAATACTGCCATTAAGATGCCTGACTCTGGTAAAAACATCATTTCTTATTATTGTGATATTGTGCTGAGCAAAAACCAGACAGAATGTGTTTTAGCCCTTAAGAGAGGTTTATTAGAGTAGTCCAACCGCTGAGATGGCCACCGCGTCTCATAAAGGAACGGTAACACAGCCCCTCACTATAACCCTTATGGATAATTACAATATTTAGAAATATTTCATATGTATTCTGATGTTTCCTAATGATTTCTAATCATTATACAGTGGGGCAAAAAAGTATTTAGTCAGCCACCGATTGTGCAAGTTCTCCCACTTAAAATGATAACAGAGGTCAGTAATTTTCATCATAGGTACACTTCAACTGTGAGAGACAGAATGTGAAAAAAAATCCATGAATTCACATGGAAGGATTTTTAAAGAATTTATTTGTAAATCAGGGTGGAAAATAAGTATTTGGTCGATAACAAAAATTCAACTCAATACTTTGTAACATAACCTTTGTTGGCAATGACAGAGGTCAAACGATTACTATAGGTCTTTACCAGGTTTGCACACACAGTAGCTGGTATTTTGGCCCATTCCTCCATGCAGATGTTCTCGAGAGCAGTGATGTTTTGGGGCTGTCGCCGAGCAACACAGACTTTCAACTCCCTCCACAGATTTTCTATGGGGTTGAGGTCTGGAGACTGGCTAGGCCACTCCAGGACTTTCAAATGCTTCTTACGGAGCCACTCCTTTGTTGCCCGTGCGGTGTGTTTGGGATCATTGTCGTGTTGGAAGACCCAGCCACGTTTCATCTTCAAAGCTCTCACTGATGGAAGGACGTTTTGGCTCAGAATCTCACGAAACATGGCCCCATTCATTCTTTCCTTAACACGGATCAGTCGTCCTGTCCCCTTAGCAGAAAAACAGCCCCAAAGCATGATGTTCCCACCCCCATGCTTCACAGTAGGTATGGTGTTCTTGGGATGCAACTCAGTATTCTTCTTCCTCCAAACACGACGAGTTGAGTTTATACCAAAAAGTTCTACTTTGGTTTCATCTGACCACATGACATTCTCCCAATCCTCTGCTGTATCATCCATGTGCTCTCTGGCAAATTTCAGACGGGCCTGGACACGTCTGGCACTGCCGGATTTGATTCCCTGCCGTTGTAGTGTGTTACTGATGGTGACCTTTGTTACTGTGGTCCCAGCTCTCTGCAGGTCATTCACCAGGTCCCCCCGTGTGGTTCTGGGATTCTTGCTCACCGTTCTCATGATCATTTTGACCCCACGGGATGAGATCTTGCGTGGAGCCCCAGATCGAGGGAGATCATCAGTGGTCTTGTATGTCTTCCATTTTCTGATAATTGATTTTTTCACACCAAGCTGCTTGCCTATTGTAGATTTACTCTCCCCAGTCTGGTGCAGGTCTACAATTCTTTTCCTGGTGTCCTTCAAAAGCTCTTTGGTCTTGGCCATAGTGGAGTTTGGAGTCTGACTGTTTGAGGCTGTGGACAGGTGTCTTTTATACAGATAATGAGTTCAAACAGGTGCCATTAATACAGTTAACGAGTGGAGGACAGAAAAGCTTCTTAAAGAAGATGTTACAGGTCTGTGAGAGCCAGAGATTTTCCTTGTTTGAAGTGACCAAATACTTATTTTCCACCCTGATTTACAAATAAATTCTTTAAAAATCCTGCCATGTGAATTCATGGATTTTTTTTTCACATTCTGTCTCTCACAGTTGAAGTGTACCTATGATGTAAATTACTGACCTCTGTCATCATTTTAAGTGGGAGAACTTGCACAATCGGTGGCTGACTAAATACTTTTTTGCCCCACTGTATCATGATCTCTGATCATTTTCTGACTAAATCACATTGATGTTTTTTTTTCCTTCAAATTATTCAAATGATTATTGTCACAAAAAATAATATGTAAAGTCGCTACAACGCCCACTGTTAAAAGCTGTTATAGTGAATCTGCAAACAAGCTAGGTTCACGGAACACTCACCCCTCCCCGCAGGTATCTTCCCTGGATCCATGTCCACCTGAACAAGAAGCCAACGATGCCAAAGGAAACGAGAGAGTGCTAAACAACAGTCATCGATTTCTAGGTCCTTACGTCTTTTATTGTCCGTGACTTTGAACGGTGTTTGTTTTTTTGGGACTCTGGTAGTTTGTCCTAAAGTTGAAGTGGTAGCAGCCGGCTGTTTCTCCTTCTCTGGCTTATTGAGCAGAGAACCTCTCACACCAGTGGTGTTCTGTTGTGCGTAATGAGTGGAGGTCAGAGGGAAGTGATGCGGGTGGGCGGGACGACTACTGGATGGTCCAACAGTTGCTTTTGTTCTAAAACGTGTTATTGACATAGGTTTTGAGACAAATACGACAAAACCACATTATAATATATATTTTTTATCTTTATAATAAATTTATAGCTATACTGTTTATTTAAAAAAATATTTTAAGCTAAATTGTTTTCCAAAAGTGCTACTGTAGCTTTAAACAGATACAAAGGTTTGTGCAAACACTGAGCCTCTTGTTTGGTCTGGGTTAAATAGATATGTCATTTAATATTTGCTGTGCCATAGATGTTTGCATATCAGTGTTTGTAGTGGCGGACTTACCCGAGTAGTCCACAATATGTGTGGGAACTCTCTCTGGTGTGACATCAGCTGGGATGGTTATCTCCTCAGCTCTGCGAGGAACCTGCAGGACCAACATCTTTGCTAGTCCGAACTTCGTGTTTACAACCAGAATGTTTGTGTAATAAACAGCAGTAGCATCTCACCTCATCAGGAAACTCCTCACTGACCAGAGACATAATCAGGGATGTCTTCCCCACTTTGGCTGCAGGGAAAGCAAAACATCACAAGCAATAAACACATATTTAATATTCATGTATACAAAAGGTTTATTGTTTTTACTAACATCAGTCTGAAGGGTGAAAGGGAGATGACAATGTCATGACCCGTGATGTGAATGCACTCACATGTTGATCCGGTATTAATTAACTCATTCACTGCCATTGACGATTAAAGTCGTCATTTGCATTTTTTTTACTGTTTGAGCATCGGAACGAGCCCCCGCGCCGAGAGAACAAACTTCTCAGCTCTGAAGCCGATCTTCATCTGCATAAGTCACGTCACATGATCAGGAATCAGAAAATCCATGTGTTAGGAGATCGTTTTGGGCCGTTCCTGTAAAAAAAAGTGAGGCACGAACCGGAAAGTGTCTGCCGATCACAATTCGACAACGGATTATGAAAGAACGGATAACGCTCGAAACACACGGCTTCTTCCTGATGTAAGAGGTGAGTCTCCTCTTTGTTTTGGCGTTGACATCATCCTAGCGCTCAACGTTCTGTGACTCTTAAAAAAAAACAGTAAAAACGGCGAGAAACGCCGGCAGCGAAGGCCTTTAGCGATCAGGAAACGGCTGGCAGCGAATGAGTTAAGGGTACAATTACATTTTAGTTAGATTAATAAACACTTTAATTGTTCCCTTCTTGGTTTTTATCATCAGACTTTTACAGTAACAGTTTAAAATTTTAAGTGATTACTTTCAAACTGGCTTCAGTGGTTCTTGAGCCAGAAACTTGCCCAACGTGCTCTTGGGGCTTTTCCAACGGCACTACTCAGCCAAAAACAGCTCGGTACAGCGTGGGTTAACACAGCTCACCCCAGTCTAGTACGCTTTCTCTGCCAGCTCCATGACAAGAAGTGGTGCATGGGGGAGCATGAGGTGATCAGTAAACAGTGTGTGAGGTGATCTGTATGCTACAGAAACACAACTCAACCCCAAATACGGTTGTAGTGGCAGTTCCTTTGTTTGTCAACTCACTTCATATTTTCCAACTTTAAAAGCCACTGCTGCACTGTGGTAACGTTTCGTACGTAGGCAGAAGAAGCTCAATGTCCAAACTTGAAAGCTGTGTTTTCTTCAAGGTTTATTTTCCAGGTTGCCAAGCAATAACACACAGACCCTGTTTTCCATTGTTTCCTGCTGCGTCTCCTGCTCTGGTAAAAAAAAAAAAAACATACGCCCACCCCAGTGCATGCTGCTCCCATACCAGTGTCTACTTATACAAAATGACCCGGCGATTTTTCCTGACTGACGTACAAATGTAAACAACAAAATGAACTACAAAAATAAACAAATATTAATCTACAAATAAACTTTATAAATGATTCAAAAAATATAAAGTGAACTAATCACAAATTTTAAGAAAATACACAAAAATAACACAAAGTATAAATAGCTCCAACAACGGTGAGCGTGAAAATTCTGCTCAGTTTTAGGGCGTTTATCAGACTCTGAACCAGGAAATGGATGCAGGCACAAGACAGAAAGCTCTGGATCAACCTGTGACTCCAACCCCAGCCCATCAGCGGCCGACAGTCACGATGCTGGCCCGAGTCAGCGAGCTAGGAAATACATGTGAACCAGGACTGATGAATAGAGGGAAATTAGGGGGAAAACACTGAACTGTGCGGTTGGAAAAGGCAGCCAGACGGAACCGTCCCAACCCGGGTCACGCCGAGTAGTGCAGATGGAAAAGGCCTATCTGCTGACCAGAAACCGCACTTAACAGTTTTGAGGCACAGGTAGGTTCACTAGTGGGAGGTCTCTACCAGCTTTACGGCAAGGTCTGTTTACTGTGCTGGTAGCTAATATAAAAGCTAGTAGATCACTTTTTAAGTTTGCCAACTGTTAATAAAAAGCACAAGAAGACGACTTTTGCTTTTTTTTTGTCAGCAGGAAGACAGTAATGTCTTCGGAAGTGAAGCAAAGAGTTTAAACCAGAGTGAACAACGGTGCAGCCTTCATGAGGGAGCTGAAGGAGGCTACGAAATCACAGACTGATGATGACCTGGCTTTGTTTCTACTGGACTTGTTAGTAGTATTTTTGTCCAAATGTGTGTATATTTTCACTTTGTGGCTTATTTTGGCTTCAGTTGGCTTGTGTTAGTGTTAGCTCGTTGTTGGCTAGCCCAAGCAGGCTGTTCCAATGTTGTTTACATTAGTTGGAATCCTGCTTTCAACCGGTAGGCAGAAGAAGCAGAAAACTTATTTAGTGTCGCTATAAAGCTTCATTGAAAAATTACAATCATTTAGCAAATACTGCTTAACATTTCATATTTATCCAACTACATTTTATTTATATTAAAAAATACAAAAACTTAAATCAATGTTTGCATTAATTATGCTCACTAAATAAACACTGAACAGTAATGACCTCTGCCTCCAAATTACAGTAAGTTAATCTGAGCTTTTCTACACATCGTCCCTTACACAAGCAGGCAGAAAGGCAAAACACAGAACTGTAAAACTTAAATAAATACATCTAAAGCAAAGCAGCAGGTGACCCAGCACTAATATGTATCTGTAGTGTGTAGCATTAGCCTCTCCGTGACTAAAGAAAACAGCTGAGTGAATCAACAAACTAAATCCTCCTGCACATCAGATGGCACGTAGCTTGTGGCTGCACCGCTCTCAGTGACAGTCTGCATTAAGAGAGCCAACCTGAAATATAAATAGTACCAATACAACATGTCAAGAGCACAGACCAGGTGATGCACAGGGCCGTCACTACAGTTGTGCAAAAGGTTAAAAATTTCATAATCACACAAGTATTTACCCAACCCACAGAAGGCAAATAGCTGTAGCAACTGTACCTCAAGCCCTCAGAAAATAAAGCAAACTTTTGTTTGGAAGCCCTTTAGAAATGAAAATATGTGCATAGAACATTTAAAATGGATCTATTTGAGATTGTGTGTCTTTAAATGTTATGTTTAAATGAAACAAATTGATAATATTAGATAATGGGCTTTATTAAATAAAAATTATTTTCAAGCTGCTGTCAGCAGAAACATGGCCGTGTTTCTGCAGCTTAGATTAAATGTGGTTGATGAACTTTGTTGATGACCTGTGATGATTTATAAAAACCCATGAAAACAAGTTTATACTGCAGAGAAATCAACACAAGTCTGTCTGATCAGTTAGAGTCCTGTTCGTTTGCGTGGTTACTGCAGAACTACTGAATATTAAGAGACGGAAGTTCAAATTTCTCTCAACAAAATTTCAATTATAAATCTAATAACAAAAATCAAGCCAGTTTGATTAACTTTGGGTAAAAATAGAATCTGTAGAAACTACTGGTTGAGTCTCAGCGAGCAGCTAGCTTAGTGTAGCTAGTTAACATAAACTAGCAACTTACGCTCTCCGACTAGCAGTATCCTCACGTCCTTTCTCATGTTTGGCTCGTTTCCGTCCGCAGAAAGGACAAACTTTATAGCTTCATGTAGTTTTCTGGAGCCGACCTCCTCCTTGTCCAGGACCAATCTACCGTCGGGCCTGTCAAACGCTCCTTTGTAGGACAAAACGGACGGACCCTTTCCGGAGCTCTTCTACGTTCCCTCCACGCTTTTCTTCCTAATTTAGGTTAACGACTCAGCAACAACAAAGTTTAAAATCCGTACGCTACATAATTGTCTCTATTTTCATGTCAATGACAATCATTTCGGCGCCAGCAGATCGTTTCGCAGTGGACGTTTAATGCGCATGCGCAAATATCAGCACCGGGTTTCTACGGCAAACTGTACAGGACAAAATCATCTGATCCTGAAGGATGAAAATGTTTTGCTGCCCCCTGAAGCATAAAAGAGGAAGTGTCAAATCTTTATGACGATAGATTTAACGCATTCATCCTTTTTATGTCTTTTTAAAATTCACTGTACTTTGGAGTATTTTATTTCAACATAATTTAATTACAATGAATTAAATTGCATTTAATGGAAATAATAGGAAAATTAACAAGAAAATTTTATTTTGTGTCATCTTAACAATAAATTTATTAGAAAAAGAAAAAATAAATGCTTTTCATTTTGTAAATGTACACAGTTTCATGTTGTATAATTTAATTTCTTGTTTATTCATTGAGAAAGTTGCCTAGTTACACCCCTTATCAATAATAAATCACACTTTATTTATCAAAAAGGAATTGATTTTACAATGCAAAATGTTAATTACCCCTTTCAATGGCAGGTTTAATATTACATACTTTTAACAAAGAACAAAAACTTTTCAAAAGGTAAAGGTTAAGAAATGTCTTGTATTTATACAGTAATGAGACCCTATAAAATGATAAGAGGGGCTTAAAAAATTTCAGAGTAAAGAAATATTTTCTAAACCTGATGAGTATTGTGTCCACTGTGGGTTTAAATTATTTTAAATCGGTCAGAGTTGTTGTACTAAAGAGTCAGGCGTGATTGAGTGCATGTTCAACTGTCCCGCTGCAGAAGTTCATCCATAATTTCTCGTCATCCTGTTGTGTCACGTTTTGTAGTTCATTTTTTATACTTCATATTGGCTTCAACTGAAATGAGAAACAAAAGAATCATAAATATGCTTAAAGGTTTTTAGAGCGTGGGAATGTTTGTGTGGGGGTGAGCACTAGAGAACATGCTGTGCTATCATCTAGCAGCAGCCAGTGGCCGTGAATTTGACTGGACTGTATGTTGAGACCTGCTTCCTCACCGGTATGATCCTGCGGTGACATGGACCGGCACAGCACCTTCCTCAGAGCGTCCAGCCACTCTCTCTGCTCCCTCTCCTGCTCACACATGAATACAAACTGGCGCTCAGGCGTCTCCACCCTGATGCCACACTTCCACTTGTTCCGACGAGCGTGCTTCGGGGCACACGCCTTAATGGAGTAACCGTTGCTCTCTGTGCCGATGAAAAGGACCCCTAACTCCTCTGCATCCTGAACTCAGATTAATATAAGCAAACAACACTCAAATGAAATGGTTGTGGATCAAGATGAAGAACAGCATGGTGCTAGAATCAGAAATCTCACCAATTTGTCTCTGAGGTAAAGCAGCTTCCTGTTTTCTGAGTCCAAAATAAACCAGCGCTTTTTAAAAGCCTCCTTTTGCTGTTAAGCAATAAAAACAAATATGAAGCCTCACATACCCTTCTTTGAACCATCACCTTATCGTGGTGGAGGAGTTTGAGTGCCTTAATGATCCTAGGAGCTATGTTGTCTGGGGCACTTTGTGCCCCTGGTAGGGTTTCCCATGACAAATGGGTCTTAGGTGAAGGGTGAGACGAAGAACGGTTCAGAGGATCTTTCATGGAGGTACAATCAAAGAGTCGGAGTACCCGGCCCGGAGGGTTACCGGGGTCCCACCCCGGAGCCAGGCCTGGGGTTGGGGCCCGTGAGCAAGCGCCTGGTGGCCGGGCTTTCACCCATGGGGCCCGGCCGGGCCCAGCCCGAATCGGATACATGGGCTCATCCAACTGTGGATCCACCACCCGCAGGAGGAACATGATGGGTCCAGTGCAATGTGGATCGGGTGGCAGACCGAGGCGGGAGCCTTGGCGGTCCGATCCCGGACAAGGAAACTGGTTTTTGGGACATGGAACGTCACCTCGCTGGCAGGGAAGGAGCAGGAGCTTGTGGCAGAGGTTGAGCGGTACCGGCTAGATATAGTCGGACTCACCTCAACACATTGCATTGGCTCTGGAACCCAAGTCCTTGAGAGGGGTTGGACACTCTCTTTTGCTGGAGTTGCTCCGGGTGAGAGGCGGAGGGCTGGAGTTGGCTTTTTGTTAGCCCCAAGACTCTCTGCCTGTGTGTTGGGGTTTACCCCGGGGGATGAGAGGGTAGCTTCCTTGCACCTTCAGGTCGGGGAACGGGTCCTGACTGTTGTTTGTGCTTATGGGCCAAATATCAGTTCAGAATACCCACCCTTTTTGGAGTCCGTGGGACGAGTGCTAGATAGTGCTCCATCAGGGGACTCCATTGTCCTGCTGGGAGACTTCAATGCTCACGTGGGCAATGACTGCTTGACCTGGAGGGGTGTGATTGGGAGGAACGGCCTGTCTGATCTGAACTCGAGTGGTGTTTCATTATTGGACTTCTGTGCAAGCCGCAGTTTGGCCATAACGAACACCATGTTCGAACATAAGGATGCCCATCGGTACACTTGGTACCAGGGCAGCCTAGGTCGCAGGTCGATGATAGACTTTGTAGTCGTATCATCTGACCTGCAGCCATATGTTTTGGACACCCGAATGAAGAGAGGAGCGGAGCTGTAAACTGATCACCACCTGGTGGTGAGTTGGATCAGATGGCAGGGGAAGATGCCGCGTAGACCTGGCAGACCCAAACGCATAGTGAGGGTCTGCTGGGAATGCTTGGCAGAAGAACCTGTCAAGACGGTCTTCAAGTACCACCTCCGGCAGAGCTTTCACCGCGTCCCGAGAGCAGTGGGGGACATCGACTCCAAGTGGGCCTTGTTCCACTCTGCGATTGAAGAGGCAGCTGTTGCTAGCTGTGGTCACAAGGTGGCCGGTGCCAGTCGTGGTGGCAACCCCCGTACCCGCTGGTGGACACCAGAGGTTCGGGGAGCCGTCAGGCTGAAGAAGGAGGCCTACAGGGCGTGGCTGGTCTGTGGGTCTCCGGAGGCAGCAGACAGGTACCGGATACCCAAGCGGGGTGCAGCAATGGCAGTTGCTGAGGCTAAATCTTGGGCATGGGAGGAGTTTGGTGAGGCCATGGAGAAAGACTATCGATCAGCTCCAAAGAGGTTCTGGCAAACTGTCCGACGCCTCAGGAGAGGGAAGCAGCAACTCGCTCACACTGTTTACAGTGGGGATGGGGAGCTGCTGACGTCAACTGGGGCTATAGTCGGATGGTGGAAGGAATACTCTGAGGAGCTCCTCAATCCCACCTACGCGCATTCCAAGGAGGAACCAGAGCCGGGAGACCTGGGGATGGACTGTCCAATCTTGAGGGCAGAAGTTGCTGAGGTAGTCAAACAAATACACAGCGGCGAAGTAGTAAGTCGGACCTGTTCCCGGTGAGGGTTGGACTCCGCCAGGGCTGCCCTTTGTCACCGGTTCTGTTCATAACCTTTATGGACAGAATTTCTAGGCGCAGCCGTGGTGTGGAGTGTGTCGAGTTTGGTGGCAGGAGAATCTCATCTCTGCTTTTTGCGGATGATGTGGTCCTCCTAGCTTCACCCAGCTCTGACCTTCAGCTCTTGCTGGGTAGGTTCGCGGCCGAGTGTGAAGCGGCTGGGATGACGATCAGCACCTCCAAATCTGAGACCATGGTTCTCAACCGGGAAAGGGTGGCTTGCCAACTCCGGGTCGGGAAAGAGGTCCTACCTCAAGTGGAGGAGTTTAAGTATCTCGGGGTCTTGTTCACGAGTGAGGGTAGGAGGGATCGGGAGATCGACAGGCGGATTGGTTCAGCATCTGCAGTGATGCGGACGCTGAGCCGATCTGTCGTGGTGAAGAGGGAGCTGAGCCAGAAAGCCAGGCTCTCGATTTAAAGGTCGATCTATGTCCCAATCCTAACCTATGGTCATGAGCTTTGGGTAATGAACGAAAGAACGAGATTGCGGATACAAGCGGCAGAAATGAGTTTCCTCCGTAGGGTGGCCGGGCTCAGCCTTAGAGATAGGGTGAGGAGCTCGGACATTCGGGAGGGACTCGGAGTAGAACCGCTACTCCTCCAGATCGAAAGGAGTCAGTTGAGTTGGTTTGGGCATCTGGTCAGGATGCCTCCTGGACGCCTCCCCGGGGAGGTGTTTCAGGCATGTCCTGCCGGCAGGAGGCCCCCGGGTCGACCCAGGACACAATGGAGAGGTTACATCTCCAATCTGGTCCGGGAACGCCTTGGGGTCCTGCCGGAGGAGCTGGTGGAGGTGGCCGGGGAGAGGACGGTCTGGAGCTCCCTAGTTGGGATGCTGCCCGGATAAGCGGAGGAAGACTACGACGACGATGAAGCCTCATCTCCCTGATTCATTTCTGAAAGTAATCCATTTAAAAACATCAAGGCAAAGTCTGTGTGGGTTTCTAGATCTGAAAGAGGGACAGAAACTTTAAGATGTACAGCTCAGAAATAACTTTCACGCTTGGCTGCTCACAGAGAAAACATGATCAGAATGAGCTTTTTGATTAACTTACCAAGGGCCCTGTCTTTTCCATGTATCCCTCTTTAAGGTAGTTTCTCGTAATCTTTGGTACCAGCTGACAGAAATGCATAAAATTACAAATAAGATTTAAAACAATTATTATGTAAAAAAGAAAAATCATTTTTGATTTTATTTCTAAAGCCTTAACTAAAAGGAATGAACTGCTTTTGAGTATAACAGAGACAATCTGACATGTGAAGGCAGGAATCTGAATCACGTGGATGAGGTAAGTCACCTCTTCGTTGCTCCCCGTCGGGTAGGCTGTTTTCAGGTATGCGTATCGAGCAGCTCGGATGGCGTTGTACCAAGAAACTATTTCCTAAGTTACAAAAGTAGCATTACACCTTAGCACAACTCCAAAAACATTCCCGCTTTTAATTTCCTGGATGCTCAGGCGGTCCTACCTCTGAACCTTCATGGTAAACATAGAGGTTCCTGATGTGATCGTCACCCTGATAAGAAATCTGGAGCCCGTGAGGGTGACCGATCTTCTGTGGCTGGAAGGTGGCGTTCAGGTCCTTGATGGAGATCACGGCTTTAGGTCCTTTGGACTCCTACAGCACAAATATAAAGATGTGTCACAACCTACCGTGTGTGTTGTGTGTGTGTGTGTGTGTGTGTGTGTGTGTGCTGGAGGATGAGTGTTGTGAAGGGGTTTTTATTCTCAGACTGTTTTTAAAATCCTGGGGATGGGAGGGAATGTGGGTATGCGGGGCCTTTTTAATTTGTTAAGCACTTTGAGTTGCATGCATTGTATGATTAAGTGCTATATAAATAAAGTTTGATTTGATTTGATGGTAAACTACATAGTCACAGTTGCCATGTGGCGGTCTGACCAGAGACCCTAGGGAAGCCTGAAGAACTACTGATCAAGAGTACTTAAAACTACTATATGAAAATCATAAAGAAACATGGATGGCCCAGAGCTTTTGCGTTGCGCTTTTCCTTCATGAATACCCTTTGTTAGATCAAAGCCACTGTTATGGCCTCAGGTCAGCTCACTACTCACGTCTTGTTTGTTGTAGTATGTCAGGGTGAATTCTCTCTCCGACAGAATAAACTTCCTCTTCTGAAACTGCATGTTGTTTTTGCCTTTCTTCCACAAAATCCCTTCATAGAAACCTGACGTCCAGGCAAAAAACAAAAACAATACACAAAAACAATAAAACAGAGTCACAGAGGCTCTGGCACACGCCGATTAATAACGTTCTGTTACAAAAAGACACGGTTATTATTTAATTGTTCAGCTCTCATGATTAGAATAAAACCTGTTCTTCTTGCTGAGTTCTGCATGTGCAAGAGGAACCACATTACTGAAATGCCATTTACACCAGCAGGCTTACGGCATCCCCACACACACGCACACACAAACACACACCCAATTTCACCTGTTGTGTACGACAGAGGTGGATACTTGGTTTCCCCGGAGAACTCCATCCTCTGATACTTTGCTCGAATCCACTGCTCCCTCAGGACGCTGTAGTCCAAACACGAGAACCATGTTTCTACCACAGCTGTGATGTCACCAATGAACCCTCGTCTGACAGAAGGCATTCATGTTTTCACTTCTACCGTCTGGAGTTGCACTTCTATTTGTTGTGGCGATGCAACAGTCAGCAGTCTGTTACTACAGTATTATTACTTTTAGACAAATATGCAGTCTCAAAGACACACAGAGGTTCCTCTAAAACGACTCACTTGCAGTCGTTTTCCTGAGGCCGGTAGTAGAATGGTGGGATGGCTTTCTCGTACAAAGCTCGGGCCTTGGCGTTGCCGGCAGATTTCATGAACTTTTCAGAATCGCAGAGGAAAAAGAGATTAGGATTAAACTCACTTAAAAAAACTGTACTAGCATAGTAACAATAGCAGTGTGTGTGTGTGTGTGTGTGTGCGCGCGCGTGCGTGTGTGTGCGCGCGTGCGTGTATGCGTGTGTGTGTGTGGACATTTCAACAATGTGGGGACATTAGGCTGGTCCACACAATGACAAAAAACCCTTAAACGTGGTTTTAGAGTTGTGGTGTGAACTACCTTTTGGTTTAGGTTAGTTTAGGATATAGAGCAGCACTGGTTATGGTTATGGTTAGCGTATGGGTTAGGCACAGTGGAGTCACCAAAATGAATGGAAGTCAATGGAGGATTCACACAAGGATAGAGACAAGTGTGTGTGTGTGTGTGTGTGTGTGTGTGTGTGTGTGTGTGTGTGTGTGTGTGTGTGTGTGTGTGTGTGTGTGTGTGTGTGTGTGTGTGTGTGTGTGTTAAGGCAGCTCATACCTCCACGAGTTCATCTTCCCAGAAGTCTAAGCGTATGGATTTGACCCGGCTGGAGAGGTTGCGGTGAATGCCGGAGCAGTTCAGACACACAAACACGCCGAGTTTGTAGCACGCCCAGTCTGGTTCTGAGAAGTCCACAAGAAGGGCATGCACGCACACACACACACACACACACACACACACACACACACACACACACACACACACACACACAACCAAAACCTCGCTGAATACTTCATTAAACCACTGTTTAATGGGGGGGGGGGGGGGGTCTTAGAATTATTTACTAGCCCCACCTCCCTAAATATACACAATGTTTTTTTTGAACATATGATGTTAGAATATAAAGGAAAAGCTTCAACACAACTTTTATTTACTTCTTCCCACATTTAACCCTCCCACTGTCCTAATGGGTGTGACTCCACGAGGAAAGTTGACCATTGAGCAGGGTTGATGGTTTATTCCTTGGGTCCATGGCAGGGGGGAGGAGTGAGCACCTTCTCACCCCTGCCACATGGACCTCAAGGGATAAACCATCATTCCTGCTCAATGGTCAACTTTCCTCACGGGGTCACCCATTAGGACAGTGGGAAGGTTAAGCAAATGTGGCACAATCAGAATACTTCAATATTTTATGGTAAAGGCATGATGTTGGTGTTTTTAGTTTGTCAAAATGGAGCTCATTCTAACATGCCAAATTACATCTGATGATGATTTACGGTATTGATTCATCTATGGAGAATATTCCAGCCGATGTCACCTCCCTAGGATTACCGTACCTTTAATCAGATTGTCATATTTTTATATAATATAGTGAGAAAATGTGTGTCATGTGTGCTGTAAAGGTTCATGAAGTTGGAGCCATAAAACTGAGAACACATGTTCAGTTTAAACTGAACACTTTCGTGCCACATGAGGTTAACGAGAGTTCAGATCTTCTAATGTGGGTTTCTATGGAAAGGTTTAGAACAATTAAGATCCTGGAAACAGTTCTGAATAACTTCAGTTTGGAGAAACAGAGATTACATCTGACAGACAGATGACTAACAATGATTATAGCAGAATTATGAAATTGTAACCAGAAATGTTCTGGTCCAATGCATTTGTGTTTTTATTTTACTCTTTACAATGAGGGATATCTGGGGTTACAAGTATCCTTAATAATCATGTTGTTGGTAAGAAGCTGAAACATCAGATCCAAACCAGTTAAAGCTTCTAAACACCAGTGACCCAAATTATCAGATCGCCTTTAACGGCACCGTAAAGTGTAAAGAAATTAGCAGGGGCAATTTAAATGATGGTGAAGTGTGAAAATAACTAAAGAAAAACCCAAAATACCATGTGTAAAAGTGTGTGACGGTAAAATAAATAATGAAGGACTAGAGATGTACCCATGGAAATCAGCTGATTAGAATCAAACTTTAATGAAAATGAAAAAAACCTGTTCTTCTACGTTAACCAATCCACCAAAAAACATGTTTGTGAACTCAGCGCTAAAACAGATCATTCATCTGGAATGTTTTACTTCCAGATCCAAACCTTCAAGTTAATCAGATCAGATAAAAATAAAACAATGATAATTATTACTAATAACAGTTCTTTGATATAAATTAGAATTGGCCAAAATGAGTGAACCTCAGAGCTGTAGCTACAAAAATCAGCATTTGCCAGGATTGGAATTATTAACCCCTTAATGACTAAAATATGAAACAATAATACTTAACCTAAACTTTTATTATTGTGTTAAACAGCTTTATTATAATCATTTTATTTCATCATGTAATTGTATCACTATAACAGTAATAGATACCTAAAATGGACCTTTTCCACCTATAGATCCTCCAGCAAAGATGTAAATGACTGGAATATGACAGCTTTATGTTGAAGGCACTAATCCTAATATTCCATCTAAACCCGGAAGTGGTTTGACGTTAATAATCCAGGGGATTAAGGGAGTCATCTGCTGAAAGGAAGTAGGCTACAGAAATTAAAATACTGCTAAAATAAGCAGATAAAACACGGGTTAAAGTAAGCTGGACTTAATAATCAAGTTAATGACCATCTTCTAAAATAAATATGGACATTTTAAGTTTATTACAGCTACGTTACTGTAAACCATGCGTGTATGCACCATGATTGTGTTCATGCCCATAGCTCTGATCAGGATAACAGAGCGAACTAACCAGACACCCGCTCTGAGCGCCTCTTACCGGGCGCGCCGCAGTCTGCGCAGCGGCTGTTCTCCGGCTGCTTCACCAGCTCCAGCAGGATCTTCTTGTTCCTCTCGCAGTTCGACATGATGCCGCTTCACGATCACGCTCTCCTCGGTGTTCAACCCCGCGGTGGAAACCCAGCATGGGGGTCACATAGTGTCGAAATGAGACACGAGAAGATGAGGTGAAAAGTGGAACTGGAAACCAGTGGCGCGCGCCTTTGGCACACTGGAACTGCGGGCGGGCGCGCGCGAACACAACGCTCTGGAGCGCGTCCAAACGCGCCGTCGGTCGGTAACAATCCAGTTATTGTTTAAAGATGGCTCCTTTTGTCAGACACTGATCTAAAACCAGCCCGCGTGGACATCCGTCAGCTCCAGCTACTCATCCCCACCTGATCATCTCTTCTGGTTTACTTTATCCAACCAGTCAACCTAACTTAGTTGGGTTACGTCTTTATTTGTTCACAACAAAACCAACTGCAGATTATATACAAACATTTACAGAAACGGTATAAAAACCAGCCATGAATGAGGTGGAATCAGTTCCTATTGAGCAATCACGCTTTTAAAGTGTTTTAGTTTTATTTCTGTTTGTAGACGGCTTATTGAACAGCCTCAGTTTGGAGAAACAGATGTTATCTCTGAGTTGCTAGTCATGCTGGGTCATTTTAAAACACTACCACAAGATTTCTGGCAGAAATCTGAAATTCTGACTAAGAGATCATTTTCCTCTAATTTCTATGTAAAATATATATAATTCGATGTAACTAATCATGTATGGCAGTGTAACGCGTCACAAACTGTTATTTATGAAAATAATCTATTATACACCTGGCCCAATTGAGACTAAATGGTTTGTCCTCCACCGATCAAAACTCATCTCCGTTTCTCCTAACTGAGGCCATTTTAAGAGCCTTCCTAGTAGAAATTTGATCATAACTTTTTTATAGAAAAAGATCGGAACTATCCCTTTAAACTTTCCTTTACAAACAGAGCGTTCAGTCCCTCATGTTTGATTTCATGCATTTATCCAAAACGTTTTCCATTTGTTAAAAAATACAAATCATTGATAAATGAGGCTACAAAAACCTACTGTACAGAATAAAACAACCACATCTATTATTAAACCATATAAAGCTTCCAAAGCGCCAAAAACACATCCAGTAAGAGGGTATTTAGTTGTGTGCCCTGACATTTCAGAGATCATCTGCACTTAAGACTCTTTTGTTGGTATAATAAGTTATTCTTGTTATAAATGACCAAGTTCATCTAAATGAAGGTGACACAAATGTTCCTTCTTCTCTCTGAGAGCCCATCTTAACGTCCCGTTAAGGTTTTATTTTACGCTTCAGGCCTGTGTGTGTTTAGTCCTGACATCTCAGAGTATCATGGGAAATCTTCAGCCAGCAGCGCCAGCGAGCTTTTCTCCACACCCAAGTGAATGGCATCCAGATAGTGCAGAAACCTGGAGGAGGGACAGAAGATGCTTCAGAAACAGAATTTGCATCAGAATCAGACGAACGTCCTTCCTCCACGCTCACCTTCGTTTTACTTTCCCTTGCTCCTTCAGCTGCTCTGACCTGCAGATGGCACGCACGGCTGGCAGATAGTCCAGAGAAACGGCGTCTTGGTTGCCAAGGGTACCAAACACCCGAAACGTCAGATTCTCCATCACTTCTTTCCTCCGCTGGACGAGCCTAGGGCCGAACAGACAGATGGTGAGGAACATTTGGAGGGTTTTGGAGAGTTGAGTTCTTTAGGAATAAAGACTCACTGTGGGCGACAGGGCCCGTCTGGAGTAAAGCTGTAACCGTCCCGATGAGCCGCCACAGGAAGCGCCAGCTCTTCTGCAGCCTCTTTCCCCCTGTCCCAGGCCTCCATCACAGACACCCGGCACTTCTGAAAGCTCAGAGCCTCCACAGCAGCCTGGATCTCCAGAACCCGACGTCCCACCAACCAGCTCCCTCTGCCAGTCTCTACTCTCGACTCGTCCAACATCCCGTCTTTGATGACGGCGCTGCTCAGCGGCGTTCCTCTGTGAACTCCATCTGGGTGGAAACGCAGCGCTGAATCCACGTAGGACATGCTGTCCCAGAAGTCCGCTATTGACTCAAGACACTGAGAGACAGGAAGACTCTTCCTTCTCTCATCTTCGGTCAGTGGCTTCCTTTTGATCATCTTAGAGACGCTCACTGGGGCTTGTTCGGTCTGAGGGTTGATCTTCTGCCTGCAGATAGATGGAAAACCATCTTCTGAGTCTGACCCAGACTGCAGCCCATCCCTACCCAGTGGGTGCCGCCTTTTCTTTTTCTTCATTCTGTTGGACACTTTGATTGGACTGCCGTCCTCCGACTCCAACAGTGAGTCTGACTGGAGAGACGTGGACACCAGCTGCTGATTTGGACGGTCCAGAGTTGGAGAAACACGGCGCTCGGGTTTAGAGAGCTTGGAGGTAATCAGCCGTGTGACGGGTAGAGGCAGGAGGGTCTCCATGTTGGAATAGAGCAGATCGACTCCTCGACACCTGCTGTCCATCAGAAGGTCCCAGCAAACATCGTCCTCCATCAGACTTTGGCTCTGAAAAGCCCCAAAAGAGCTTACATTTATACTTGAATTAATCACAAAGTCTTAAACTCTTGTGGTTTTACTAAACAGAGCTAAACATCTGTGAAATCATGAAGTCATGAAGCCAAATCAGAGTTTTTACAACACAGACTGTGAGGGATGTTAAGAACAGAAATGTTTATGCACTTCATGAGGAATTAAACTATTCATTAAAAGTCTATCTAAATAAATAAAAATGCTTCCACCGCCTCCTTTCACCCGCGTACTAATTCCACCACACAGTAATTCAAGTTTAGCAGGATGACAGCAACGGTTTGACCCTGCAGGCTGTTTGTTTTTGCGCCTGAAAGGGATTTTCTTTTATTACATAATAATATACAAACTCTGCTAATGCTCCTGATAAAATCCAGAAAGCATCAAGACTTCCAACATCACAGAAGGCTCTGGAGTGAGCTCAAACTGCATTACTCAAAGAAGAACCCTAAAAATAGAATATGTGCTTTTATTTTGAAAAGCCATAAGCAGGTGTTTCCTGGTAACAAACAGGTGTTGCTTCCGACTGCCTCGCCTGCTATTGAGTTAACCCTCTGGGGTGTAATTTGCCGTTTTTAACTAATTTAGAGTTTTCCTTTGTATTTCCAAAATAAAAACCATAACCACTGCCTTATGTGGTATCAATCTTTTCAGCACAACCTGGACTTTATGAATTTATACTTATTTTTATATTTGGACATAAAGGGGTTGCATATTAGACCTTAAATCACTCAAAAACATAAAATTTGAATAGGAAAAAAGTTGTTTATTTTACTGTGAAACCAACAAACATTTATGACGAATGTTTTTTATAATTTAGACTGGTAATCTAGACTGTACATTTATAAAAAATATGAATAAATATAGCAAATAACAAATGTTTAAAAAAATTATTAGCCCTCTGGGGTCCAGGGTGTAAATCACCATTTTTGACTCATTTTGGTTTTTCTTTTGTATTTTCTAAAAAAAAAAAAAAAAAAAAAAACAATAAATATTGCCTTATGGGGTATCATTAATTTCAGGATAACCTGGATTATCTGAATTTCTACTTATTTTATTAATTTGGCAATAATGTACATGGATTTTGGAGTGGGGAGTGGCTCTGTCTCACGCCAGATCTGACAGCTGCGCGGCGCCGCCCACTCCTCTTGTTGGATCTCCGAGGTGCTGGATCTCTGCCTTCATCCTCTACCTCATCATGGCCCAACTCTTCTATGAGAAAGGATGGATCTGCCACATCGTTATCAACATCCTCGCTATTTGCCTCAGACTCTGCGAGTCTCCGTCCACTTCCTCTGCTTCCAGTTCAAAAAACTGCTGAACTGCCTGGTGGACATTTATCCTTCTCATCATCCTTTATTAAAGCCTAATAAAAGCCTGCTAAACTGCAGAGACAATATATCTGTCCGGATCGCTCCAAAATATGAAGTTTACCATTAATATCTGTCTAACAGTTTGTTGTTACTCCGTTCGCGCCACTCCTTTCCCCGCGAAGCGGCTCCTTTTTGCGCACATCTCGTTACTCGTGCAGCCTTCCTCTCTCTCAGCTACATAATGATGCTTTTTATCAATTGAATATGTGAGACGTCCACCAACAGCAAAAGGATCTCATGTGTTTGTGGGTTTTTTATGTTCACAAGCACATTCCCTCTCACGGATTACTAAACTGCTGTTTTGACAAGTTATCAGACTGTCTAAAAATAGGTCGTTTTTTAGTTTAGTATAACTCCGCTTTTATGTTGCCTATTAACAAAATTTAAAAACTGGGGTGTAGTTTATAATCTCCTTTTTAAAGCTGAATTGAAACCGAAACTCGGGGAGGCGGAGTCTTGCTGCTACAGCGTCCCAAATCAGACCTGTTCAAAAGACGCGGATACGCGTCCATGGACCCCAGAGGGTTAAACCAGTAATGTAGGAATTAGGTGCTCATTTATTAAAGGATAACTGTTGGGAACATTTTAACCTGACCTTTTGTTGTGTTTTGGATGAGGACAAAATAGCTAAAGATTTCTGCAGCTAACGGCTAATCTACCATGAGACACGCTAGTTAGCAATAATGATTTAATTAGCCTATTATTAGCTTGAACACTAGCACGCCACAGGGGTGTGTCCTCAGCCCGCACCTCTTCTCCTTTCTCCCATTCATAGTAACAAAAGAGGAGAATGCAGACGACTCCATCATTAAAGGACCGATTAACAACAACAGTGAGCCAACAGGAAGGAGGTTCAGCAGCTCAGAGACGGTGGACGTGAGGGCAACAACCTAGAACGAAACACATCCAAGCCCAAGGAGGCGATGGAGGTGTTTAGGAAAAACAACCAAGCTCTCTGCCTTCCAAACTGATGGAGGAGGCAGAGCTTCACAATTTCCCAAGGGCCCACATCTACATCGACTTCTCCTGGTCCACTAATCTCTCTCACGATGGAGGGAAAAGAACAATGAAGACACAAAAGCTGTCTTTCCAATGTGACCATGACTTTCCAGACTGCTTGTTAAACCATCGCCAGTACTGGAGTGGACTTAAGACGTCTTCAATCCGAGGCTATTACAACGTGAAAACCAGATCGATCGGTGAGCGCAATCCAAATGATAACCACTAGATCAGTGGTACTCAATACCCCCCCCCCCCCCCCGCAATTATATTGCAAGTTCGAGTGTTATGTGCATTACAGCCAGTGATCCAAACAGCACCCCCCATGAGTGGAGGCAGGATTTCATGGAATCTAATAATTTTATCACATATGGGCCCATCCTTGCGCTGAAAGGTATAAAGTAGCATAATATGATGTCTTCAAAATGTAAACCCAATAAAAACCCTACATTAACTAGAAAAGACAACATAGAAGCTAGGGCTGGGGGTAAACGATTATTTTTAAAACGATTATTCTGACGATTATTTTATCGAATAGTCGACTATTCTAATGACTATTTAGAAAATTAATCTAATGATTATTTTTCTATTGCACAATTAACAAAAACCAGAAAATCTCAAATAAATTCCTCAAAAAAATGGATAAATTCTTACTGTAAGAGAATAAACACTACAGGCCTTCCATTTTGTATAACACTGCTTTTATTGTGTTGGTTGGTTATGTTCTGGTGACGTGTAGAACTTGGGAGTGCAGGCTGCTGCCTGAGAGGTGGTAGAAGATGGAGTGTCTCCATGCTGCTTTGTTTTGGTCACTTATGTGCGTGAGGCGAGTGGTCTTACGGGTTAAACCAAACTCAGGTGATATTTTACACTAAACCGAAAACCCACAACACTCTAAATGTAATAAAAGGGAGATCTACACCACAAAAAAGATGAACTCTAAACCAAAACGTAACAGTTTATCCCAACGCAAGAAGCTGTTAGCGAAGATGCTAACAGTAGCTTTACCAACATTAAGTTCAAGTTACCAAGTTTAAATAAACCAAAAACACCCAGCAGCAAACAGACCAGCACGGAGGAGAGACTGCTACCACCAAAACAGCTCTCCTAGTGTCTGAAAGAAGCTCCCTAATGAAGGGAGAAGCGCTCCCGGTGATTTTCTACATCTGCGATAGACACGAAGCAGTGCATCTGACCCCGGAAGTTGTTGTCCGTTGCCGGGAGACGAAGGGGCAAAACAGGAAAATAATCTAGTAGTGGACGGACGTTGTTCCGGGTCTTCGGTATTTGGCGGAGATGTTAGTGAAGGCGGAGAAGAGGGCGAACTAGAGGAAAAACAGGCAGATTCCTCTTCTATTTACAAACTCCTGGAGATGCAACAAGTGGGCGCGGTGCGTCGACTTCCGGATCTGACGTCGACAAATTTTTAGAATCGAGCCGTCGACTTCGTCGAGGCTTCGCTACAGCCCTAATAGAAGCATAATTATCTAAAAGAAGTTGGTTCCAATAGTGTAGTAACCTGTAAAAGCAGCTGACCGATAAGAATTTAGCGGTACCGTATTTACCCTGAGCAGGTCCCAGACACTCCTCTCAGGCGCCGCTTTGAGGCCCAGTTTGCTCTCCGTGCAGCCGGTGTCACAGGGGGGTGAAACAGACGCGTCAGCTTCAGTCTGTGGCTGCAGCTCGGCTTGTAAAGCAAACACCAGAATGGTTATTTTACTCATCTTAAAACACCCTGAGCGTTAGCGTTGCTGCCTCGGTTCGCTACCGTTTAGCCCCGGATGCGCCAGCGGTCTTGCTGCCGGACGGCCTCCTGAACTACGGGTCCAGAACTGCAGCTGCAACAGACTCTGCCTGATGTCACAGCCGTTGAGTTTAAGTAGAGAGGTGACGTCTGACGGGGTTGTCCTGATGTCCTCAGCCAGACACAGCAGTTGCAGGTAGCTGCCCACGTTCACCTGCAGCAGGAGCAGAGGGCAGCGTAAATGTGTTTGACCCCGTTTCTTAATCAGGCAGCTTTTTCAGGTCGTAGGTTTTCTTACAGGCGAAGGTGTTCTGAAGTGAATCTCCTCAAAGCTTCCATCAAACGTGGTGCTGAAGGCAGGATCTGAAACGACACGGGCGTGTTACTAACACAGACTGACGCGTGAGGTTTTGGCTGCTGAGAATCCACCGATGCCAACCGCTGGTGGTGAGGACGACGGGCCTCTTGGTGGTGCTCATGAACGTCTTGATGGCAGCAAGAAAGCCGGCGTCATCCTCAAAGATCACATCCACTTCCTCAAACAGGATGAGGGATGTGGCTGCCTTCTTGCTGTGCTCCTCGCTGCTCTTCTCTGTAGCAGAGCTGGCTGGTGGAGATTTCACTGGAGCGTCTCCAGGAGCTGTGGACGATAAATGAAGAGAGGGAAGAGCTGCGCACTCATCAGAAGAAGTGATTAAGTAACAGACTATTAGCATTTACCTTCATCCCTGGTCTTGGTGGGTTGATTTTTTCTAAAAAACTTATCTAAAGAAGTTGGAGCCAGACCTCCTTTTTTAGCTCCTCTCGGTGACTGAGGAGTTTTCCTGGGAGAGGAAACCGTCTTACGAGGGGAGTTCAGCTTACCTAAAGGATGAGCAGGAAAATCATGAAAGGAACGCTCAGGCCTGCTGTAGTTTGAGAGGAAACTGGTGTTTGTGCATACGTGGAGAGGATCCCAGTTTGGCAGCGCTGCTGCGTGCTCCATAGCTGCTGAAGTAGGCGGGTTTGTAGCTGCTGACCCCCTGACTGTCCACCTGGTGGGACTGAGTCGCCTCCTTCAGCTGGGACAGAATCAGACGGCCGCTTCTCTGAGATGAAGCGTTCACCTCAAACACCTTGTGAGGATAAATTTGATCAACAAGGATAAAGTTACTAAAAGCTCTGGTTGAAATCTCCACGGGGGTGTAATCCCTCTCCACCTTGAAGCCCAGCTCCTGAGCACACGCGTACACGGCGGCGGTCTTTCCCACTCCGGTGGGCCCCGTGATTAGAATGGTGTTGCACAGCGCATCATCCCCATCTGGGAAGTCCTCGCCTCCACAGTCCCAGTCAGAGTCTGAATGTGCATGAAAACACACAGTTGAGCCTAAAGATGCAGGTCAGTTACAGAAGTAATAAAGTAAACCGTAGATCTCACCTGTGCTGCCTTCTTCTGGTCGCTTGTCCTTCTGATGTCTCCTCTCTTCTCTATCTGCACGGAGTTTCCACTCCTTCAGCCAGCTAAAGAAAACAAGATCACCATGAACAAAAGGTACCGACGCTTTTATAGGCTGAAGGTTGATTTTCTCACCCGTAAAGCCGTTTGACCGCAGCAGCATTGTCTACGATGTCGCTGGAGTGCTGTGGCTGGTACTTCTCGGTCCACAGCAAATCCTCCTTCACCACATCTAAAGTCAAATACATAAAACAAAACCGTCATGGAGTCAGTTTCAGGATGCAAACCAATGAGATTTCACTTTGCAATTCACACTCTCACCACTTGGTGGCAGCAGAAGACAAGCAGGTGTGAAAATACAGAAATAAGCTAATTCAACAGAGTACAAGTAATATTTTAGGACTCTTGTTCTGCCTTAAAATAGGAACTTTTTGGTTTTCTTGTGCTTTAAAAAATAAATAAATAAAAGAAAAACACTTCCATCGTAAAACCAGAACTTCACTACAACCAACAAACAACAAAATGTGCAGCTAAATAAAAATATTCTAATAAATCAAAGCGAAAACTGTCCAAATCCTGCTCCCTGGTTAACATCAGCACCAGTTGGTTTATTAACTCATTCACTGCCAATGACGACTAAAGTCATCATTAGCATTTTTTTTTACTGTGTGGGCGTCGGACGAGCCCCCGCATCGTGAGAACAAACATCTCAGCTTTAAAGCCGATCTCCATACGCGTACGTCACACGTCACGTGATCAGGAAGCAGAAAATCCATGTGTTAGGAGATCATTTGGGCCGCTGCTGTAAAAAAAAGTGAGGCGCGAACCGGAAAAGCTTCTGCCGATCACAATTCAAGAACGGATTATGAAAGAACGGATAACACTTGAAATGCGTGGATTCTTCCTGATGTAAGAGGTGAGTCTCCACTTTGTTTTGGTTGATTTGGCGTCGACATCATCCTAGCATGCAACGTTCTGTCACTCTTAAAAAACAGTAAAAACGGTGAGAAACGCTGGCTGTGAAGGGCTTTACCGATCAGGACACGTCTGGCAGCGAATGAGTTAATAACTGGTTTCTTACAGTGGAGCTGCGTTATTCAATCATCACACCTTTCTTCCTGGAGTCTTCCTCCAACGTCGGGTCATCGATCACAATAACAGAATCCTCTTCAGACGAGACCGGCTTCGGTTTCTCCTCCTCTAGTCGGGATCTCAGCCCTCGTCTGGTGCGTCCTCCTCTCCTCGGTGGATCTTTATCGGCTTCTGAGACCTTCTCCTCTGATTGGTTCGATTTCTGTTTTTTTGCCACCTTCACCACAAGCTCTCGTTCCTCATCCCTCCTCTTCCTCTTGCCTCCAACAGGTTCAGCTGGTGGTGATGGCGGAGTGCAGGGCTTCTCTCTGGTCACAGCGTCTGGCTCTGATGAGTAAAGGCAACAATTCAAACATCTGTTTGGTAAAAACATCTGGAGTAAATAAGTAAAATGAGATCATCTGAACTATGAGGAAGTTAAATTCATAAATACTTCACTAATAAATAACTTGAACTTAAAAGTGTTGGACCAGATTTTTTAAAACTTTTACAAAATTAAAACGAGAAACAGCCTCGAACAACAAGCTCCGACCTGAAGAAGCTGTGATCTGTGGCTGATGGTCGGCGCGTCTCTTCAGCAAGCGAGTGAAGAACATCTGAGCGGGGAAGTGAGGGTTTGAGGCGCTGAACTCCTCCATCAGAAGCTGACGTTTACTTTCAGAGATTTCAGGTCTCCAGCCCGAACCCTGAATAGAAAAACGTCACTTTAATTCACGATTATCGACAAAAGAGCTTCTAATAACGAAACGCGAAGAGAAATGATCAAACAGAGGATTTAAAACCCCACGTGGACCTGATCCTACAGACAGGTGTGGTCATACCCTTTTATTAAAGCTGCGACAGGCTGGTAGCGTCTTCACACACAGAGAACCGCTGATGGAAAGAAGTGGGTTTAAGGTTTGGCTCCACATCTCCTTCAGGTGACCGAGTGATGAAGACTCGGGCCACGGGAGACTCCAGAGAGGACAATCTGTTAATGCACACGGAAAATGTTTCATCTAGATTCGTAGTTAAAGACGTACCTAAAGATCGCTAAATCAGCGTACCCTCTGGTGGCTGCGTTGTATGTGTGACCAGCTGGAAGGAGGAAGAGCAGACGCCGTACGCCTCTTTAGTCGCCGCCGTCCTGGCGATCTGTCTTCTGAAGGACTCGGGAAGGCCGCTCTTCAGGAACTCCCTGCGTGCTCTGAACTGCTCGTCATCCTGGGAGTTGTCCGAGCCTTCGCGGCTGCTCTCGTCGAAGATGGAAATGACGGCAGACGCCTTCCGAGCGGACTTCTCCAGGCTCAGCGAGGCCACCACTTTAGAGCCTGCTGCAGACACAACAAAGACTTATCGGACGAGGATGTTGGAAAGTGACAAATAGCAGAGGAGCAGGAAGACTACCTGGGGCAGTCTTGGTGTCTTTGCCAGCTGACGTGGTTTTACCCAGAACATCATTCAGACTGCGTAAAAGCTTCTGGGTTTTTCTCTTTCCTGGCGCTTTCTGAGGAGAGCTGGTCAGGTCCTCAACGCAGACCACAGAGTCCTGACGCAAACAAGGACCATCTGATATCAAGCAGCTAAAACATGCTTCTGACCGGATTAAACTATGTTCAGCTGTTTGAAATATGAATTAAAAAACTCCTGATTCACAACAAACAGGTTCAAAAGTCCTTCTGTTCACCAATAAGCCGCAGATATTTAACTAAACGTTCTTCCAGACAGAAACCGTACCTCCTCTTCGTGGTAGCTGGTCCTGATGGAGGTCTTCACTCGGGATGAGCGGCGCAACGCTTCCTTCTCCTCACCAGCTTTACTTTGCTGAATCATTTTGGCTTTTTCAACCAGCTTCTTTGCCTGCTTCTGTTTTTTTGACCCCTTCAGCGCCTGAAGAGAGATAAATCACAGGTCCTTTATAACTCACCACGACGCGTTCACTCATAATGTGTAAAAGCACCACACCTACTTTAGCCGATGAAGTCGAGTCACCTTCTGCCTTTTTATGAATCCGGCTAAATTTGATTCTATAGGAGAAAAAGCACAAGTTGAACTAAGTTGACGGTGCTTTCCTACATCAGACATGTACATTTATTTACCAGAGTAGGGACAGAAAAGGTCTCCCACCTGATTGGACTTTCCTTTGCGTCAGGCGGTCCCACCATTTCTGCTACGAAGACACCATGTTTGGACCTGCGTGTCTTCGGGGTGGACTTCTTTACAGGACTGTCCTGAGGTGAAGCAGCATCCTTGGACTCCTTCAGTCTTCTGGACTTTCTGACCGGACTCGTCTGGGTGGTTTCAGGAGTGTTTCTAACGGCAGCTTCTCGTCTGGACCTCCTCAGAGCCGGAGCGGAGTCGATGGGAGGCTCCTCTTCTTTATCGATCAGAACCGTTTCTTCCACGGAGGCAGCAGGTGATGAAGGAACCGCCTCCTTCTCATCTTTAGCTTTTCTCCTTCCTCTTCTTGTAGGTTTCTTTTCAGCTGCTTCATTTTCCTGAGTGACATGCTCAACAGAAGGAGATATGACCACATCACCTCCTGCAGCCTCTGAGGTCTTCTCCTCACCCGGCTTCTGCTTCGGTTGGCTTTTAACGGCTTTAGCTTTAGACCCGTCCAGGCTGGGCTGTTTGAAGGCAGCCATGAACTGCTTCCTCTCTGCCTCGCTGCACTTGGGAGTGGATTCACTCTCGATCACCGACAGCTCCAGATCCTCCTCTTGGAGAACCACGTTGGACTTACGTTTGACGGTGGAAGCTGGAGCTGGGGTTTCATCCTCGACTATCTCTACAGGGCTACTAGATGCTTTCCTCCTGTTAAAAATGGAAGCTACTTTCTGTTTGGCTGAAACGACGTACACCTCCGCCTGGATGGTGACGGTTCTCGGTGAGACCTGGGCAGGCACCACCTCAGCTTTAGAAGCATCCAGCTTCTCAGAGTTTGATTCTTGTGTTTCTGCTGAAACTTTAAAATCTTCTTCTTGACTTTTGTCTTCGTTCATCTCCTCTTCAGTCCTTTTCTGACTCCGAACAAAGTCCTCAAAAGAGATGGTCACCATGCTGCTGTTTAGCAGAGAGGACTCGTCCTGGTTGACCTCCATGCTAACGTCACACAGTGACCTTTCAGACTCGTTCTCCTCTGGCTCCTTTTGTTTTGTCTCCTTTTGCCGCTTCTTTTTGGATTTCCGTGCAGCGGAAGTTACCTTTTTTACCGGCACAGCTGGGGATAACTCAGCAGTGTCTGACATTCTTAGTTGGACACAATTTTCACGGCTAGAGCCTTTGTCTGGATTCTGCTCATCGCTGACCACTTTAGCCTCCACGTTGCCAAATGTTCCCGATTCAACACGTTTCGACAACAAAGCTGCCGTATCGCTGCCGAGAGTCCCAGAGCCGCTAACTGCACCCGCCACGGAGTCGTCGTTTTTACTCGTTTCTTGAACAATGAAGCAACTCGAACCATCGGTGGAACAAACACCTTCAGACGCGACAAGTTTCCTGGCAGCTTTGCTGGTTTTTCTCCCTCGTTTCCCAGACGACTGTTTCCCAACCTCTGAGCTGGTGTTTTTTTCTGCAGACTGAGACTTTTGATCCTTTTCTTTAGACTCTGGAGGTGGGCTTGCTTTTTCTTTAGAAGGTGGAGCTTTTCTGCTGAAGTAGTCCATGATGTTGTTGGAGCGCGGAGGAGAAAAGGGCTTCTCAACGGCTTTAGGGACGGGGGAGAAGTAGTTGGTGATCGTCTGGACAACAGGACTGCCACCATCTTTGCGAGACTTCTTGCACGGCTGCAAATAAGATATACATTAATCTGATCAAACATGAGAATTTATAGGAAAGTAAAAATGTTAGTGTTTCAGACATGGTTTTAAAACTTGTAGGAAGCGGCTCTGCGTCCTCCATCTTTACCACAATCTGTTCCTTGACTGACTTTAGATAATTAACACGATTCTACTATTGACAGTGCTAATTACACATTTATAGTCGGGATAATGTTTATTACCTGGGTGTCAAAGTCCTCAATGACAGACGCCATAGCCACAACACCAGCCATCATTTAAAACGCCTTTGGGAAAAACAAAACAAACAAACAAAAAAACCAGAAAAACATTTCAACCAGAAATCTGAACCAGCATTTAACCAATACAGAAAATGGACAGAAAAACAAAAAATAAGTTTCTTACAGATGTAATAATGGACAAAAACCCATTTGAATAAAATGTATTTCAATGTAAATCAAATGTCTTTATCAGCTGCTAAATTATAATATAAATAATGATTTCTTGTTAATATTTTCTACCCGTGTGTTTTTTTCTCGTGTTCTAATTTATTTAATAGTAATAAAAAAGGGAATTTATTAAATGAAAAAGAACCATAACAGAGTTTCGATTTAACTTTGGCTCTTTTACAGTAAAATAATCTAAAAGAACTTCTTTACTGTCGTTGAAATTAAGGATTATATCACCAAAAACACATCCCAACTTTAACACAAACAGCGCCATAAAACAAGCATCAATTCAACAGGTGTAAAAACAACAAATCAGGTGGAACTCAGTTAGATCTAGTCACGAATGATCCTACTTTAATTCACCGTGAAGCCTTAAAAGTTTTATTGTAGTCAACAGTAAGTCAAACTTTACTAAGTCAGCTTTATTAACAGCACTAATAAAATGTAACAGATGACCAAAATCACACAGCTATTCCAGAGTGTTTTATTTACACAGAGCACTCTGTAAATACCATCAGACCGCATTAATACCAACTTATAAAACATCTTCTGAGCTCCAACGTAGCAAAGTCTATATATTCCAGTTCTTACTTCAGAAATAAACCTGTATTTGTTGCCAGGGCCATCGTGAGGCCTGTAAACAACTAGCTTTTACAGCTGCATCGCGCCCAGAGAAACAACCAAACCAGAGTAAATAAAACACTCACCACCACCAAGCTGCTTCTTCAGAGGCTGTGGTGCTACTGTTCTTTATTCACGTCGAGGTATGAGTAGAAAACAGCGATAAAACTCATTATATGAAGAGGAAGGTAGTTTGTTATCAGCAGACATTAAGTTTACTGGTAAAACAACAAGCTAGCTCCTAGCTCCTCGCAAGCACCGAGCATTTACCGGATTAGATGCTGATATTTAGACGGAACATGCCGGACCCTATAATGATATTTGAGCAGCTGCCCCGAGTTGAAACACTTTTCTAAGACAGTTGCTGCCTCCTTTCAAATACGCGCCAGTCTGCTGGTGAATGAAGAGCGCCAAATTTACGTGACCTTTGACAGGCAATATACCACCAATCAGATGAAAGAATACTGACTTTGTCACCGTCTTTTCCTGTTTGACCAAAACAAAGATGGCGGTCGGAGTTCTTTTTTTTTTTTTTTTTTTTTTTTTTTTTTTTTATTTAGTAAATTTACAAACAAACATGGCACCTTGACAATGTTAAGTTCAAAACTTAAATTCAAAAGGAGCAGTTAATATAACATTTGTAAGTATCCAGTAAAACAGAACAACAAGAGACAAAAGAACATGAAGAACAAGTACAGCTTTCAATGAGGGTACAGCATATATCATACAGAATTATGAAATCACTTTGGAAGTTCAGCTAACATGTTATATAGATTTTCACTATATTTGTTGAGTTGTTTCAGGGATTTTAAATATAATTGAAATTCTATTAAAAAAACATTGAAGACAGGGGATGATTGCAAAATTCGTTGTTTATGGATAAAAAATTTGGCTAAACAGAGGATGATATTATAGCAGAGTTCTTTATCTTTATTATTGAATATAATCCCAAATATTATCATATCTTTAGTGATGTGAACTGGGAGTGGTATTTTAGTTCTGATCCACATCTCTAGCTTTTTCCAGAACAATTGTGTTTTCTGACATTCATAAAATATATGAACTATAGTTTCTATGTGATTTTCGCAAAAAGAGCAGTTGTTGCTATCAATATTAAAACGAGCTCTTAACAACTCTTTTGAAGGATAGATTGCATTCATTATTTTAAAGTGGGTTTCTTTAGCTTTCGGTGGTATAGGTAATTTTAGGTAGATAGTTCTTATTTTCTCAACAGATATTTTATCAAATTTGTAAATTATGTTATTTTTGTTTGTTTTTCCAGGAAAAAGAGATTCATTTAAGGCTGATCTTATTGTAAGATTGTTGCATTTTCTGTCAGTTAACAGAAGACCTTTAATAGATAAGAAAGGAAGGATTGGAATAGAACATTGATGTTTTAGATATTCTTGGGCTTGGATGATAAACTGTTTTGGAAGTGCATTATGTAACCTGTTAAAGTCAAGCTCAGAAGCCTTAAAATTGTATCTTCTGCAGAAATTGTCATAATTCAAGAGCTGACCATCTACATCCATTAAGTGTATAATAGACCATATATTGTTATCTAACCAATCTTTATAGAATAATGATTTGTTTCGGTGCAATATAAATTGATTGTTCCAAATGATTATAGAGTGTGGTGAGTAGTTATGTACATATATCATTTTCCAATACAATAAAATTTGTTTATGGAACTCTGAAAGTTTAATGGGGAGTTTGTTTATATTGTAGTCAGTTAGGAGAAGAATTTTTAAGCCACCAATTTTGTTAAAGATGTAATTGGGGATACTATACCAAAAGACGTCTGGGTGATTTAACCAAAATTTTAACCAGTTAATCTTTAGGGTGCCATTAAGACATTCAAAGTCAATGGCCTTTAAACCTCCATCTTTTATTTCTTTAGTCATATGAGCCTTTTTAAGGTAGTGTGGTTTGTTTCTCCAAATAAAGTTAAAGTTTGTTTGATTTATTTTTTTAATTAGGTCGTTTGGTAAGGCAAGGTTACAGGTTGGGTAAACTAATCTTGATAGACATTCCATTTTGGTGAGATAGATACGACCTAGAATAGAAAGGTCATGTTGGAGCCACAGGTTAAGTTTAGAATTTCCTTCTTTAAGTTTATTTTCAAAGTTTAAGACTGAATTAAGTTTAGGGTTTTTGTTAATGGTCACTCCTAGATATTTAACCTCAGATTTTATAGGGATATTATGTATTTCTTTTAACACTGTGTCGTGAATTGCTAGAAGTTCACATTTTTTTAGATTTAGGTTCAGACCTGAGGCCTCAGAGAAGAGTTGAATCTTTTGGATGGCTATAGAAATTTGTTTAGAATCCTTTAAAAAAAGCGTGGTGTCATCTGCAAGTTGACTTATAATTAGATCAGTGCCTAGAACATTTAATTTTGCAATGTTATCACAGTTTTTTAAGTACAATGCCAACATTTCGGTAACCAGAATGAATAGATATGGTGAGATTGGGCAACCTTGTGGGATTCCAACATTAATATTAAATCTAGGGGTGGTGTTTTTTGGTAGGATGACACAGCTGTTTATGTTGTCATATAGGCCTTTAATTAAGTTGATAAAGTTGGTACCAAAACCCAGGCGTTCTAAGACTGAGAAGATGAACTGATGTTCTACAGAGTCGAAGGCTTTGTAAAAGTCTAAGAAAAGTATGAATCCATTGTCAGTAATCAGATCTTTGTATTCAATTAAGTCCATTACCAATCTAATGTTATTATGGATCGATCTGCCTTTTAGAAAACCGGATTGTGATTCACTGACAATATCTGAAATTCCTGACTGGAGGCGTAAGGTAAATATGTAAGTAAGCAATTTATAGTCCGAATTTCTAAGTGTGATGGGTCGTCTGTTTTCAATATTTCTTGGGTCTTTGCCTGGTTTGGGGATAGATATGATGATGCCTTGTCTCATCGTGGGTGGAAGAGTAGAATTATTAAAGATTTCCGAAAAAACTTCAAAGAGTAAAGGTTTTATGTCCTCCCAGAAGTGACGGTAGAAGTTACCTGTAAGGCCGTCTGGGCCAGGTGCTTTATTAATCGCTAATCTTTTGACTGCCTTATCTAGTTCGCTCATTGTAATTTCCTTTTCACAGGTATTTTGGAAGGAGTCATCTATTTTAGGGATGAAGGAATCAATATGGTTTAGAAAAGCATTAGAATTAGGGGCTGAAAATTTAGAAGTATATAAATTTTGGTAAAAGTTGAAAATTTCTTGTCCTATTAATTTTTCATCCGTGGATTCAACATTATTTATTAGTAAAGAGTTTATAGAATTTCTTTGTTGTCTTCTTTTTTCTAGGTTACAGAAATAAGCAGTGTTTTTCTCACCTTCCTCAATCCATTTGGCTCTCGATCTAATGAAGGCTCCTTTAGTTTTTTGTATGTACATGTTATCCAACTTTATTTGAAGGGTTAGGACATTTTGCTTGTCTATCTCAGATGGATTAGGTTTATTGCAATATAAGTTTAATTTTTGTATAATGTCTAATTCTAAAACCTGAAGTTCGTTTTTAAGTTGCTTACTAAATGAAATGGAAAGTTGTCTGATTTTGTACTTTAAAAATTCCCATTTAGTGGTTGGACTGTTTAAATCTTTTGAGTTTACAATATCTGTAATAAGTGACTTTATTTTTTTACAGTAATGGTCATTTTGGAGAAGGCAAGAGTTAAATTTCCAATATTTGTTTATCCTATAAGTGTTGTTTTTCGGCTTAATTTTAAGTGATATAAGGTAATGGTCCGTTAGTGGGGCAGCAGATATATCAGGGATGAAGTCATATAATAAAAGTAAGTCATTAGTAATAAGCCAATGGTCGATCCTTGATTTATTAGTTGAATTAAACCATGAGAATTTCTGAGTGACTGGGTTAAGGTGTCTCCATATATCCATAAAATTATGTTCAAAACAGAAGTTGGTAAATAATGGATTTGGGTAGCTTATCTCATATTTAGATGGCCATCTATCCAGAAATTCATCCTGAACAAGGTTGAAATCTCCTCCAATAAGGACATTATTGGTGGAATGTTTGGCTTTTAGATGGTCTAACCGTAAACCTATTTCTTCCAGCAATATTTTATTTTGAGTTAAGGTATTATATCCATATATATTTACTAGAATAAAAATAGAATTTTCTATGTTTATGGTAAGAATTAACCAACGGCCAACAATATCATTCTCAATAGAAGTAATTTTACCTCGAAAGTTTTTCAACAAGATGGCAACCCCAGCTGACCTTGAAGAGCCATGAGAAAAAAAGGCTTCATCTCCCCATTGCTTAGTCCAAAAGTTGCTGTCTTCATGTGTAGAATGAGTTTCTTGTAAAAAGGTAAACACAGCATTTTTCCCTTTGCAGAATAAGAAAAGGCTTTTCCTTTTAGTGATATCTCTCAACCCTCTTGCATTGATAGAGATTAACGAAAGTTCGCTGTTTATAATAACCATATAATGAACAAAAAAGAACAATATAGGATGAGCTAACCTAAAGCAATAAGAGAACCTAGGTAGCAATCCCCAAAAACTATAATCTGAGTGAACAACATTTATAACATTTGCGGATCTGTATCCTCATACAACTACAACTACATACATATGTAAATAATCATAAGTGGTCTCATTTTCACTTACACATGTTTATGTTAAACTGGCTAGGGTGTAACCCGCTGTCCATTGATGAAGGCATATGGACCTTTAAAGGTGGTTTTCAGCCCTGCTTTTCTCGCTTGTTCCACCCTAGGCCATACCGCAAGACGTGCTTCACGGTCCTCCTTGGTGAGGTCCTCGGCGAATCGGATGTTGAGCTCTCTGCATGTGGGATGTTGTTTAGTGGATCTCCAAAGTTCATCTCTGTAGAAACGGCTGGTGAATTGTATGATGACTTGTCTTGGGTGATCAGGGTTTTTGGGGCCGATACGGTGAACAGAATCCAGAATGAAGTTAACCTTCTCCTTCCAGCTGGGTTGGATCTTTTTAATGATGTCCGATACACTTTGTCTTGTGTCCTCCTCTTTGTCCTCTTTTAACCCTTTGAGCCGTAGGTTCCATTTTCTTTGGTATCGGTCAAGGTTTGAAGCTTTGTTTTCCAAGTTGTCAACTTTTTTGGTTAACACTTCATTTGTGGTTTTCAGCTGAGTTATTTGCTTTTCCATCTGCTTATTTTTCTCTTTACAGTCTTGAATTTCAGTGCTGTTAAATTCAACCGCTTTGGCAATGTTAGAGATGGAGAGTGTATTTTGTTTGAGGTCAGCGCCAAAGCTTTCCATCATTTTTTGTAGACCTTCAATGGCGGCTAGTAGCGCACTGTTGGATACATTAGAGTCGGTTTCTTCTTCTCCTTTTTGTTTTTTGTGTGATGTTGTGGCTTTGCAGGGTGATGAAAGTGGGTTTTTATTACCTCTTGAGTTGGTGTCCATATTTTCCGAACCAAGGTAGTCGTGAGTTAGCAGGGCTT